AGTATTTTCTCCCTTCATCTTAAACTTGTAAACATAGAAAATTAGTTTTTACGATTTAAAAAATTATTAAATTGTATTTTAGGAAAAGTATCAACAACAGAGAAAATAACGTTAATATAACGTATTTTTTATGTAATAACATCACGCTACGTTATCTCTAAGGTGTAGCGTATTAGGGAAAATTGAGACGAAAAATAAAATATTTTTAGCCGTATTCAATATGGTATGTCATATTAATCCTTTGGCAAAGACCTTCATAAATATGACTGACATGTAAAAATGAGCATATTGACGCACCTGTTGGAGGTATCGATGGAATAGCGCATAAAGGAAAAAGTACTTACTGATTTCCCATAAAATATGATAGATACAATAGATCATGTGTAATTGTTTTTATTTTTGACGCATTCTTGAACTTGACTGTAAAAATTTATCGGCATTTGAAACAAACACCGCGGAGTTTCCCGAAAGTGACGCAGTTAGGGTAGTGACGGAGTTAAGGTGTTCGGCGATATTATGAAACACCTTGCACATAAATACGGTATCTTTAAAAAATTCTAATTTCAGCAGTTTTTCATTTTTAATGGATGTATTTAGACAGACATAGAAAAACACACAATACGTAGACAAATACCCCATCCTGAAACCAAGCGCCTATGAGAAAGATATCATCGTTAAATTCAATCCGGAATATCTTTGTAATGGTTTTGTCCTTTACGTCGATCTTTTTTCTTCCTGTTCAAAGAAGCCAAGCGAAAAGTGTCAAATTTTGATGAATTACTATTGTGCCCTTCTGTTCAGGTAAATTATGCTCATTATATTATGAATTAGATGTTTGAATAATACCTTGTGCCTGAGCATATGCCAGTTCGCTTGAAAAGAAACACAGGCAATGTACTGTAAGAAAGTGGATCGATATTGCATAAATCACTGAATTTCTCATTTTGTCTCGTGACTAACTCCTCGTTTTCTATTTTATCCGTTGTTTTATTATTAGAAAATGATAATGACTTAGAAACATAAGTCCTTTTTTTTTGTTTCTGAAATAATTTGTTGTTATATCAGACCTAAAATATTGACTAGCATGTTTCAATGGCAAAATTTCAACTGTTATGTCATGTGGGTACCCATAGAAAATCAAAAAAAAAAAAAAGAATAACTTCATAGAATATTCCATAAATCTATGATATATGATTTTCAAGTTTGTGGGGTATCATATTCAACTTCTGGTTCCTGTAAATGGAAACTTACGAAAGTGACATTTTTTAAATTTTTGGACCCCTTGTTAAAATTACATTTCCAACCTAGTGACCTTATTATATTGGTCAGTAAAGTTTTTTTAAATAATCAAAATTCTTAAGTTTGATAATTTTTCTTTTTTATGTAAATACAGGGTTTTTTTTAGAGTCTCTCCGGGGCCGAAATTCGGCCCCATTCCCAATGCTGAAAAGTGCATATTTTCCCCAAAATTATACCTAAAAATTCCCAATATGAATAATGTATTGAGTTGTAAATTATTGAAATAATGACAAAAAGGTGTTTATGTTCTCTATGTGCAATGTACAAGCCATCCGAGGAGTTCCGAGAAGTTATTTGGAATAATAGATGTTTGCATGCATACTTTTTTTTTAAAGCGGGATTGATGTTAAAAAATTAAAGTCGGGATCGTTATTTAATAAATAAACGTGCATCATGTCAGTCTCTCAAAATGTTCAAATGTTCCAGTTTGCCTAGGATGGTAATTTTCAGGCTGGGTTGAATCGCTCTTATTCTTTAAATTGGTCAAACAATACCCATTAACCACTCATCTGGAACAAACCCACTATCAAATTTTATTTTAAAGAACTTCTTACATAAAGGTAAAAAAGATGACAAAGTATTAATATGTTCATTTACAATGTTATCATACCGTGCAGCTTTGTCATTTTTAAGCTTCTGAACTTCAACAGCCACTATTATTTCATATCACTAAAGCTGGTTTAAGCCAGCTTCATACTATTAAAAATAAGAAAAATGATTAAATATTTGACTTTTGCTTGTTTTTTCCTATTTATTTGTATGAAGCTATTTTTCCCAATTTTAACCAAATATTGCTATTTTTTTCCAAATCTTGACAGCCCCGGCTCCTGGAATCAAAGGGTAAAAAAATCCCTAAAATAGAGATTGAACAAGAAATAAAATTTCATGCATTTTTACATGAAATGCCCAAGTGACAGGGTTGGGGACCTTGTCCAAAAAGATGTTATGAAGCTATTGTTGGTCTGTAAATTAATGTTTTCATATAATTAATTAAAAGATGAATACATTGACATAATGAATCTTTATAAACAGAATGCAAAGTTATGATTTATGATTTAATTTATAAATACATTTTTGAGCTAAGAGACCTTTTCATTGATAAACTGTATTCATGTGTACTACTTTAAATACCTGCAAACTCGCACTGGAGGTCTCTGAGCTGTTAAAGGTGAGTGAATTCATTGTGACCCTTGTTTTCTGTTTGCCTTGTGTATATGAGATGTTGCATCTTGATATGGCATCTATTCATATTAGTTATACATAGTACAATGAATGTTAGTCTACCCTATATATATACATAACGTATGTTCTTCCCAATAACAGTCAGCCCAAGCTGATTTAACCAAAAGTGAAACAAAATTTGTCAATGAAGATATTTAGCCCTTTGACATTAGCTAAAATGCACATTACATTTCTGATTTTTTTTTTTTTTTAAGTAAAAGGGTTATTGAATTACTATTAATAATAGGAATACAAATCATCTTAAAAAGTGAGAACAGGTAAGGTAATTTTGAATTTTGCTTACTTTTCTTCAAAAAAGTTTCTAAAGCATTGATTGAGAAATAATAGTAACTGTGTCAGTGTGCATTGTTAACATAAAGTGTTAGAGCACAGCTCAGGGGGTTTTAATGCTTTTGTTTTTGTGTAGAAAAAAAAACATTGATGTAAAGTTAATTTCTAAATTAAGCTCTTGTAGTAGAGTTAACTATTTTAAACTTCTAACATTTGTTCTGCTAATTTTTTTTCCTTCCCATTGTAAGCAATTTACCTAAAGTGAGTGAAAGTATTATTGATTGATACATTTACTGGAGGAGCCATGAAGCAGTTGAACTTTTACACTTCTTAACAATACGAAGTTTATTAAGAAAAATTGTAGCCCAGCAGGATATTTTGATTTACATCGTATACACTGAATCACATCAACATGATCAAGATTTGCAAACTTGCTTAATATGAAGTACTCATAAGTTACAAGTAAAGATGATTATGTTAATCACTAGCATGTAAGTTGATACATGTAGATGATGTATTTTAAGAAAAATGTCAGTCCATCTTTAAAATTAAAAAAAAAAAAAATTAAGTTTAGTAATATTATAAAATTATACAATAATATTTTACATTCTACCATTTATTGGGCACTTTGACTTCTAAAAACAATCATTTTTCACTCACATGACAAAGCATCATACAATTCCTATTTTTAGTATAGGAGATTCTTGATTATTACTGTATGTTGCTTCAGTGCTTTCTACTCACTATGATTATACTTGATGTCTATTTTTTTGTCCCCATTATTATTACATGTATAAATTGTATGCATTGTATTTTACCTGTAAAATTGAACCAAGTTTACCCGGTACATGTTACATCTTTAATTTCATTTGCTAGTTTAGTATTCTACTTTCAATTGTTTTTCTTTTTTAATGAGCATTCAGCTCAGTTAGCTCTTTGCACTGAAGTTGTCAGTGAATTGACAAGATAAACCCTTATTATGTTCCCCAAACGAAGTTTGGGAACATATTGTTTTTACTCTGTTTCTTATTATTATTATTATTATTATTCTTTTTTTCTACTTTCTTCTCCGGTACTTTTTTGTCCGGAAGTGTTCTCATAGAACCACTCATCCGATTGACATGAAACTTTTTTAGGGTTAATAGGCATGTTGTGTAGGTGTTCGGAACGAAGGTCATTTTGCGCGCACATGCATGCACGTGCGCGCGCGTGCAATGAGTGAAATGACTGATATACTTGATGAAGCCGTAACTTTTATATTTCTTGATGAATTGCTTTGAAACTCAAAATATAAAGATATATAAGTAGTCTAGACAAGATAACATGGTCAAATTAACGTGAACTCACGCGCATGCACGTGCGCTCTTCTCTGATTGGCTGACACAAAAATCTCAAAAATTTCCTTGTTTTTTGACAAAATACTTTGAGATTTAGAATATAAGTATATATTATAAGGTGCTACAACATGTTATATAGGACATTCCTTGAAAACACGCGCATGCAGGTGTGCTGCAATCTGATTGGTTGAAACTTTAAATGTCTATAACTCCCTTGGTTTTCAACAAAACAGGATAAAATTTACGACACGGATAGGCACATAGAGCTCCTACATTATGATACTATCAAAACTGAGTGCAAGGCCATGCATGCGCGTATGCTGAATTCTGATTGGCTAATACTTAAAGGGTTACATCTCTCTTATTTTTCAATGAGATTCTTTAATATTTAACACAAATGTATGTATTATGAGACATATAAGAAAATTAATGTGAAAAATGTAGAAAACATGTGCAAGCACATGCGCTGAAATTTGATTGGCTAATACCCATATGGCTATATCGGAGTAGTTTTCCAATGAAATACCCTTAAAAATAAAGTGTCCATCTATATTACAAAAGTATTGTCTAATTTATTGAAGCTTGTAGGGAATGGGGCATCATAAGGGATTGGGGAGCCGTTTGGGGAACATCTGTAACGGTTCCCGTTACAATTAGCACTAGTTTACATTATTATAAGTTATTTATCTTTAAAGCTTTAAAGTAGACATGATGTTTAGAATTTGTTGTCAGATACATTTTACCTCTGGCTCCCTGCTGTGATTTCTTTCAATATCTTTCTGCAGTGAATCTGTAAATACATGAAATATGAAAACAAATTTTCATGAAATTGAACAATTCATAAATTGCAAATAAATTTTAAATGTTTGAATTTTACAGATCTAAAGACAATGTATGGGTAAAGAATGGATGAAGCAGACTATTATAGAGAGAGCGATCTGCTTCTTTCAGAGCATATGGATGCTTCCTTGAATAACTCCAATCTTAGGCGTGACGGGGCCAATGGGGACGTGGAGGGACGTCACAGCGTGGTCAGCACTGATGATGAAATGTTGGACATCAGGACAGATGCACTGGAGCATTGGCATGATTCTGACGAGGAAGAACTTTCAAAAAATCTAAGCACAAGTGAGTCTTTACTTTTATGTCATGCAACTTTCTCCATTTAACATGTTTAAAGTGCAAAATGAAGTGGTGTAACCTTCATATTAATAGGGCTCTGTATTGAGCAAAAAAATTCGAACCTTTGGTGATTGAAATTGTCAACTTTTTCGTAGAATTATAAGAAAATCTGCCTGTCCGATAGGTATTGGAAGTTATTTTTTCGATATGATACATTCTTAAATATCGATACGTATCGATTATTCGATATATATTGATACAGCCCTACATATTAACAACCTTATGTTGGATGGAAAAATAAACATATTTTTATATATACATGTATATATTATTATGATGAGTCATCAAGGGGAAACCAAATTTTCAATACACAAAATTAACTACGTGTACAGTGTGATAGGCTTTTTTTTTTAATGCTATATTGTGCAGATGTCCTGACAAATGCTACACAAAGATCCAACCTCACAACTAATGCACATGAATCATTTCTTATGTTCAATTATGGATAAAAATAATTCAATTAATTAAGCTACCACAGCTCTACTATGCTTCAGCCATTATACCTCCACTTCCTGTTAGGCAGTAATGGCTTCTGTGTCATTTATGTTATAGGCCATTGTAAAGGTCACAGTGAATAATTACAGTCTGCAGGCAATAAGTGATCTTTGCAAAAATTGTTTCATGCAAAGCCTTTGTAATTATTACATGATCAAATTATCAATTTCATACACCATAAATATGTACTACATAAATAACAGTGTAAGACATCAAAATCTGCCAGTATTGTGAAAATTGTGTTAAGTGACAAACACCAATGTGGAGGTATAGCTGTATTTTTTAGAGCCTGTCTATATGCTGTTTAATGTCTTACAACAAGTGTTAATAACCACATGGTGCAATGAGGTGCATTATAATGGCATTTTATATAACATTAAGCAGTTGTAACAGGTGAAATATCTTGGTCCAGTAGGCACAGATCATTCTGGGCTTATACGACCAGCCAGTGCTCATGTCATCCACTGTCCAGCAACAAAAAGTCCAAGATGACCTGTCCACCTTGTCTCGTTTTAGTGTTCTTATCAATGATCTTTTTAACTCTGTTTCGGAACATAAGTCAGATTTGCTTGATGAAGCATCCAGCATCAGTATTGACAAAATTGCTGGTAAGTAAGAGCCAATCGAGGTGTAAAATCAATTTACCTAAGTAGACACACAAAACCTGCTGCAAGTGATTAAATTGTTTCATTCCTTTTTAGCTCACCTGAACCAAAGACTTGAGTGAGCTTTTTCTGATTGAAGGGTGTCTGGCATCTGTCTGTCATGTGTTGTCTGTAAACTTTTCACATTTTTGACTTCTTCTAAAGAACCACTAGGCAAATTTTAATCAAACTTGCCACAAAGCACTCTTGGGTGAAGGGGATTCAAGTTTGTTCAAGTGAACATCCACATTCTCTTTCAAGTAGAGATAATAAGAATTAGTGAAAATTTTAATTGCACCTTTAAAAAAAAAACTTTTTCTCAATAATCACTGAGCCAGAAAAGATAAAAAATTATGCAAAAGTTTCATTACATAATGTATAGATTCAAGTTTGTTCAAATCATGACCCCGAGGAAAGGCATGATTAGTCACATTTATATGGAAGCATCATCAGGTAGTGTAGATTCAAGTTTTTTTTTCAATTCATGACCTCCAGTAAGGGTGGGAGGGGGAATACATATAAAAATCTTTTAAAATCTTCTCAAGAACCCCAAAGCTATAGTTAGTCATACTTACATGGAAGCATCCTCAGACAATGTAGGTTCAAATTTGTTCAGTATTTGACATGATGGGGTAGGAAGGGGCCACAATGGGTAATCAAAGTTTTACATAGGAATATATAGGGAAAATCTTAGTCATATTAATATGGAGGCATCTTCAGGTAGTGTAGATTCAAAAGAGTAGGCTGGGACCACTTGTATATTTATACTTTTCAATACTGAACTGATTTCTGTTTTTCTTTAGCCAAAGAGCACTGAGGCCCAGGGACTTCTTGTTACATTTCTGCAGATTTTTGTAATAATACTGGTCTTTTTATCCCAAATTAGTTTAATTGGCAAAACCTGAGGTATTTTCTTTCTCCCTGTTTTTTTTTTCTTTTTTTTTAACCTCTTTGAAAAGTATTTCAGTATTTTGAAGTTTTAAGCTCACCTCAAGAGGGGACTGGAAAAGGTATGCAAAATGTATAGGATTTTTTTTTTTTTATTTTGAGAGCAGGGTAATTCAATTCTAAATCCTATTGATATGCAAACATTCCCATAGCATTTCACATGTAATCATTTTTTTTTACCTTCTTGGTAGATTGATAGAGAGAGAGAAACTCAGCTTTTTAGTGTATTAACTTTGTAATAATTAATTGATAATAATAATGGCATTAATGGACAGTTTAACCCCCTACCTCACAAATGATGATAGCTAGAAATTAAATCAAGTAGTTAACTTTTTTTTTTTTGGTAAAAAAAAAATCTACATATTTCATGTACACAAAAGTAATATTAAAGACTCTTCCTTTAAATCTCTCTCAGAAAAGCTAAACTGTATAACAATTAAATTTAAAACCAACAAATAGGTGTACACATACCTGTACAGTAAAGCACTTAGACTATTGCCATGTTCATTTAAATCTTTCAGGATATGAGATTTTGCAATGACCTGTAAATATTTTTGGAGATCGTTTCACTTGATCAATTGTATTACTAGTGTCTTATTTTTTTTAAATGGAAGGATGATTTATTTTATGAATGTCTGCAATGGAATAGCATTAACAATACATTGAAGCTGTTAGGAATCCCAATAATGACCCGTGGTCATTTTATATGGCAAGGTGTCACAGTGTTGTAGTGGAATAATTAATGTGTCAAGCACCCACTACTATTTGAATGTTGTCGAAATACTTTCAAAACAGGAGAATAGAATGCAGAGTTACAAGACATTTTCAGATGATCTTACCAGAGAAGTTCCAGGTAAGGTGCGTAATCTGTAGGGCCTCATGTCTGGTGCATTTAAGACCACGATGATTACAATGACTGAATAACTGTACCATCATTATTGTGTACACTAGTCCTAACCAGCTGGGATACAATGTAACTGTAGTAAAATTAGAATTGATATGGGGAAATATTACCATAGATAAAATTTTATGGATCGGGGAAGGTGTGTGCTAGGCTATGTTGATGCATTGGCTTTTTATGTTAACGTGTTTAATAAAATTGGATTATTTAAAGTATTTTGAAAGAGCAGATAGTCAGGTAAATTACTTAAAAATTAAGTGGGAGTTTTTGTCTTACTGAAATATTTTTCAAATGTCTTTTAAAGGTAATTTTTTCAAATAAATGTGATTTATAATGTCACCACCATGACATAACGAATCAAGAAAGCTACCTGTGTGTGTGTCGTTATGCTCTGTCTGTTAAAATGTTCAAGGAAATTGAAATGTTTATGTAAACACTGGATATTTAAAAAATTCTTGATTTATAATCACCCAGCATATAATTAAAAATTTTCCAATTCAACTGTAATCATGAAGTGAGGAAATGATCATTTAAACAGTCAATGCACACAATAAGGGCAAATTACCTTTGGTAAAAATCAGTGGATGTATTATATGAAGTTTTTTTCTTCTAAACAGGTTCCTCTAACCTTATGGACACACTGGATGACCTGCCTCCAGGGATTGGTCAATATGAAGATTTCCACACCATTGATTGGCTGCGGGACATTGCCAGAGACCGCATGCGACACCGGCACATCATCAAAAAGAAAAATGATGGAGTTTGGGAGAAGATAAAGAGTGCTCATGATGCCTGGTCAGGCTGGGTCTGTGTTCTTTTAGTTGGGGTTGCTGCAGGTAAAAATTATTTATAAGAGTACATAGTACCAGTATCTTCCAACATCTGCCCCTATTCCAAGTTATATTTTTGAGGCTTTTATAATTATTTGGTGAGATCGTTTTTAGATGCATTGTCATAATTCACCAAAAAAATGGATTCTTTTTCCTGTAGGATTGATGTTACATGGCAGAATTAATGTCTTGCTTATCTTATGGTCAATAATACGAATTATCATTCCCACTAGGTATTCCTCCTGTTCTTTAAAATCTGGTATACTTATTGTTGTTGTGGCTCTATAAGTACAAAATATCAGAAATGGGGGCAGGTATTGATAACCTTTTAATTATATTGACAGGCATATGTTAATATAAAACTACTAAAAAGACCAGCTTGCAAATGAAAATTATCAATATGATAAGTACATGTAGTATTCTTCTTAGGGTCTTTAATCATTTTTGACAAGTTTACTACTAAAGCATTGTATGTATTTGAATGACACATACTTTTCATAAAGTTCTGTGTGCAAAAATTATTGGATCATTATGGGTTTACACACCCTCTGGGAATTTCAAAGCTAAATATATTACTAGTTCTCATTCCAGATGTCCATTTATTTCTTTCAAATAACATGAAATGACAAAGGGTCTGTAGATTTTTTCCAATTCTATAGACTGAAGAAAAAAGTTAGAATATTCAAGCATTAAAGAAAGCTTTTTTTTTCGGTCAGTAGAGGCAAATAGAATTTATAATTGCATATTGTTATACATGTACCTCTAAAATGGTGCCCTTTATATGTTATAAATCTATCCTAAAATGAGTTTAACATTTCAAATGTAATGTATACAGGGGCATTTTTGACTCCCTTTTCTTTTCATCGCTTTAGCCCTTGTTACAAGTGGGCAAATTTTAAACGGGGCAAATTCAAAAAACACAGCATTATCTTTTGAACATAACTGTGTCTTGGCAAATTTAAGATGGGCCAAAATTGTTTGCAGGTGTAAATAGCAAAATTACCCTGTATACAGTATTTAGTAGGTTAAAAAAAAGGATGTTTAACTGGTCGGTGAGATGTTGGAACAGCCGTGTGATTTTGGACCCTATGATCATTGATGTTTTTAAAGTCACACTTAATTTGCATCAGTTAATTCTCAGCTTATGAAGGATCTTCTGACAAATAAAAAGCTATATTGGTATTGATTTGTGTTCAACAATGACAGAATTTACCAAATTAAATATGCATTGTGGGTGAACAGAATTTACATTAAAAAAAAAAATTCACATGCATTGCAAGATAGAAAACAGCACAAGATTTGTACAGGAAACAATTTAATGGTATAACAAAACATTTATGACTAAGTTCTCTGGCAGGATGTGTTTTACTTAACCCAAGAACAGAATTATTGCCTTTGGCCTAACAGCCTACCTCAGGCAAACAGTTTAGTTCTCAGTTCCACAAAAAGTATGTTGACCTTGAACCCAGTCAATAAATGTATATTGATGAGAAACACTTTAAGGCATATTGATTTTAATAATTTTGATATATATGAAATAAAAATATGATATACAGTCAAACCTCATTATCTCAAACTCGGTGGGACTGAGAAAAAACTGAGAAATCCAAAGATATCCAGAAGTTCAGATATCAGGGGTAAAATACTTAAAGAATAAGTGGTTTTGACTTTCAAATCGGTTTGAGATACCAAAGTTCAACTCTAGTATTACTTTTTAATATGAAGTCATCTCCCCTGTTTGTCTTTGTGCTGATGTTATTGACGTTGATCCCTCTGTGTGTAGGTCTTTGTGCTGATGTTATTGACATTGATCCCTATGTGTGTAGATCTTTGTGCTGGTGTTATTGACATTGATCCCTATGTGTGTAGATCTTTGTGCTGGTGTTATTGACATTGATTCCTCTGTGTTTGTAGGTCTTTGTGCTGATGTTATTGACATCGATCCTTATATTTATGGTCATTGTGCTGATGTTATTGACATTGATCTCTCTGTGTGTAGGTCTTTGTGCTGATGTAATTGACATTGATCTCTGTGTGTGTAGGTCTTTGTGCTGATGTTATTTACATTCATCTCTCTGTGTGTAGGTATTTGTGCTGATGTTATTAGCATTGATCTCTATGTGTTGGTCTTTGTGCTGGTGTTATTGACATTGATCCCTCTATGTGTAGATCTTTGTGCTGATGTTATTGATGTTGATCCCTCTGTGTGTAGGTCTTTGTGCTGATGTTATTGACGTTGATCCCTCTGTGTGTAGGTCTTTGTGCTGATGTTATTGACATTGATCCCTATGTGTGTAGGTCTTTGTGCTGGTGTTATTGACATTGATTCCTCTGTGTTTGTAGGTCTTTGTGCTGATGTTATTGACATGGATCCTTATATTTATCGTCTTTGTGCTGATGTTATTGACATCGATCCTTATATTTATGGTCTTTGTGCTGATGTTATTGACATTGATCTCTGTGTGTGTAGGTCTTTATGCTGATGTTATTGGCATTGATCTCTCTGTGTGTAGGTATTTGTGCTGATGTTATTAGCATTGATCTCTCTATGTGTAGGTCTTTGTGCTGATGTTATTGACAATGATCCCTCTGTGTGTAGATCTTTGTGCTGATGTTATTGACATTGATCTCTTTGTGTGTAGGTCTTTGTGCTGATGTTATTTGCATTGATCTCTCTATGTGTAGGTCTTTGTGCTGACATTATTGACATTGATCTCTGTGTGTGTAAGTTTTTGTGCTGATGTTATTGACATTGATCTCTCTGTGTGAGGTCTTTGTGCTGATTTTTTTGACATTGATCCCTCTATGTGTAGGTCTTTGTGCTGATGTTATTGAAATTGATGCCTATGTTTGTATTTCTTTGTGCTGGTGTTATTGACATTGATCTCTGTGTGTGTAGGTCTTTGTGCTGATGTTATTGACATTGATCTATCTGTGTGTAGGTCTTTGTGCTGATGTTATTGACATTGATCTATCTGTGTGTAGGTCTTTGTGCTGATGTTATTGACATTGTTCTCTCTGTGTGTAGGTCTTTGTGCTGATGTTATTGACATTGATCTCTCTGTGTAGGTCTTTATGCTGATGTTATTGACATTGATCTCTCGGTGTGTAGGTCTTTGTGCTGATGTTATTGACATTGTTCTCTCTGTGTGTATGTCTTTGTGCTGGTGTTATTGACATTGATCCCTCTGTTTGTAGGTCTTTGTGCTGGTATTATTGACATTGATCCCTCTGTGTGTAGGTCTTTGTGCTGATGTTATTGACGTTGATCCCTCTGTGTGTAGGTCTTTGTGCTGATGTTATTGACATTGATCTCTCTGTGTAGGTCTTTATGCTGATGTTATTGACATTGATCTCTCGGTGTGTAGGTCTTTGTGCTGATGTTATTGACATTGTTCTCTCTGTGTGTATGTCTTTGTGCTGGTGTTATTGACATTGATCCCTCTGTTTGTAGGTCTTTGTGCTGGTATTATTGACATTGATCCCTCTGTGTGTAGGTCTTTGTGCTGATGTTATTGACATTGATCTCTCTGTGTGTGTAGGTCTTTGTGCTGATGTTATTGGCATTGATCTCTCTGTAGGTCTTTGTGCTGACATTATTGACATTGATCCCTCTGTTTGTAGGTCTTTGTGCTGGTATTATTGACATCGGTGCCACATGGATGTCAGATCTGAAGGAAGGAATCTGTGCTGAGGCTTTCTGGTTAAACAGGGAGCAGTGCTGCTGGTCTGTTAGTAAAACAGAAGTGGATGAATACTGTCAACAGGTGAGCATATGACTTCCATGGATTCACACATCCCAAAGAAAATCAGACTTGGAGAAGCAATTTTTCATTACCATTTTTAGCTCACCTGAGCTGAAAGCTCAAGTGAGCTTTTCTGATCACCCACTGTCCATCGTCCGTCCGTCTGTCTGTCCGTCTGTCTGTCTGTCCATCTAGCTGTCTGTCCGTCCGTCTGTAAACTTTTCACATTTTCAACTTCTTCTCAAGAACCACTGGGCCAATTTTAACCAAACTTGGTACAAAGTATCCTTGGGTGAAGGGGAGTTTAAATTCTTAAAATAAAGGGCCAATTCTCCTTACAAGGGGAGATAATCAGGAAAAGACAAAAATGGGGTGGTGTCATTAAAAAATCTTCTTCTCAAGAACCACTGGGCCAGAAAAGCTGAAACTTATGTAGAAGCATCCTGGGATAGTGTAGATTCTAAATTTTCAAAATCATGACCCCCGGGGGTAGGGCGGGGCCACAATAGGGAATCCAAGTTTTACATTAAAATATATAGGAAAGATCTTTAAAAATCTTCTTCTCAAGAACCACTGGGCCAGAAAAGCTGAAACTTATGTGGAAGCATCCTGGGGTAGTGTAGATTCTAAATTGTTCAAATCATGACCCCTGGGGATAGGGTGGGGCCACAATAGGGAATCCAAGTTTTACATTGAAATATATAGGAAAAATCTTTTAGAATCTTCTTCTCAAGAACCACTGGGCCATAAAAACTAAAACTTATGTGGAAGCATCCTGGGGTAGTGTAGATTTTAAATTGTTCAAATCATGACCCTGGGGGGTAGGGCGGGGCCACAACAGGGAATCCAAGGTTTACATTGAAATATATAGGAATTTTTTTTTTTAAATCTTCTTCTCAAGAACCACTGGGCCAGAAAAGCTGAAACTTATGTGGAAGCATCCTGGGGTAGTGTAGATTCTAAATTGTTCAAATCATGACCCCCAGGGGTAGGGTGGGGCCACAATAGGGAATCCAAGTTTTACATTGAAATATATAGGGAAAATCTTTAAAAATCTTATCTTCAAGAACCACTGGGCCTGAAAAGCTGAAACTTATGTGGAAGCATCCTTGGGTAGTGTAGATTCTTAATTATTCAAATCATGACCCCCAGGGTAGGGCAGGGCCACAATAGGTATTACAAGGTGGGAAATCTGGTAAAGAACAGCATGGCCAAAGTTACTCAGGTGAGCGATGTGGCGCATGGGCCTCTTGTTGGACTTACAAAGTTTTGTTGTTTGAAACCATGACATTTTAGCATAAGAATCACAGAAAAATAAAGAATATTTTTATATCAATGCAAAGCATGCTACATCTTTCTACCAGACTGACTCTGACAAACTTTTATTTTCAGTGGAAGACATGGTCTGAGATTTTTGGAGGTAGTAGATCTGGGGCTGGGTCCTATGTCACTACCTATCTCCTCTATGTAGTGTGGGCCATTGTGTTCTCAATGCTAGCTGCCATGTTTGTTCGGGTGTTTGCTCCATATGCCTGTGGATCCGGTATCCCCGAGGTCAGTTATCCTGCATTCTCAAAACATACTTTTGTCTGGAGCCCCTACATAACATACATGTACAAAGCTATAAAGAAGATGAGGTTTTGTAAATATTTCAGAGAAAGGTATAATTTTATTGTTTTTATAAAACTATAATTGTGAAATATGTTGGCCTCACCTGTGTACCTGTCATAGGTAATATACTGCATGTATTTGTTTTCAATTTTTAGATTAAAACAATTTTAAGTGGGTTCATCATTAGGGGCTACCTTGGGAAATGGACCCTCCTTACAAAATCTGTTGGTATGATGTTAGCAGTATCAGCGGGCCTCAGTCTAGGGAAGGAGGGACCATTTGTTCATGTTGCCTGCTGTTGTGGGAATATATTCTCATATTTGTTTCCAAAGTATGGTTCTAATGAAGCCAAAAAGAGAGAGGTGAGATCAGAAAATCTACTTGATGAAAGTGATTGTAAATGTGTGCATCACTACATGTACTATTTTCAAATTACTTGATTCGTATTTACAAAAGCATTTATATGTGCAGTTAATTGATTAAATTGTACTAATCCTGAGTGATTATTTCATGATTATACAATGTATTTGTTTATGGTTAGTTTATTACATGTATTGTTAAACACCCACACTATGTCATGGTTAATACAGAGAATCACATGTAACAAGAACTTTATCAATGGAAAGTTCATCTATCCTTTTCTCATTTTCAGATTTTATCAGCTGCTTCAGCTGCTGGGGTCAGTGTGGCTTTTGGGGCCCCCATAGGGGGAGTTTTATTTAGCTTGGAAGAGGTAAGCTAGAGTCGTTACTCATTTTTATATTATTAAATTGATCAAGATTCTACAGTCAAATTAACGACTAAGGAGAGATACAAACCTACCTGCTCTCCTGATTTGTCTATACTTTTTTTTTTTTACAATTTTTGACTTAAATACAATCTACAATTTAGAAGCAAAATCTCCCTTTTTTCAAATTTCCAACATTTTTGTAAGTAATTAATAATAATATTCAAGAAATTAGATGTATATATGTACCTTTATATTGCTGATATATCCATATACAGTTTTCAAGTATTTAAATTTCAATGATTAGAAACCCCAGTAAACACCCACAAACATCAAGATTAAGGGGTGGTATAGTAGATATGGAAATATAATAGACTTCTACTTGTCCAAAGTATCGCACACCCAACTAAAATACAAGATGCATCTCCTTTGAATGCACAATGAGTAAATTTGTTTAAGTGAAATCACTCTAATTTTCTGCATAAAGGACAAAATCTTCTGCATAAAAGTCAAATCTTACAAACAAATTGATAGAAAACTTTGGTAAACATCTGCTTTGGGTAGTCAGGTCTTGAGATGAATATTTTAACTGGTAAAGATAAAAGAAATCCTTTTAGTTTATGAATTACAATTACATTTACTTATTCTTATATAGGTGAGCTACTATTTTCCTCTGAAGACATTATGGCGGTCCTTCTTCTGTGCTTTGGCTGCTGCATTTGTTCTTAGGTCTATCAATCCCTTCGGGAATGACCATCTAGTCATGTTTTATGTGGAATACAATGAACCATGGTACATACAGGAGTTAATCCCCTTTGTACTCATTGGTGTATTAGGGGTAAGTTATCATAATGAGGGCTATATTCTGGTGATGAATTTTTTTTTTTAATCTATTTTCTTAGAGAATTTTATCCATTGTACATTTCAGGGTTTATATGGAAGCTTTTTTATTAAAGCAAATATTGCTTGGTGCAGATACAGAAAAAACACAAAATTAGGAAATTATCCTATAGTAGAGGTGAGTTTTATAGACTGTTATTTCACTAATCATTAAATGATCAAATTAATTAAATATTAAATAATTAAATACTGTTCGTGTACATAAATTGGTGTATTCAAAATTTAGTGCAATCACCAGGTATGAAGTTGTTGGCGAAAAATTATGAATTAGAGCTATACATGTCCATGCCATATATTGCATTTATAAATGTTTTCTTAACGGTATTAATCAATTAGCACATAATTGTCTGCGCCAAAGCCGCTAAAATATCAAGCTCGTATTTTGAAGTACACATACAGTAATATTAAATGATCAGGAATTTCGATGCTCTCTGATTGGTTGATACCCTCTTTCCTGAGGTGTACCTCAGAGTGAGTTCACCTCAAAATGAAGTTCTTGGAGGTTTATTCAGGTTTTCTTTCTTGATCAACCATAGATTTGTTTACTTTTTTTTTTGGCCAATCAAATTGTACATTTTTAAAGCATGGGTCATTGTGAATATAAACACGGCACATGCCAGTACTGAAGAGACTTTACTCCTGTACTTTGTTTTATAATACTGTTTTCCACTTTAAAAACATTATGGCTGTAATGTGTTGATACACTACACATTGTATTATGAGTGTTTATACATTATATTAACTTACATTGTAAGTGTCAAAAATGTAAAATTCCTGATTATTCAATATAACGGGTACTGACTAAGACTTCTGAATTCAATCTAGACCTCAATAAAAGTCAAAAATTGTATATGTAGCATTACTAATAAATGTTATTGGTAAAACAATCAAGGTGTCAAGTTTCCATCCCCATTTAATTTGTTCTTCATTTTTATTAAATTATAAGTGCAAAATAAGAAGTGTATAAAGTATTATATTTATAAAAAAAAAATTATTATAATGATAATTATTTTTTTTTTATTTTAACAGGTTTTAGTTGTGACATTTATCACAGCCCTCCTGAGTTACCCAAACCAATATACAAGGTCAGAACTTACAGCTGTAGGATATAAGGGAACACATGGTTATATGCATGAAAATCAGTTATCTAAAATACAACCAAATGAAATGTTTGCTTACAGAATACATTTTAAAATTGCTGTACCAGTAGAAAAAAAGTAATTATCAGTGCTTTTTACAGGTTGAACACCAGTGAGTTGATCAAGATGTTGGTAGGACGCTGTGGACCTGAAGATGACACAGATCTCTGGTAGGGTTCAGTGTAATTCAGTACATGTATTAATTAATGCAATATATCGATCATTTGTAGAGTTCATTATAGTTCAGTATTATAATTTACTGCAGTATATCAATCTCTGGTAGGGTTCATTGTAGTTCAGTATTATAGTTTATTGCATTCTTATTTTCTCAAACACTTGCTGTAAAAAAAAATTACTCTGGGGATTAAGTATGTATTTTTGACAGGCAAACATTACACCTGTGTTAACTATACAGTCCTTGTATGGTAATGACAACTGTAATAATGACTGTGAGTGTTTATTTCAGTGACTACAAGAGAAATTATAGTTCACACCAGCTGAATGAGACTTCATTAAAAACAATGACCTCCAGCACAGAGATTGGAGACGGTGTAGAAAAAGCTCTGTGGATGTTAGCTCTGGCCCTCATTTTTAAGGGAATTATCACTATATTTACCTTTGGAATTAAGGTAATGATATTCAAGAGTCATCTATTTTCATTTATGAAATACTTTTTTTTTTTCATGAAAAACTTACACTTGACAGAAAATAGAACTGTTTTAGTATAGGAAAGGAAAGGATAGATATTTCAAAGGAATGCTACAAATTTTACAACTGGAAATTAAAATTTGGGGAAAATGTTTTGAACAATTGAGATGAAACATTTAACCTTCTATTGTAGATTCCATCTGGACTGTTTATACCTAGCATGGCAGTGGGTGCTATCATGGGAAGAATGATTGGAATAGGTTTTGAACAAATTGTGGTGTAAGTTAATTAAAATATGCAGTTTAACATGTCTAGATCAAATGCTGAAAAGAACTTATATCAAAATGCATCTCTGACTGTGAAGTGATTATGATTTTGGCTAGTACTATCACCTATACTAAATTCAAAAAATAACAATCTTTATCGTGCTTATCTAATAATCTCAGTTCTGATGAATTGTTCATTTCAGTGCAAACCACGACAATCCATTCTTTGAGAACATGTGCGAGTCCAAACAGTTCTGTAGGATTACTCCTGGCCTGTATGCCATGGTGGGGGCAGCAGCCGCCCTAGGCGGAGTCACTCGGATGACAGGTGGGTGTCATTGTAATGATTTTACTGATCTTATACTTTATCTTTCATAAGTCATATCTTTGTTTTCATGTAAATAAATGTGCTTTCTGTTCAAATGTTACATGTATTTATACTTGGACCTTTTTGAGTGGTAAAATAGATGAAGGTTACAGGGCATTAAGGGAGTGTGGCCAGGACTCATCATAATAATGAATCAATCATGCCTGCTATAAGTTGTGTCTCCGTTCATGATTTATTATCAATCATTGTTTTGATTGTCCTTTTAGTGTCCCTAGTGGTGATCATGTTTGAGTTGACGGGAGGACTTCAGTATATCGTCCCTCTCATGGTTGCTACCATGACCAGCAAATGGGTAGGAGATGCCCTGGGAAAAGAAGGAATGTATCCTTTTTTAATAAGAAAAATTAACCAATGTCAAAATCCTTAAACATCATGTTCTACAAAGTAAAATTCTAATTATCTTATATATGTATTTTAAACAGTAATTGGATAGTTGTGAATACTTTTGGTTTCAGTTGTTTAGACAATAGATACACAACAGAGACAGAACAGAATAGTTGTAAACTTTCCTTGACAAATACAGTTACGATGCCCACATACAGCTCAATGGCTACCCCTTCCTGGACAGCAAGGAGGAATTTACACACACTACCCTCGCTTCTGATGTCATGAGGCCAAGGTATGACAGATATATGTTTGTTGGAAGTATTTTACTGTATACAAATTGTCAGTGTTTCTGTAGCCACTTTGACTTTGTGAATGACTGGTTGACTTTTGTTTTTGTGCAATGATTCATAATTTGTTGTCTAATGTTTTACAAGATCTGCGCGCTATGGATCGGTAGTGTAAGTTATGTGTCCATTGTTTTGCTGGAATGTAGTTTTTGATGCATCTATAACATAAGCACTTCCAAATATTTTGTGGACACTTTAGTGTTCAAACTATATTATGATGTTCTACACTTATTGTACAAATGTAATCAGTTTTTGTTTCATTTTATTTCAAATTTTGAGGAGAAAAATTTTTTATAATATTTTTTGTGCATGCAGCATGACTTTAAAAAATATTTTTTATTACAATTTTAATTATTATTTTGACATTATTGTACAGGAATAGTATATAGATTTGGCTTTCATCCATTTTAGTTTGAAAAAAAAATTTAAAAATATTTTAAAGAGTGGGATAATCAATTATTATCCCCCCTCATAACAAAATTGAGGGGATATAGTAATGCGCTTGAGAGTGTGTGAGTGAGTGAGTTTGTGCATAACAGAAATAATAATTTACATTGAGATCGATGTGCTCTTTTGCAAGGGCATGATCCACTTTGTGGTGCACTTGTCTGAAGTATTTTTCTATCCAAAATAATACATTTTTTTAATTTTGAATATTTATTTTGAAATTTCCATCTACCATAACATGTGATATGCATCAAACAGACATCAAACAGATACGTGATTTGCTAGCAGTACACATTGGTCAAGAATTCTGCTTTTAAACAACCATTCAGTACAAGTACTTTAGAGTGCCATTCTAAATTAAATGCTTTTGCTTTCAAAGAAGCCACCAAGAAACAGTAGTTTATTTGCTCTGTACGCAGCATCATAGAAATCTGTGTTAAGGTATGCATTGCTTAAATCTTCAAAGTTACGGAGATTAGTCCATTGAGCTCCATCTATGTATAGTATAGTTAGACAGATTTTGACTCCTTGAATCAATAGAGAACTGCCATTTTGGAACTGAGAATACAGTCATGTAATTTTAATGTAAAATCAGTCCATGAATCAATCTTAAATATTATGAGGAATGTCCCAAAAAGTGCAAATGCTTTTTAAAAAATTCATAAACCAGTACCCATTCATAATTATTTATTTTTTGTACATTGTTTGGAAATGATATTTTCATTATTTTGGCTTAATGTTATGAGGTTGTAGTATCATATGCAATAATAAAAACGGCATTTAATTAAAGGATGTTAAATTTTGGTGGCTGGTACACTACAAATTTTTTTCACATAGAAATTGTATTGCATCAAAGTTTTGTTTACTAACAGATTGTATGAAAATATGTGACAAAATTTACATTGATGAACAAAAGTACAATATGTGAAAATTCATTCTTAACATCATACATGGTAATTCTGTTAGATATTGTCTAAAAATGACAATGTTGGGTGATAATATTATTTATAGAGTTATTTTATTAAACTTTCTGATAATGATGCATGCTGATTCTCAACTTTATAATTTTAGTGAAACAAAAAATATTGTGTTTTTCTGGGACAATCCTCATATCTTCAAAATTTGTAATTTTTCATGTCTTAAATGTAAAATGATTTCAGGTAACATTAAGTTTTGCACTAATGAAGTTTGATTTGATGCTAACAGTTTTGGATTTTTAGTGTTTTAAGTGAATAACATCTAATCTGCTGTATTTTAAAATCAGGAAAATATCTATTCTCTTCTTAATTCCTGAAATCAGAATGTATAGGCATCTGCCACCAACATAAATACCTCCGGTTTTCCTTGATTGCCAAAATAATGCTTCTCTTGACATTAAACAAATAAACTTAATATTTTGATGGAAGTGTAATTAAAAGAAATAATGTTTGGATTTTCTTCATTATGAAGTTTCACTGATTGCATTACAGGAGAAATGATCCCCCTTTGAGTGTGATAACACAGGATTCAATGACTGTGGAAGAAGTGGGTAGGTGGAATTCATATTCATAAATCAATTAAGTCTCAATATTTTCTTACTGAATTTTTTTTTCAGTTTATACAATTTAATTGTGAAGGACCACAAAGATAGAATTATTTGCTTGAAAATAATGCTGCTGTGTGTACTAAGCATTCCAATGAAATTGTCAGCTTATATACACAATTTACATGTATATTCTTTTAGAAATTGCATTCAATTTTAAATTGAAAAAGTATTTCAAAAAATTTTTTTTTTTCACAGAACATGTTCTAAAGAGTGCATCTCACAATGGGTTCCCAGTGGTAGTATCTCATGAATCTCAATATCTCGTGGGCTTTGTTCTCAGGAGGGATCTTAGTCTCGCAATATGTGAGTTTTAACATTCAAACATAAATATGTATTTTACTTGGGTGAACTTTCACCTTAATTTAAACTTAAATTTAAATGAGATACCCGTTTTGTAAGTTTATCTTTGACTAGGAAAAAAGAGAATTTTTATATTAAAGCATATACCAACAATAACCATCGATACATCTGTACCTATCTGTCATATTTTTTTTCACAGCCAATGCCCTGAAGCTACAGGATGGTGTTGTTTACAATTCAATCGTCTACTTCACCAATCAAGTTCCTGATAACCCTAATGACCCCGCCCCTTTGAAACTGAGGAAAATTATAGATATGGTTAGTATTCCTTGAAGTTATACAGACTGTAACAAAGATGCAGAATTATTTAGGGAATATTTTTAGTCTTGTGAGTGTGTAAATTCAATCATATTTTATCTTTCAGGCATATTTCTTGACATGTGCAAGTTAAGTAATTAAATTTACCAAAGAATTATAGCAGAAGCTTGAGATATATGGCTTTTTTAAATATGTGATTTTTTTATAAATTGTTTTTAGGCCCCAGTAACAATTACAGATCAGACTCCCATGGAGATGGTTGTAGAAATGTTCAGAAAACTTGGACTCAGACAAACTCTGGTCACACATAAAGGGTAGGTCTATGAAACAGTGAAATCAATTTATTCACTCTCTTTGCTAGATATCAACAGAAGAACATTTTTAGCTCACCTGAGCTGAAAGCTCAAGTGAGCTTTTCTGATCACATTTTGTCCGGCGTCCGTCTGTCTGTCCGTCTGTCTGTCTGTCTGTCTGTCCGTCTGTCTGTCCGTCTGTCTGTCTGTAAACTTTTCACATTTTCGACTTCTTCTCAAGAACCACTGGGCCAATTTCAACCAAACTTGCCACAAAGTATCCTTGGGTAAAGGGGATTCAAGTTTGTTCAAATGAAGGGCCATGCCCTCTTTCAAGGGGAGATAATTAGGAATTACTGAAAAAATAATGGAATCATTTAAAAATCTTCTTCTCAAGAACCATAGGACCAGGAAAGATGAAACTCATGTGGAAGCATCCTCAGGTAGTGTAGATTCAAGTTTGTTCAAATCATGATCCCCGGGGGTAGGGCGGGGCCACAATGGAGGATCAAAGTTTTACATAGAAATATATAGGAAAAATCTTTAAAAATCTTCTTCTCAAGAACAGCAAAGCCATGATAAGTCAAATTCATGTGGAAGCATCCTCAGGTAGTGTAGATTCAAGTTTGTTAAAACCATGACCCCCGGGGGTAGGGCGGGGCCAAAATGGAGGATCAAAGTTTTACATAGAAATATATAGGAAAAATCTTCTTCTCAAGAACAGCAAAGCCATGTTGAGTCATATTTATGTGGAAGCATCCTCAGGTAGTGTAGATTCAAGTTTGTTAAAACCATGACCCCCGGGGGTAGGGCGGGGCAACAATGGAGGATCAAAGTTTTACATAGAAATTTATAGGAAAAATCTTTAAAAATCTTCTTCTCTAGAACAGCAAAGCCATGATGAGTCATATTTATATGGAAGCATCCTCAGGTAGTGTAGATTCAAGTTTGTTAAAACCATGACCCCCGGGGGTAGGGCGGGGCCACAATGGAGGATCAAAGTTTTACATAGAAATGTATAGGAAAAATCTTTAAAAATCTTCTTCTCTAGAACAGCAAAGCCATGATGAGTCATATTTATATGGAAGCATCCTCAGGTAGTTTAGATTCAAGTTTGTTCAAACCATGACCCCCTGGGGTAGGGCGGGGCCAAAATGGAGGATCAAAGTTTTACATAGAAATATAAAGGAAAATATCTTCTTCTGAAGAACTGCAAACCATTATTAGTCATTTTGATATGGAAGCATCCTCAGGTAGTGTAGATTCTATTTTGTTCAAATGATGACCCGCAAGGGTAGGGTGGGGCCCAATGGGGGATGGAAAGTTTTACATAAGAACATATAGAAATATTTCTTCTCAAGAACAGTAAAGCTATGTTTAGTCATATTGATATGGAAGAATCCTCAGGTAGTGTAGATTCAAGTTTGTTCAAATGATGACCCCTGGGATAGGGAGGAGCCACAATGGGGGATCAAATTTTTAGAAAGGAATATATGGGAATTTTTTTTTAAAATCTTCTCAAGTACAACAAAGCCATTTGTTACATTGACAAGGAAGCATCATCAGGTAGTTTAAAATTCAAGCCCCCCCCCCCCCCCCCCCCCCCCCGGTCTTTTCAATACTGAACTGATTTGTGCTTTTGCTGAGCCAATGTGCTCAGGTGAGCGATGTGGCCCATGGGCCTCTTGTTTTATAGTGCCTTAGATTTTTTTTCATTTTTAATGGTTTTAAAACAATCAGTGCTTTTTCACCTTTTCTGATAAATAAATGTACACTGATGGTGATTATTCACTAGAAACTTCATTGCAAAAGGGTGATTAAATTGCTTGGAAAGTAGATTAAACTTCTTGTCTTTTAAAACATTTTTTTTTCTTTTATGACAGAGGCATGTTTCACATAGTAGTGCCATCTAATTGATGTATTTTTATTTCATACAGGAGATTACTTGGAATTATAACAAAGAAAGATGTTCTACGCCACATTGCTCATTTAGAGAATCAGGACCCAGAGTCTATCCTCTTTAATTAGTTCATTTAATCAGGACCCTGAGTCTATCCTTTTTTAATTAGTTCATTCCTTGTTATTGCCTCGTAGCAGATAAATTATCTGTATTCCAATAAGTGACAAATATGTTATTGTTCAAAGAGTGTGATGGATTAGTCTCAAACATGTTCCAAGGTGTCTGTGAGTATGACTGTGTTTATCGTACATTTAGTATTGTGCTATCATGTTGTTGATTGTACATTTCACTTGTGCATTGTGTGCAATTCTGTATAAATTGATAAACATATGACATAATGATTGTGTATTTAGTATATTTATTTATATTATGAACTAGAATGTGATACTTTACTATTAAGCATTTTTTCATTTCATTGTAAATCGCTCAGAGAGTGAATGGTTTTGTTGAATATTTAATGCATAAATGTGATGAACTGATGGAAGGTACAGCTTCTCCCTAGAAACAAATTGTTTTACTTTGATTACAATGACACTGATGCTTTTAAACATGAGAAATAGTCTACAATTAGCTAAAATGGATATTAATTTTTTATTTATTTTGATCATTCTCATAGAAGCTGGCAATTCATCCAAGTTTATGAACTGGATGACAAGATAAACAGTTTACCTACACTAGACCTCTAAAGCACTGTCAGATGCTAAAATGACTTGACTGACTATCCTTTCTAAGATTTTGTATTGATAAAGTGTTTTTCTGATGAAAGAACGAAATTTAAATATGAATTCATGCAATCAAGAAATGTACTAATGCATTGTATGACATTTGGCAATAGATAATACTCTTTTATTATTAATATATATGTATACTTTGTAAATGCATTGCATTGTAAGATGATCAAATAAAGAAGCTGTATTAAGTCTTTTCTGTGTTTAGATGAAACATTTTTGTTTCTTTCAAGAGGTCACGTGGAGCTAGAAAACTGTTGATTTACCTGTACCTCAAAAAATTATTTACAGTAATTAGTATGTATATTAAAAGTACTATTTTTTATGATAAAATATCCCATTATTATTTCTACCCCCCCCCCCCCCCCAAAAAAAAAAGGAATTAAAACATTTTTTGTTGTCTGGAGAACCAAGGAAAAAAAAATTGGGATTGGAAACCATATTGGATTGAAAGTGATTTATATATTCAAAAATGATATAACACACCAGGCAATGGGCCAAACATGAAAAAGACATTGACACTTTGTCAGAGTTGATTATAAGTGGATGTTGAAATCTCAGATTAAGCGATTGAGTAGCAATATGAAAACCATCTATCCTTCTGTACTCAATAATTCAGAAGTGAAAAAAGAATTAGATTACGCAAACATTATGTGCTGTCCTAGCTGGCAAAGCAGGTAAAAACATTGTAAGGTTCATTATCTTATTTGTATTTTAGAGGAACTGGGATTTATTTCTTTGAGTGGTAATCCAACTTTATAGCCATAGCTCCCTTTCTAAGGAGGATATGCTTCAAAATCATATGTCAGTTTTAAATATTTTAATATTCCCAACAATCAAAATGAATTTACCATATCCATACTGGATTCTTAAAGTTAATAAAAAATCTTTACAAACAAAGGTACAAAGCAGATTTCAGTTAAATGTTCTACCAAGCCTTTTTTTTTTTTACTCTTCACTAAAATATTAACAGCAGTGAAGGAGAAACTTCAAGAGTACTGTACAACAACATATTCAAGTAGTGGTGTTTATATAAGATGTCGAATCAGAAATCAAATCTCCCAGGAACTTTTAGAAAATCTGAAATCACAAAACTTTTGACTTCACATACAGCTGCTTTTTCAATAAAAATGGAACTCGTAAATTAAATTACCTTGTCATTGCTCATTTGTAAAATTATTTTGTTAAGAATCATTCTGATTGTACACACAAGTACTCTGAAGTTGAAATTAAAAAGATGCTCGAGTTTCTGACTGACAATATCTATGTCGTATTTGTAGATCAGGTCTTCCAACAATCTGTCGGAATTGCCTAGGGTACTTATTACGCCCCGTTATTAGTAGACCTATTTTTGTATTCATATGAAGAATTTATTCAAAAACTTGTACATGAGAAGAAGACACTTGCTTTGGCCTTCGATATCAACTTGACATATAGATATATCGACGACGTATTATCAATTAGCAATACATGTAGTTTCTTCCATTCGTATGTCCACCCGATATATCCCAGTGAACTTGAAATTAAAGATGCCACAGAGTCTGACACATCTGTTTCATGTAAGTCATATACGGTACCAATTTTGATGCACCAGATGCGCATTTCGACAAATTATGTCTCTTCAGTGATACTCAAGCCGAAATATTGGAAATCCAAAATATTTAAATAAAAAAGACTTGGAAGAGCTGAAAAAATTACCAAAAACTGTAGCCAAATATCTGGATATTTTACTAGAAAAAGATAATAAATGACTTCAACTTTTCTATCGTCGATTTCCATTACTTTGTAAGGAGCAATATATCCTTATCACCTGCATATGGGGGGTTTATATCTCCCAGTTGATTCGATACGCGTTCCACTTTCGAACAATATTTTTAAAAAAGGAATATTATCGACAAACAAATTGATGAAACAAGGATATCAACAGTCTCGTTTTAAGTCATCATTTCGCAAGTTTCTATAGTTGTGAAGAAGAAGAGAAGTGCAGAAGTAATATATGCTGTTAAGATACAGATTTTGGAGAAAGTTGGCTGTTCAGAAGAAACAGGGTGTCCACTTTTACGGCTAAAGGACGGACATATTTTTAAGCACCCCTGTAAAATTATTCAGTTGGAAGAGGTTTTTCACAACTGCAAAGATGTTCAGTGTCCTGTAAAAAAAGACAACATCAGTAACACTATGTTTGTAAAGCACAGAGAGTTCAACTCTTACATTTTGAATAGATTCAGGTTGTGAAACTCTTTGCTTGGTTTTTCATGTAAAGTATTAAAGTGACCCCAAAGTTGGAATTACAATATTTTCAGTTTTTTGGGGGAAATAAGACAATAGATGGTTTTTGTAGTTTTGTAATGATTGTCAATATTGTGTGAAATCAATGCATCAAACAGTAATCAAACTCAAAGGTCCATTGAAACAACACAAATTGTGATTTAACAAGATATTTAAAAATCTATTTTTACAAAATATTATTTAACGTTATTTGAAAGTTTTATATTCTTCCTGGTCTTTTACTTATATAGCTTAATATTTGAAATAGTGGATTTTTGGATGTGAAATATAAGTGTAAAAAATCCACTCTCTTAGGAATATGTCACCCTTGGAGTGATGCAATGTGTCTACCACCATTAAAGAAAGTTTATTGATTTTCAACAATTAAAAGTCTTGTCAGTAATTTTAAGGATAGTGATTATTCCATATAATATTTTGGAATCTCTGTGAGAAACTTATCTTTTGATATTTATAACAAAGTAGAATTATTAGAATCCATATGAATTCTGGTAATTATTCATGTGGAGTGATTGTCTCAAATGAGTGAATAGAAATTTAAGTCCGAGTGTTTGATCTGATTGTTCCCTTTGGGGTCTTGACATGCTTCTATTATGTTTCCTATTCTTATTTGAATGTTTTGATGTTTCAAAGTATATATGTGAATCATATTTGTAAAGGCTATGTTCTTGATTACTTTTTGAATTTATTCTTTATGAACACTGGAGCATATATATAACATTATTGAAAGTCAAATATAAGTACAGGTGACTCTCGATGGCTCGAACTCCGATCTCTCGAAGTTCTCGATCTCTCGAAGTGAACCTCCGGTCCCGTTTTTTTCCTCTATATAACTAAGCAAATTTACTTCCGATCTCTCGAACTTCCAATCTCTCGAAGTTCTCTATCTCTCGAACCAAGACCTGGGTCCCGTTACACACATTTCATTGTTTTTTACTCTCTATCTCTCGAAGTTTTGATTGCGCTTTGTACACGCCAATCAAGCGTGAAATTAATGCAGCTTGGACTTACCTGGATAACAGTGAACGCCTGGGGCTGGCATGGAGGTGTTAATTGGGTGTTTACATAGATGACACTATACCTGTGAGCATCTGAGTGTTGATATAAATAATTGGTTATAATTGGTAAATTGTAAACGAATTGCTTCACAACTTATTTTTTGACTTGACAGCGCGACGAAAATTTTTAGAAAATAATTTAAGAGGCGTGTCAATAATTTTCCATAGATTATGAAGTTTTTATTAGAATGTACATAATCCCAGTATGACAAACATTGCACAAGAAATCCTATCTCAAGAATTAAATACCGATTTAATACGAGAAATCTGTTAAAGTACCCGATCAGGCCCGTGGGTTAACCACACCGACGATTGATATTCAGATTTTATGTAATCGTGAAATGGGAACAAATAAATATTGAAACTTAAAGAGATCGTTTTATTTATTCAAAATACGATCATTGTTGTTGAAATCAAGTGAATTATCTGTAAACTACGAATGAAAACGTGCAATGCTATTATCAACATATACTTCCGGTATTTATAATAGTGGAACAATGATGATCGGAACTGAAAATTCCGGATTTTATTCACTTTCTATCTCTCGAACCCCTCGATCTCTCGAACTTTTCTTGCGGTCCCTTGAACTTCGAGAGATCGAGAGTCACCTGTATATATACTTTGACAAGTGTTTTCATTTTCTTTTCATAATGTAAAAGGAGAATCATTCAAAGAAAGAAAAAGTAGTACTAGTATTCTATTTTCCATTAGAATATGTTCATTTGAAATTTGCATTAATATCTTAATTATTTTGAAATTACACCCCCCCCCCCAAAAAAAAAGAGAAAGAAATCAATTGCTTAATATGCCTGGAATATTCAACCAATTAAACATGGATATAACTTAACATGTGTATTACATGTGTACATGAATACACATATATTTCATATAAATCAAACATGTATAATTCATCTGTATTTTTCCACACATGTATAACATATATAAAATATATATAAAATATATGTTATACATATGTGGTGAAGAACATGTGTTCAACATATATATTTTCTCACAGGTGTATTACACATGTATATTATATATGTTTTACATATAAATGAAACACATATTTTGCATGTGTATATTTACACACATGTATTACATGTATAAAACATGTGTTGAACACATGTGAAACCAAACATATGTTTAACACATGTGGACATTTTTCCTGTGTAGTCGATATAATGACCTTGTCAGCAAATACAGCCTATCATTAATTAAGTCGAATGCTGACTGATAATTTTCATACTAATTGTTAGGCCATTATTTAAACACCCCGATCATGATAAGGAGCACACAGCGGGTGTGACCGCTCGACAGGGGATGCTTACTCCTCCATGGCACCTGATCCTTCCTCTGATGTATTTAAAGGTACGCCCGTATTTGCTCTGTTCCCGATTCATATTGTTTCAATGGACTTTTGAGTTTGATTATTTGCTTTAGATCTATGGTATTATAAATGGTATAATCAAAAGATTTGGAATATGAATGTCAAGTTTACGAATATAAATAACAGGTTTTTGAGTACTAGTACTAAAACGAGTACAGTCAAAATATAATACAAGAGTTGTAATATTTCAGCATTTTACACACCATATACTAGCGGATCAAGGAGATGGGCGAACATAGCGTGCAGAAAGCCTATAGCTTCAGAGATATAAAAATCATGTTCAGTTTGTGAATTTAATATTTAGAGTAAAGTTCTCATTATTGAAATTTATGACATTGTGATAAACAAAACTTTTCTGAGGAAAATTTTCTCGGAAAAATTTATTCTTTTATTAAAAAAATTAATGTGGTATTCGTGGGGTTCGAACCCTAGCAATAAAAATCCTGAGTATCATTTTCTTTCGAGACTAGCACGCTAACCACTAGACTACACAAGTCCTGACGAACAGTGGCATTTAAATCATGTTTGTGATATGACCCTTGACTTAATGGACTTCAAGTATTTCTCGAAAAGATGCGAATGTTATGTCATAAAATTATGTTTTTAAGGTATAGTGGGTCATTACTCCATATTTTTGGTAACCAAAAAATGTATATTTTTATGCAAACTTTGAGAATTAACTTTCAAAAAGGTGGAGCGAAGACCCACTCATATCGAAAAATAGTGTTATAGTATGCGAAAATGACTCTTTTTGCCCGCTTTAGTGTGTGTCTAATATTTCACAGGCAAATAATTTCAATCTTTGAGGGATTTTTGCAAATTGTAGAGATTTTACATAAAGTATATTTTAATGTTAGATGAAATATCAAGGAAAATTTTTATATAATTGAAATTTAATTTTTCATCTCCATGGTTGTCACACTATAGGCTTATCGCTCGTCATGTTCACCCATCTCCTTTCAACCCGGGTCAGTATTGTACAGGTTCTTACAAGGAAGTACAAGTTTTGGTTCTAATAATGAAAGTCAGTTGTAATACAAAATTAAGGTTCTCAGCAGGAAAATCCCAGCCAGCTGTTTGGTTTGTGATAATCCAAAATGAAAATAGCAATGGAAGGATATATTGATCTATACTTAGATAATGACGTGTTTTGTCATCCTTGAGATGAGTTAAAATGAGAGGAAATAGCGTACATGTTTTATATCAATTTCTGACAAAGTTTCCTGCACAGTGCATTATCATTCTGGATGTCGGAGAAGTTAAAAAATTGAGGCTAAATTCATGAAAATATTCAACAATGCTATTCATATAAATTTTGTATTTTGTATGTGTTTATAAATGAAGGAAAATAGCTAAACTATTTTATATAAATATCAGTTATCTAGAGAGAAAATGGATTTTGAAACTGATATATTTCTGCAGAACGATTTTGAATCATTTTGTTTTTCATATATATAACTATCCTGATTAGAATATTAGGGGAGCGCTGTAAATAGTGCTTATTAACTTCAGTTAATATCGACTGCTTTGTTCGCTTTTGTCTTATTCACTTTCAAGAGTAAAATAAAAGAAATGTTTTTAAGTTGCAAATTAAAAATCTTTATAGCCGAATATTTTTTGCGGTTTTCGACAGAATCTGTGATGTGATTGGTTAAATACATAATTATGAGGGTCAAATAAAATTATACTCATCGAAACATGGAAAAAAACTCTAAAATGGCGAAGTGTATATATACAGTGATACATTCCTAGATTCATAGAGCTTGAATGTTTTGAAAATCTCTGACTGGGCAGTAAAATGTATATTATAAATGAATTTGAACTTGACACGTCATACCCGTAATCGGTGAGGTATCGTGGTCCAGTGAATGTTTAACCCTCAGTCTGGATCCACACGACATGTTCTGATGTCGTCCACTGACCAGCAGCAGAAAGTCAAGAATGACCTGTCTAGTTTGTCACGGTTTGCTAATGTTCTCAGTAATGTGCTTACTTCTGTATCTAAACACAAGTCAGATCTGCTTGATGAGACATCCAGCATCAGTATTGAGAAAATTGCTGGTAAGTAATTGTCACGTGCGATGCTCAGATTACTTTAAAAACTTTCAATATTTGCTTTCGTAAAAAGAATGCCATTTCATATGCTTATATTTTTATGACATATTTAAAAGAAATTCTATTCAGCTTCATAAAAAGTTTTTGATTTACATAGACTTGTTTTTTTTTTTATTTCTCAATATGTTTTGATTGTTTTATCTTTATCGTATTTGATTGTTTTGTCTTTATCGTATAAAGCAGTTATTGTTTTATAGAACTATATCGGTAGATAACAAGATCAAATTCATGTGATGTGAATTGCATTTTGATTTTTTAATAGATAATAATAATAAAATAAACCTGGATGATTGATCAATATAGCTTAGCATTAACATTAAAAAGACCTTAACTTTTACCAAAGTTATTAAAAAATGTTGAATATGTTCTTGCATCAGTGTATCAAATATGCAGATAACAAACAGTAATCAAACTTAATAAAAATCCATCGAAACAATACGAACCTTGAGCAGAACAATCAAGGAACTCTAAAAACGTCAGAGGTGGGATCAGGTGCCATGGAGAAGAAAGCATCCACTGTGTGCTCACTGTCATGACTGGGTAAACGTAGACAATTCAGAGTGAAAATAATGTCCTATCAATTTGTATGAAAAACTTCAGTCAACATTCGATTTAACGATAGATTTTATTTGCTAACGAGGTTTGTATCGACCATAGAATTTGCGAAATATTGACTTCAAACGATACTTCCGATACCCTTGGATCATCTACTTATTTTTAATAGCTTGGAAGTTGTTTGTACGTAGAACATGCACTAGCATATCGAATCAACTGGGAGACATAAACTACATATGCAAGTTATAATGGTATATTCCTGAAGAAATAAGGGAAGGTGACGATAGAAAAATTAAAGTTATCATGTTTATCATAAAGTTTAGTTGTTAGTTAACCATCAATGTCTTTCTCTCGTAACATATCCAAAAATGAAACAGATGTGTCAGACTCTGTCGTATCTTCATTTTGAGTTCACGGGGATATATCGAATCAACTTAGGAATGGAAATGAATATTGTTCATTGATAAATTTATATACTATAGTATCTAAAGAGACTTCTTTTCATGCATAGAAGTTTTCGTATCAATTGTAATTTTATTTCCTTAGATCAAGGCAGTTACTATCAGAGTACAGATGAAGAAGGAAAATATAGTGAGAAAGTTTTGTAACTAAAATTTTAAGGAGATTGCTGAAATAAGAAAATAACATTATTTATTCAAATATATTTAAAGAGGGTCCATGAGTATCTTAACAAAAGCCATGAAACCTCAAGCAAATTAACACGAATATAAAGTGCAAGCACACATACTTGAAACATTTATTTCATATATTAATCCCAGATTAAGTTAAAACTTGAAGGATAAATGTTATTGGAATAACATACAATATTGTGTTTGTTAAGCTTCAGAGATCTGTTTATTTTTTGTATATTTTTCCTTGTATTTTGTGAATGTCTATTAATGAATGACCTTTAAGCACCACAAGGGCTATTGAAAAACCCATAGACCTGTAGGCCATCTCATTGAATACTAATAGTCGTGGTGGATCGGTGTATCTACAATACCCCAGCTCAATGTAAGATTTTGACATGGCCAGTGTAATAGTACCGTAACAATACTACTGACACTTTAGTAGTCCTCACACTTTGGGTTTCTTGACTTTGTACAGTGATGTAACAGAAATATGCAGTAATATGAGGAATTCCTGCTTTTAAATAAGAAGTTATTATTTTTACAGACATTTTTAAAAGAAAATATTGTAAAAAGGACTGTAGGAGAATCTCAGTTACGACGAAGTGGAAATTATTCCTGATTTTTAATTCTATCGCTATAGTTTTTCATTGAAACGATGTAGCTAAACCTTTTCAGTGGATGTTGTTTTTTATATCATATTTTCCTATATATATATTTTTTTTCATTTCCCTAAAAATGTTATTGGTTATGAGCGTGCAAGAATCGGATAATAATGGGGAATGCTTACAGATGTCATATCTCTCTAAGATTCCTTTTACACACGATGAAGACTTTATACTAAATGAGGAAATAAACCAAAGTATGGTTTCAATTTCTTTGTATTTGATTAAACTAAATGAATAGTTTGAATGCAAACATAAATATTGGGTTATCTATTTGAAAATTCGTGAGGTCTATGCATTTTTTTTTTCACGAAGTATTTATATGAACTTCATGAAATACAACTGGATGAAAAACATTAGGACTTGCACGTAATATGATAAACTAAGAACTTTTTAAATACATATCTATTCATGTATTAGGAAACGTGGTTATAGGAACTATGTCTATGGTTCTCCGGGAATTCTAGTAGTCATGTTTTACTGCATAATTACCTAGAATTGTGTTTCCAAAGAACAGATTTCCTAGTTTATATTTCAAATATAGTTATCATTACTTGACAACGTTAATTTGTACAAATTTCTAATGAAGAAATATTATCCAGCAAAAAAAGTTACACATCCACCTCACAAACATCCACAAAAAATGTTCCTGAGAACTATAAATGATATATATCTAACAACCAGACCGATGTTATTTCTGGATACATTTCCAATAAGCTTACTTTCCTGTTGTAAAAAATGAAATAAATACCAGGAAATTCTTTTCATAAAATTTTCTGATTTAAGGATGCAAGGTTTGTGTTATATTTCTCTGTCATATAAACGGTTAAAAGACCTAATATGAAATTATGCTGAAAGAATATCATCATGGTGAATACTGAATTCCTTGTCCCTTTGTCATTATTGTTATCACAAACACTGTATATTATTATCATTACTGCAAAGTCTGTAAACTTTTTGTGTAAAAATTGTTTCAAGCCAAAGTAAAGAAATGAAATTAACAATATGCTTACTACATGTAATTTTAAAAAAAAAAAAAAAGAAGAAAGACAAGAAGACATTTTGCCGGGGGATAATTTTGCTTTTTTTTTCAGATTACATTTTTTTTAGGTTATAATCCAAGGCGTTCAGTCTTAATATTGTTGTAGTTTAAATTCTGTTGATGTTTTTTAATCATTAAAACTGTATTGAAGCAAGGTTTCTACATTAAAATGATATCCTATTTATATCGTAAAAGAAAATTACTTTCATCATTTTGCTCAACTCATCTCAAAACAAATTACATCACCTAGATGTAATAAGTTTAAGTTATGATAAGAATTTTTCCGTATGGCCCATCAAATTTGAAACTTTACTATAAACAGCCTGTCATAAATCCAAATAATTTCAATGTGTTTATAATTTAACAACATAATATGTGCCTTTTTAAAAAATTTTCATGTCTTCTACATACTAAAAGTTCTGGATTACTGTTTTTATTTCGCTTTTGCATTTTATTTTGTGATATTTTTTTTTTCAAATCTTTAGTAGGTACTTTCAAGACATCGATGTCTAAAAAGCAAAAAGAAACTGAATTGACAATGTATAAATACACAGTGAATCAATTTAAGGTTCTTCAAACTTGACTGATTCTCTGGATGACCTACCACAAGAGATTGGTGAGTATGACGATTTCCACACCATTGATTGGCTGCGGGACATTGCCAGAGACCGCATGCGACACCGGAACATCATCAAAAAGAAAAACGATGGAGTTTGGGAGAAAATTAAGAGTGTCCATGATGCCTGGTCAGGCTGGGTCTGTGTTCTTTTAGTTGGGGTGACTACAGGTCAGTTTCGTAAATATCAGTTTATTAAATTTGTTTATTTAAGAAATAAGAATCAACAATTATGTTAATACTGGTAATTTGTACAGGTCTTTGTGCTGGTATTATTGACATCGGTGCCACGTGGATGTCAGATCTGAAGGAGGGGATCTGTGTTGAGGCTTTCTGGTTGGACAGAGAGCAGTGCTGCTGGTCCACTGACCAGAGAGGTGCTGGTGATTATTGTCATCAGGTAATATCAGCAGGTCACAGCCAACAAAAACATTATACAAGGGAAAAATCATATCACCAGGTCACAGCCAACAAAAACATCATACAAGGGAAAAATCATATCACCAGGTCACAGCCAACAAAAACATTATACAATGGTTAAAAATCATATCACCAGGTCACAGGCAACAAAAACATTATACAAGGGAAAAATCATATCACCAGGTCACAGCCAACAAAAACATTATACAATGGTTAAAAATCATATCACCAGGTCACAGGCAACAAAAACATTATACAAGGGAAAAATCATATCACCAGGTCACAACCAACAAAAAAAATTATACAAGGGAAAATCATATCTCCAGGTCACGACCAACAAAAAATTTTACAAGGGAAAAATCATATCTATATCTTGTAGAATTCAAAAAATTAAAAAAAAATTGTTGAAATTTCTACATCAAATTCTATTAGAAGGACGTGTTTATAAGTAGAATATATTATTGACGTAGACAATTTCTCTTTTTCATTGTCAGTGGAAGACATGGTCAGATGTCTTTGGAGCTAGTGGATCAGAGGCTGGGTCCTATGTCACTTCATATGTATTCTATGTTATATGGGCCATAATTTTCGGAATTCTAGCCGCCATGTTTGTTAAGGTGTTTGCTCCGTATGCCTGTGGATCAGGTATACCTGAGGTCAGGAATATTTAAAATATTAGCATAGACTAATGCGATAAATGAGTTTCATTAGCTAACAGTCTCAATCAAGTTTTTGTTGGAACATGTACTATAAATTTTACATATATTTCTTCCGTTTATCCTTAGATTAAGACAATATTGAGTGGATTCATCATTCGGAATTACCTAGGAATATGGACCCTCCTGACTAAGTCTGTTGGTATGATGTTAGCAGTATCAGCGGGTCTAAGTTTGGGAAAGGAGGGACCATATGTTCATGTAGCTTGCTGTTGTGGAAAATTTTTCTCATATCTATTTCCGAAGTATGGTTCTAATGAAGCTAAAAAGAGAGAGGTGGGCTTATACATATACGAATGGCTGCTTTATTTATGTACAGCTGATGAATTCGTACTACTTAAAATTTGTCTTACAAAACTCAAATTAAATGCAAAAGTTTTCAGTTTCAATGTGCAAGGTATACTTTTGAAATGTTCTTTATTGAAGTTGAATACACATGTATAATTATTTTATTGTAACATATAACGTCCTCTGTTCCAGATCATAACATCCAAAATACCTGTAACATATAATTGATGATTCAACAAATTAATTATGATTAGTGTTAATTAATTAATGAAGAATGTTTTGTCACGTTTTATGTATATTTCAGATTTTATCAGCTGCATCAGCCGCTGGAGTCAGCGTAGCCTTTGGAGCCCCCATAGGAGGAATTTTGTTCAGCCTGGAGGAGGTAAACCCAATAAGAATTCATTTCACTTTTTGTTTTTAAATAATTCAATATATTCAGTTAATCAAAACATACGAGTACACCTTACACACACACACACAGAGAGAGAGAGAGAGATACGAGTGAAGATTTAATATGTTTGTCTTGACCATGTAATTTTTCGTATATTTATAAAGGTGAGCTACTATTTTCCTCTGAAAACATTATGGAGGTCCTTCTTCTGTGCTATGGCTGCTGCATTTGTTCTTAGGACATTCAATCCATTTGGAAGTGACAGTCTAGTCATGTTTTATGTCGAGTACAATAATCCATGGTATATGCCAGAATTAATTCCTTTCATACTTATTGGTGTATTAGGGGTAAGTTTTTAAAATAAGTATACATATATATATATATATATATATATATATATATATATATATATATATATATATATATATATATTCTTCCTCACATATTAGCTAAATTGAATTCATATTAATTTTATGGATTTTCTTGTTTGATTTTGTAGGGTTTGTACGGAAGTTTTTTCATAAAGGCTAATATTGCTTGGTGTAGATACAGAAAAACTTCAAAATTAGGAAATTATCCCATAATAGAGGTGAGTACATTTTTATGATCTCTGACTTTGTTCCTCTTCCGTATTACGACACTGGAACGGTTCAAGGAACCAGTATTTTACACATAAAGCATCATACTTGATTCTGTGATAATATTTACTATGTTATATTTTTTTTTATAGATACTTGTTGTCACGTTAATAACAGCACTGCTGAGTTATCCTAACCAATACACAAGGTCAGAGTTTGTAGGTACAGTTGAACCTCAGTATCTCGAACATTGAAATCTCGAATACCATTAATATGTCAAAGTGAGATGAATTAAATTCCCTACAATTTTCTTTATATATTTATATTATATATAAATCTATTACATATATATTCAAATCATCTGATTTCTCAAAGATTTCTTTTTCTCAAGCCCCATTTAGTTTGAGATAACGAGGTTTGATTGTATATGATTTTGCCAAAAATATGCATTTAAAAAATGAATTTGATAAATCATAGGAAAAAAGAAAAGTAATATTTGTTACTGGCTATGTTAATAAATTTAAGTGTTACCACTGGCCACGGTTTGTCCAAAGTTACATAGTGGACGATAGGTCGTGTCTACAGGATATGTATATTGCACTTTATCAATTTCCGTAATGCTCATACTCATTTAAAAGTTTTAAGATGAACAGGTCATTGTCTTTCACAAGCTTATCTCTTTTCAAAAGAGGGTGAGCTGGCACTATAGCCATTACCATGCAAAGAAACAGATTTTCTGAACAATTAGTTTATTTTGCTGAATCGTTTAATTAAAACCACCTTCTCCTTTGACTGTCAGTGTAATTAATTACTGAGTCACTCTACAGCTAACTTAAAAGCTTTAATTGTTCTTTAATAATTGTTAATAGAAAGTCTGATAAATTATTATACCCCCGCTCCGAAGGAGAGGGGATATAGTGTTAACCTTTTTGTGTCTGTGTGTAAGTGCGTCTATCCGTACCATTAAATTTTCGTCCCAGTTTTCTCGACAACTACACATTGCAGATGCTTGAAATTTTAACACACTCTTTCTTTAGACATGCCATAAGGTGAGATTCATTTTTTACGAATCCGATGTCAACTTCCTGTTTATCCATGCATCTGTCCGTACCAAATTTCCTTGCTGAAATTTTTGCACACTCTTTGTTTTGGCATGCCATATTGGATTCACGAGAGCTTATATTCACATCAGAGCGGGGGTTTTACTAGTAAGCATCGGCTCACAGACTTCTTGTCTTCATTTTTTTAAGGATGAACACCAGCGAGATGATCAAAATATTGGTACAACAATGTGGACCAGAGGATGATACGGATCTCTGGTAGGAATAACTGCTTTTTTTTTTTTTAGATTTGCGTTCTTTATTCTCTTGCTAAAGCAAAATATCTCTGCCGACTTTGTATTTTAAATTATGTCTGAAGTATATTTATGTCTTTCTTCGTGTATATTGATTTGATTCTTCATTTTAGCTATGATTCAGTGCACTACGAAAATGAATATGATAAAATAATTTTTTGATATCCTTAATGTCAGAATCATGTAAATATTTTGAAAGATGAAAATGTTTATTTCAGTGACTACAAGAGGAACTATAGTTCTTATCTGCTGAACACGACGTCCATTAAAATTTTGACCTCTAGTACGGAACTTGGAGACGGTGTATATAAAGCTCTATGGATGTTAGCCCTAGCCCTTATTTTTAAGGGAATTATCACTATATTTACTTTTGGAATAAAGGTAGACATCTAATTTACTTTTACACAAGTTCGTTTTGTGGAAATAAAATAGTGCCAGTATATAAGAGTCATGTTTTGTTAAATACAAGAAAAAAATCAGCAGGAGAGAAGATGATCTAAGTAATATTTTGATACATTGACATAAAGCTTCCGGATTGTCTTTAAGTTCTTACGATATAGTAAGACATTAACGCATTCATATAGATTCCAGCTGGATTGTTCATTCCTAGTATGGCAGTGGGTGCTATCATGGGCAGAATGATTGGGATAGGTGTGGAACAAATTGTAGTGTAAGTTGTGAGCACATGTATCCTAATTAGCATATCTAGAACACTTACGTGTGATTTCACGTGGATTACAGGTGTCTGTGAAATCTTTGTCAAAATAATTCTAATTTAGAAATACATGTATATATATGTTATATAGTTTTAACAATTTCCTTTCAGTGCAAACCATGACAATCCATTCTTTGAGAATATGTGCCAATCAAAACGGTTTTGTAGAATAAACCCTGGCCTGTATGCCATGGTGGGGGCAGCAGCCGCCTTAGGGGGAGTCACTCGGATGACAGGTATAATCAAATTAAACTATTCTTATTTTCCATTCCATTTATATATCTTATATTGTTTGTTTTCAATTTAAATTCCCATCCAAATTATTCAGTATATGAAAGAATAACAGCAGTTTACATGCATATTATATAAAATTATTAAGCAATTCTCTACTTACCATATAAAACAGGCAATAAAATATCAATTCTCTACTTACCATATAAAACAGGCAATAAAATATCAATTCTCTACTTACCCTATAAAACAGGCAATAAAATATCAATTCTCTACTTACCCTATAAAACAGGCAATAAAATATCAAGAAAAAAACTTAAAGCATTTGCACAACAGCTGCCAATAATGTTTTCCAGAGTCTGTGTAGAAACTAAGAATGTAGATGTATTATATTTTAATGTTTGTTTAGTGTCCCTAGTGGTGATCATGTTTGAGTTGACGGGAGGACTTCAGTATATCGTCCCCCTCATGGTTGCTACCATGACCAGCAAATGGGTAGGAGATGCTTTCGGAAAGGAAGGAATGTATCCGCCAATGAGAAAATTAGTTAATACAAAAACTTAACCTCATGTACTGTAAAAAATGTAAACAGGAGATGAATCATATATATGTGAATTAACGTGTTTTAGTTTTCTATATATTTATTAACATCACAGTCTTATTTCTTTGGATTATGTAAATATCTTCCTTTCCCCTGTCTAGTATATAGATCTGCATATTTGTCCAATTCCCAACGTATATACTGATCTCTATCTTTTTATGTATCTAACTCCAATAATTTTTTTTTTGTAATTGTCTTTCTTCTCTGTATTGAAATTATATTTATCATTTCCTCTACCTACAAACTTTTATGTATATCCTTCACTTTTTTGTCATGAATTTGTGTCAATCTCGCTATCTTATGATATTTATTTACCATTTCCTTTGATGTATTCTGTTTTGATGCATTCTGTTCTCTATACGATATATGAGCTCCAATTCACTGAGAGGACATTAATTAACTGTAATTAACTGTATCCCCTTTTCTTTGTTAATCTATGTGTCCCTTCCTTTACCAGTTGTTCTGTATCCTCTCCCCTTTCAATTGATTAAACTATCTTTCCATCTATATATATATATAAATTGTGGACCTCTATTCGTGTCCTATTCTGCATTTGCTGGCATTTGATTTCTTTTTTCATGTATAAGTATAATTGTATTATTTATTGACCTGCATGTCATTGGCCTATTAAGCTTCATGAAGGAATTTTCAACTGTTTGCAGTTCCGGTCCTTTCCCAAGGTTTGGTAAGTTTTGCCTTCCTTTCCACTGTACACTATATAATTTTTTTGCCTTCTATTCGACATTCAGATATATCGATGAAATTTAATTTTCATTCATACGTTGATTCAAGATATCCCATTAACTCGAAATAAAAGACACCACGTAGTCTGACACAACTGCTTCACATTGGGTATTTTACTAGAGAAAGTCATTGATGGCAAAGTTACAACCTAACGTTTTTAAAAGATATAATGAATTTCAACTTTTCTATTGTCAACTTCCTTTATTTATTTATGTAGCAATATACCAATATAACCTGAATATTGATTTTATATCTCCCTGTTGATTTGATGTGCAAGAGCATGTTCTACGTACGAAATTTTTTTTAAAACGAGGTACATGTAGGCTACTAACAAATGATACGTACAAAATAAATTTAAAACGAGGTAGGCTACTAACAAATAAGTAGATGATAAAAGGGTATCAACAATCTCGTTTGAAGTCAACATTTTGCAAATTCTAAGTTTGATTTATAGCCTTGTTTGCAAATACAGTCTGCCGTTAGGTCAAATGTTGACAAACATCTGTCATAAAAATTGTTATGCCATTATTTTCACACTGAACTGACTATAGATTTCTGTTTTCTCAATCATGACGAAGATACACAATGGATGTCACTGGTCGACAGGGGATGCATACTCCTCCATGGCACCTGATAACACTTCTGATGTTTTTGAAGGTCCGTGTTTGCTCTGCTCACAATTTGTATCGTTTCAATTGACTTTAGAGCTTTGTTACTGTTCGTTATCTTCATATTCTATTGTAAATTTACTTTCCTCTAATATTTCTTTATATCTCTATCTCGTAATTTTATGTGCCTTTTCCCGCAGTCACTATTCTGTAAGATTTTTACGTCGCGGGTTCGAATCCCACTGCAGGTCGTGGAAACCGGTCCTTTGGAGGAGACCGTATAAACCGAGGTCCCATATCGCAGTAGGTGCTGGCACGAAAAAGATCTCTCACTGCTCAATGGTCCTGATTGCCGAGTATAGATCTAAATTTGCAGCCATCCACTGTCAAGTGGTGGCTTCTCCATATGAGTGAAAAATTCTCGAGAACAACAAACGAAACTTTTATGTAAGTTTGTGAAATTTCCTTCCTCAACTAATATTTACTATCTATTATCTTTCTATCTTATATCTATCTTACCATTTTATATGCCTTTTGCCTTAGTAACTAACTTGTATGTTTGTAAAAAAAATATTTCCTTTCTCTAATAAGATTTTCTGAATATAACTCTCTCTTGTAATTTTATGTGGCTTTTGCCGTAGTAACTACATTTAGCCTGTATATTTGTGAAATTTCCTTCCTCTATAAAATGTGTTCCTGTGTTGCAGTAAATGCTGGCATGAAAACGATTCCTCACTGCTCAACAGCCATTTGGTGCCTAGGCCTAAATTAGCATCTCCCAAAATTGATGGAGTCACAACATAAGTCAAATATATTCCCGAAGGGAGGTTAATTAAACATCCAACCTAACAATTTCGGCGTCTTTACGGTTACCTTATTTTTATCCTTTTCTGCGTAGCTAACATGTATGTACATGTATGTCCTTTTGCAATCTGAGCGTTTGCGTTTTTTTATTATCTGCGTTGTTCTGTTATTCCCTTGGTTTATTACCTGTTTTCTTTATTGAAAATATGTATGTAGTCTTTTAGACCAGGTCTTCCAACAATTTGTTGGCTTTTCGATGGGCTAATTGTGCTCCTTTATTATCCGACCTGTTTTTATATTCCTATGAAGCAGTATTCAAAGACTTCTACATGAGAAGAAGAAAGCTCTTGTTCTGGTGTTTCCAGGGGTTATTTGGCCCTGTTCATGATTCGTTTTGTTATCTTCACCTTTTACATTTTGACCTTTAAGTTCTTTCATTAAGATTTGTATATGTACCATTGTTTTCTCTCTTGTATATATACCTTTTAATATGAATGTACATCCTTTCCCCATCAACTAGCCTGTGATTCTTCCTGTCTATTATCCTGAGTATTTATCCCGTCTTTTATCTGTTAAATGTATTTGTCTTTCTACTAGCCTGGATGTGTATGTCATCTTAAATATATATCGTAGAACAGATTAAAAAGATAAATTAATTTGTATTTAAAGTTGATACATGTTGAAAAAAACATTGGTTCTGGACAGCAGTTTGCCATTTAAACGCAATTTTCCTTTCCTATATCTGTTGATTTCATGCGTGTTTTTTCCTGCATGTGTATCCTTTCCTGTATGTGTGTCCTTTCCTGTATGTGTGTCCTTTCCTTATGCGTGTCCTTTCCTGTATGTGTGTCCTTTTCTGTATGTGTGTCCTTTCCTTTATGTGCGTCCTTTTCTGTATGTGTGTCCTTTCCTGTATGTGTGTCCTTTCCTATAAGTGTGTCATTTCCTGTATGTGTGTCCTTTCCTTATGCGTGTCCTTTCCTATAAGTGTGTCCTTTCCTTTATGTGCGTCCTTTTCTGTATGTGTATCCTTTCCTGTATGTGTGTCCTTTCCTGTATCTGTATCCTTTCCTATAAGTGTGTCATTTCCTGTATGTGTGTCCTTTCCTTTATGTGCGTCCTTTTCTGCATCTGTATCCTTTCCTATAAGTGTGTCATTTCCTGTATGTGTGTCCTTTCCTATAAGTGTGTCCTTTCCTGTATATGTATCCTTTCCTGTATGTGTGTCCTTTCCTGTTTGTGTGTCCTTTCCTGTTTGTGTGTCCTTTCCTGTATGTGTCCTTTCCTGTTTGTGTGTCCTTTCCTTTCCTGTATGCGTGTCCTTTCCTTTCCTGTATGCGTGTCCTTTCCTTTCCTGTATGTGTGTCCTTTCCTTTCCTGTATGTGTGTCCTTTTCTGTATGTGTGTCCTTTCCTTTCCTGTATGTGTGTCCTTTCCTGTATGTGCGTCCTTTCCTGTATGTGTGTCCTTTCCTGTATGTGTGTCCTTTCCTATAAGTGTGTCATTTCCTGTATGTGTGTCCTTTCCTATAAGTGTGTCCTTTCCTGTATCTGTATCCTTTCCTGTTTGTGTGTCCTTTCCTGTATGTGTGTCCTTTCCTGTTTGTGTGTCCTTTCCTGTATGTGTGTCCTTTCCTGTTTGTGTGTCCTTTCCTTTCCTGTATGCGTGTCCTTTCCTGTATGTGTGTCCTTTCCTTCCCTGTATGCGTGTCCTTTCCTGTATTTGTATCCTTTCCTGTTTGTGTGTCCTTTCCTGTATGTGTGTCCTTTCCTGTTTGTGTGTCCTTTCCTTTCCTGTATGCGTGTCCTTTCCTTTCCTGTATGTGTGTCCTTTCCTGTATGTGTGTCCTTTCCTTTCCTGTATGTGTGTCCTTTTCTGTATGTGTGTCCTTTCCTCTTTTAATTTCTGTAGTTACTGGCCTTAGTAGATTGAATTTAAACATTAACACAGTTAATAGAAATTCCTTGACAAATTAGATATGATGCCCACATACAACTCAATGGTTACCCCTTCCTTGACAGCAAAGAGGAGTTTACTCTCACAACACAAGCTTCCGATGTCATGAGGCCAAGGTATGAAACACAAACTTCATATATTTCTGCAATTGCATTTGTATCTGCTTTGCTTTGTGATTTTTTTTATACACGCACCGTTTTGCAAATATTTTCTAGGTGTGCGAGATACGGATCAGTAGTGTAAGTTATAAATCTGGGTCTTTTCCTTAAAATGTAGGCATTCTATACATCTTAAGCATACCATTCTCAGAAATTTAAAGCACTCTGACATTTGTTTTTAATTCTTCTTACACGATATTTTTGCACGAATATTATCAATAACTGTTGCGATATCGTTGAGGAGCCTGTACCTAGTTATTTCAAAGGTCTAGGGTTGTTGTTTAATGCAAAACAATTTTCCTTTATTGAATGATTAATAAATGTATAATTTTTTCTCTAAAATAAAATTACTATCCGTACAATGATTAGCCTGCAAATATTAACATATCCCTCACTTAGAGGAAAATACAATCTGATCAGGAACAATTTCTAGATCACAATGGTTTACTAATGGTTACGAATTAACGTTCTTCTCTATGCTGCTTGGAAGAATTTACTACAATCTTTTTTTTTAAATACTTCTCTCTCTCTCTCTCTCTCTCTCTCTCTCTCTCTCTCTCTCTCTCTCTCTCTCTCAACGATCAATAGAAAATGTTATGTTTGTTTAACAGATAAAAAGTAAATATTTAGCCAATATTTGTACACAGCAATAATAAAGGTTTTGACATCCATAAACAGTAAAATACTTGTCTTGCAGGGAAAATGACGCTCCTCTGAGTGTGATAACACAAGATTCAATGACTGTGACAGAAGTGGGTAAGTAACACAGAAATAGGCAGTACAAACTTGCGGATTAGATATTTATTTTAATTATTATTGAAAAATTATTCTGATGAGTAGTCTTTACGAGTGTAAAACTGAGCTGTCAGTCGATATGGTACACACCTTATGAAATTTCTCTATTTTAAATTGCTCTCATGAAATATGGAGATAACCAACAGTAATCAAGCTCGAAGGTCCATTGCAACTATACAAATTTGGTGCAGAGCAATCACGTACCTCTAAAAACATCAGATGTCATGAAGGAGTATGCATCTCCTGTCGATCTGTCTTACCCGCTATGCGCTCCTTGTGATCGGGCAAACGGAAAAATCGGTAGACAAATCAGTGTGAAAATAATGGTCTAACAGTATGTATGAAAACTAAAAAAACGGCAGTCAACAATCGACTTCATGATAGATTGTATTTGCTAACAAGGTCATTGCATGACCATAGAATTTGCGAAATGTTGACTTTAAACGAGACTTGATTTTCTTGTTTCATCAACTTATTTATAAATAGATTGCCTCGTTTTAGAAATTGTTCGTACGTAGAGCATGTTCTTGTTTTGTTAGTCATGTTAGCCATTGGTCATCTGAGAGCAACATCAGAAATAATGTGCATGATGTAGATGGTTTATGATGTAATGCTACGCAACGAGCACAATTGTTTAATGTTGAATTAATTTTACCTTTCACTAGCTCGTTGGAAACTTACAATTAAGAATTATACATTTATGAATAAATAATTCAAACAATTTTTTCAGTAATCAGTAAAAAATCTTACAGAATTTGAATGTTTGCTAGAGTAAATTTTGAAAATTTATACTATTTTGTAATGATGTCATAAAATGTGTGCAAAACTGTGTAAAGATTTATACAGAAAATTGCACAAAGTGGAATATTTGAGCACCAAAGAATACTTACGATTTATATTTTTGAAATTTATTATTCATGTCATTTGTTTTCAAAAAAAGTCAAGAAATAATTACCAATCCATGCACTTTTTGAAACTTTTTTTTCTTCTTTTTATTTTGTTATATATCTGTTAACAGAGCATTTATTAAAGAGCACATCTCACAATGGGTTCCCGGTGGTTATATCTCAAGAATCTCAATATCTCTTGGGCTTTGTTCTGAGACGGGATCTCAGTCTGGCAATATGTGAGTATTTCTCATTCAAATATTTCACTTTTTTTAATTAAGAGAAGGACCGATTATTTTTAAGGAAGGCGTGGCAATCTTCAGGAATGGCAAGTTAAGGGGAGTAAAATTTTCTTTTATCCAACGAAAAACGTTATTTCAACAGCATAAAATATTCATTAGTCTTCTGTTTATTTGTTTTGGAGTAAATATAGAAACTATTTATATCATATTATTTGCCCTGTATCTAAAGCATACCTTTTACATGTATCTAGAAATTAAATTTTACAAAATACTACTTCATTTGATTGTTCAAACAAGTAATTAGAATCAAATGGTTGTTTCCTTAATCCTTACTGTTAACAATACATTTAAAACATGCAATTAAATAACCGTAAAGGTTAACGTATATACTAGATGCAATTCATTTCAAAACCAATAATATTAATAATATTCGTTCCCAAATACACGTATTGCGACTGATTTTGTGTCTAATGATAATCTTTGTATTGCAGCCAATGCACTGAAGAAGAAAGATGGTGTTATGAATGAATCTTCTGTATACTTTACAACTCGAGTTCCTGACAACCCTACGGGTCCTACTCCACTGAAACTAAGGAAAATCATAGATCTGGTAAATAAAAACTCCAGTGAAAATTTGAAACGAAATAGGTCCAGTTTTGTTAATATGAATTCAATTAAAGAATTAAAATTAACAGTATACATGTATTTGAAAAATAATTCACTGTTAGTGTTTTTTAAGTGATAAAAGTTAATTTTTTTTAATTTCCAAGCTGCTGAACAATTTTGAATTAATTTATGAGCTTGATAAGTTTGCAACGCAAACCATTTGTGTTATAACGATTTATTATAACAATGCCAGCTATTGATCAAGTGTAATTAAAAGAAACGAGTTAGAATCGAAAACTGGGCTACTGAAGATCAGGATCCTTGGCCATAAAAATAGATGAGCTCATGTTTTTTACTCAGTATCTCAGTCTCACTTTTTCTCTATCAATTATAATTTATGACAAAGGATGTTTACTCCTTCTAGGCACCTGATCCCATCTCTGTTGTTTCCAGGGGTCCATGATTTTGCACTGTTTATGATTCCTATTCTTTACTGGACTGGAGATTGATCATTGCTCGTTATATTCACCATTTACATTTCTGCAAAAGTGAGACTGAGATCAAAAATGAGCTCGACTAAGTTTTATGGCCCTAGAGCCAGATTTTAAAAAATAAGTTAAGTTTTCGACATTCTTTTTAGGCCCCAGTGACAATAACAGACCAAACTCCCATGGAAATAGTGGTAGAGATGTTCAGAAAACTTGGACTCAGACAAACTCTGGTTACACATAAAGGGTACGTCTATTTCTGTATCAAACAGGGATGCTACTTTAGTTATGATTTCTATAGCTGCAAGATTTCAACAGCAGAAGAATATTTCAAAACTATATGGTGTCAGAATGTTATTATCACATTTCTGCAAGATTTAATGTGCAGCGAAAAATTGAAAAGCAGGTTGGTACTTTCCGAAAATGATATAACTTTTATGTATAAATATGATTAATGACACATGCACTTGATATATATTGCAGTGTTTACCACCAATTGATGTCATGCAGGCAATTTATATATTGTTTCTTCTTCTGACAGGAGTTTACTTGGGATCATAACAAAGAAGGATGTCCTCCGCCATGTTGCTCCCTCTGAGAATGAGAATCCAGACTCTATCCACTTTAATTAATTTCTTGACTTCTTGTACAGAATAGATTATTTTCATTCTATTGACATAAAACCAAATCATTGTTCATAGAATTTCATGCCTTAAATGTCAGCCAAATTTTTTTTAAAAAGCAATATATCAAAATTGTGCCTAAGTCCTACGCAAATTGTTATTGCACAATTGGTCGAAAGGATTTTGTTCATTTCTTAATAAATGGGAAATTTATGTCCATTGCCATTTTATGGGGATACAATTCGAACATGGTCTACAAAAATATTAACTGCTGTGAAGGAGAAACTACAGACATAGACTTATATTGATTCAAAAAGTGGTGTTAATCAATTGTAGATTCTCAAAAAATCCAACAAATTTTTGCGAATTTTATATCGCATTTTTCCCAAAATCAGTAACTTCAAAAAAGTGTAACTTTTGGTTTTATACAATGACCAATCATTTCTGATCTTAAATTGGAGACCAGACTTTCTACATCATAGACAACTGGTTTTACTGACTATAGGCGATAAGGGCCAACTAACAACTAAATATGACAAACGGAATGACGTCACTTTTCCATCATCAGCTTACCTTATTTATGTAGTAATATTCCACTATCACCTGTATATGGTGTTTACGTCTCTCAACATATTCGAATCTCAAGAGCATGCTCCGAGTACGATCAATTATTAAACCGAAGCAGGCTACTGACAAATAAATTGATGTTACAGAGATTTCAAAAACCTCGCTTAAAGTCAACATTTCATAACTTTTATGGTCGTTATATTGACCATTTTAGTAAATACAGCTTATCATTGGGTCATATAGTGACTGAAATATTTCATACCAATTATTAGGCCTTTATCTTTATACTAAATTTGACAACGGAAAGTTCAAATCTTGTACTCTGAAGTTATTATTAGGCGGAAGGAACCAGGCGCCATAGGCGAGAAGCGTCGTGAGAGCGAGAGTCTCTCTCTCTCTCTCTCTCTCTCTCTCTCTTTATGCCTCTTGTACACTTTGGCGGAGACCCAGTAGTCTCCGTTTCTGTGTTTCCTCATTGAAATTTCTATGCATTGTTGGAAGGCCTGGCCCCGGGATCATGAAACGTCTTGAGGTTAAATCAAATTTTTAATATTGTGATAAAATGTTGTAGAAGTTAAGCAATCACAAAATATTGTTCTATATTGCTTTACAAGAGTTGTCATCTGCAAAATTAAAGATTAATTTAACAATAAATAAACATTTTACAGGCCATTGAAATTTTGACTTAAGTCTAAGCTTGTTTCATAATCTTGGGGCCAGGTCTCTGAAGACTATATAGATACACAGCTAATATGGCAATAAATGATTATGTGTCAAATGTATGTTTACCATTTTTAAAAAAAACGAGCAAAATACATAACGTTCATTCCGACGAGCTAATATATCATCTGATAGTGCTATAAAAGAAATGTTTGAATACGCAGACTATATAGTAATTATATTAGAATTCTACCAATCCAACACATTTTATCCAGAAAGGGTTTTAATTTTACAACAATTTAGGACCACCAAACACATCATTAATATTTTCCTTGTGAGAACAGCCAAATATATATGTACCAAAACGATGGTTATGTTTTTTGAGATGTTACATGTGAATCGGCTGAGATACTGTTATACGTAACAATGTAATAAGTCTCTATTGAATTTCTGCATGCAAAACATACTTTTTTTCTGCTGAGGCACCTCCAGACATTCCACTTTTGCGTCAATGCTGTTAGGCTACAAAGCATACCATTAATATTTTTCTCTTAACGGGCTGACAGACATACCTTGAAGTTGCATCTGTTGAATATCCTCCAGTAATATCCTCCGCTATAGAGGGACGTCCAGGCAGACCAATAAAGTGTCTGATATAAGACATAGAGAATAGGCGTCTTTATTAGCCATGGCCAAAGCGTGTCTTCGTTGCCTGCTAGTACTGTGTACTGATGACATCATGGCATGCCAGTCGTTCCTTATTAAATAACATCCAGCACTTTAAATATTAATATCTCTGTAAAATGACACCTAAAACTTCCAATATGTATCTGTTTAATGACCTACAGACATCAATAAGGTGCCTCCCCGGGATCCAGATAAAAACCCTCTCCTACTTGGAAACAATTATTTAACAACAGGCAAACCGTCAGACAACCTTTAAAAATTTTGGGAAGCAAACACGAATAAAATGCCACTATCTCGATAAACTGTTTAACACCCTATTCATATTTCTCTGCTAAATATAGGAAATATGTTTCTGCTCATGAAGGATTATCAATAAGGAGTTTTTCATAGGGTTACCTTACATACCAGTAATAAGTTCCTGTTACTGTACGGCAAGATACTCAGTATATCACTAAACTACACGTATATGATCTTTTCATAAGACTACTGTACTTATCAGCAATGTAGTCTCTAATCAAGAGACTTTAAAGTCCAGGGAACTTGAAGCCATTTTTTATCGGACTCAGGCCCCGGGGACATAAATCTTGGATGGTCTCACCTTTGATCTCATTACCACTTTTCCGCTATAAGTTCCTTTTGGTAAAGTAAGACTGAGCTCAGAAAGCGGTGAACTAGCTAACTTTCATGGCCCGGAGCAAGATGGTTTTTATTTAGAATGAGATTATAAATTATTGTGAGACAAAGATACTATAATAAAGTGATTCGTTCGTGAATTCCATACGTAAGACCGAGATATACCAAATATTACTGTTCTGCTAAAGCGAATGAATTCTACGATGAGAGAAAACTAATAACTTTGTCCTTTACATTGCATAATTTCAGGAAATTTTGTCTCCAGCTTTGCTCTGTATGGTATATAGAATCTTCTTAATTTCAGTCTCATTTTCTGTCATCAATTTACATTCATTAGCAGAAGTTTTTGATATTTTTATTATGCCCCATAATCGAAGATTCAGGGGCATATGGTTTCTGTTCTGTCCGTCCGTCTGTCTGCCTCTAGGGATTTTATATTTCCTTGTGTATTCCTTGTGACAAGACCTTTCTTTGGGTACCGACATTTTTGACCTCATGACCTTGAGCTTGGAGTTTGACCTTTATGTATTTGAAAAAACTTTAACCTTGCCTATAACTTTTGAATTTCTGCTAAGACTTTCACATTTCAGTTATGCATTCCTTGTGACAAGACCTTTCCTTTGGTACCATAATTTTTTTGTCCTCCTGACATTGACCTTGGAGAAGACTTTCTTTCTGAAAAACTTTAACTTTGGCCATATTGTCTGAATGGTTGGTACTAGGGCTATTACATTTCACATGTATATTTCTTGTGACAAGTCCTTTCTTTGGGTATCAACATATCCCTTGACCTTGGAGCTTGACCTACATTTGAAAAATTTTAACTTTGTCTTGAGCTCCCATACGGGTGCATCACATCTTGTTTTTGTACAAAAGAATTGCATATTAAAAACGCAAATAATTAAAATAAGAGAATACATTAAATTTATGCATTTTTTTCATGGATCGGCACCAAGTGTGACAGTTCTGATATTTTCAGAGCATCTCCATCCTTATTTTTGTTAGGTATTCAATGTATAACGACCACATTTTGTACTTGATAAATGAATGGTATGATATTTTTAATCATGATAGCATTTTGAAGGTGTTATCAAATAAAAATACTCCACCAAAGGAATTCATAGAATTTTGATTATTGTCCAATTAATTGCACCTTGAATTTAATATTGAAGTCTACGGGGAGGGAATGTGTTATTAAGATATTGTAAAACGTAATTTGAACCTTGTCAGCAAATACAATTTATCATTAAGTCATATGTTGACTGACGTTTTTCTTACTAATTGTTAGGCCATTATTTACACTGAATTGTCGACGGATTTTTCCGTTATTTCCCGATTTTGACATGGAGCACACTTCGGGTATGACCGGTCGGCAGGGGATGCTCACTCCTCCATGGTACCTGGACTTTGAGCTTGAATACTGTTCGTTATCTCCATATTTTACTTCATACAAATCTCTTGGTGAAAATATGCCTAAACTCTTTTTTTATTAAAAATATGAAAAAGGAATCATTAACCATAGATATTTTGGAAAAATCTTTTCATCAAGAGCAGATAACTCTTCAAAAACGTTTAAGGTGCAAAATGACTGGCTTCTTATATGTTATCAGTCATGGGACTTTGGTTCGTTTCACTTTTATCGTTATCTAGCAATACATATTTAAGTAGTTTAAAATGATTCAAATTTGTTCAACATCCCTTCATCATACATTGAATACCTTAAATCTGACCAACTTATACCGTGGGTATAATATCCAGGGAAAGCACATAACCAAGAGGAACTGAATACATTACATTTATTTTTTTCGTTTATGTAAATGATAAAGCAACGTCTTCAATATCTTAAGGTGTCAAGAAAGGTATTCCATCCTTTATACTCTCCTTCAATATCCTAGTTATGTACTTATTGCCGTCGGTTATACTAGTAATTACCTGAAAGGTGCAAATATTGGCAGGTCTAGTAAGAGACATCAATGATTATGTAATTGTCTCATCCTTACTTTACTGTTTACAGTCTGTCCTCGGACACAAAGAAACAGGGGTCTTTTTAATGAGAATTCTTTATTATTTCTTAAATCAAAATTCAACTAGTGATAAAAAGAGAAAAATATATTAACTTCATACAATAATAATCTGGTCCACAGATTGTAGAACACTTTAACAAGAGGTCTGAAGTGTATATATCATGAAATCAATAATGAACACAAAAGGAGAGAAAACTGAAGTTTTTGTGCCAGACATTTAACTAAAGTCAGTCTAATGTATCAGTGTTGGAATGTCTTTTCATAACAATAACAATAATGTATATTTTTTTTTCCATTTCTTAGTGATAATTTAAAGATTGACAGGTTGAATTTATCAATGTTGCAGATGAAGACTCAGTTACAACTCATCACACATATCAAGGAAAAAATAACATTTGTAAAATAAACAGTAAATATCCTTCAATAATCATACATGAAATAAATTACACAAAATTAAGGCCTCAGTGGTATAGAGTATCAAACAGCAAGATCTACAGGCCCATTTCAAAAGATCTTGTGATCAAGGTATAATATTAAATCAGTTTAATCATGTTTCCCATAATAAATTTGAAATTTATGAATAAAGCAAATCAAAATAGGCATTTTATTCATTCAAGGTAATATGCTTTCAGTTCTTTTGAAAGTAAGAAATAGAAAAAAAAAAGTTATCCTGGCCACTAGATCTGAAAAGAAATGGGCCCTCAAGAGACTAGTCTGAATACATGGCAGTCCTGCAATATATGTTGGCCCTATCTTTCTTTTCCATTATCAAACTTCACAGTATTCCTATTATGACTGATGTTAAGCACCAAATTTTCCTCTGAGGAGAAAGCACAGACTGTGATATGATACATGTATAACTTACTATTACCTATCACAAGGCAGAGCGCCTAATGGAATGAAATTTAATGCAGACTACTTATAAATGTGATGTTTTCTTATCAGCAAGCTTGTACAAGTTTACAAGAATAGATGTACATTTTTCTTATTTCCAGTATTCCAAAGTTTGTCAATAGAAAAGAAAAAAACATAACATTAACAAAATATCACTCTTTTTAAATATTCTGTAACATTTATATCATTTAAGCTTGCTGTGCATTTGAGAGAAATAAATTTTTTTATTACGGATTCCAGTTGAAGAGATGAATACACTACAGGAGCTGAAATACATACACTTCCCAGTTTCTAAAGTCACAATAAATATTACTCACAAGAACACAAAAAATAATGCCCATCCATGACAAAAAAAAGTAAAACAGAAATCAATAAGCATAAATCTAACCAAGCAAAAGCATTACAATTCCAGTTCTGGGCCGTAAACAGTTATTACAGTTGGATGCATGAAAAAAAAAATACAAAAATTATCACATTATACCTCATCCAACTCAACCACACATAGCACTATCATCATTTAACACGAGACAGATTGTGTAGATAAGACTCAGAAAATTGCCTATTTCTGTCTAAAAAAAACATTAATTGCAATGCCAGCAACACTAGGAGACAAGCTTAAGAATATTCAGAGCTATTTTGAAAAGTGACATTTTTTGGCACATTAAACATACAAGTCTTGTTAATAACGACACATTTCCAGAGTAATGTCACTTTAGAGAGATTGAGAGACAAGTGAGATATCTGTGGATTTTCAGATCATGGTGCAAGTAACAACAAATTTCTCATCAACTTCTTTAAACCCCAAAAAATCACTAATCCTATATATTATACTACATTTACTTACTTACAAAGGTTATAGAACCTTACAGTGTAATTGAGGACACAAACACCATATACTGTGCATTACTTAAGCTAAGCAGAAATGTTAGATAATCAGATGTTAGAACAAAAACTACCTCTGACTCAAAAAGAACTTTTTTCTAAAAGTTTACATTGGTTAAAATGCCGTCAATAATGATATAGCATCAATAAACAGTATATTTAATAAATCAAAGTTTTTCATTTCTTATACCTTTTAGCATGCTAAATTGTAAATATATATACAAATAACTGTTTTAACCAGAATCAGAAATTACAACCTATCTCCAATACAGCCATAGACTCTGCTCCAGGTACATCTCTATGGTATAAAACCCGGTAATGCATTATGAAAATTATTAAAAAACAAATAAATAAGTTATCAATTTTGGCAATGCTCTGATTTTACATGGAAGATATCTTACAAAAAATTAATGATACCAATGGTATGCATTGATTTTATACCTTTCTTTCATCCCTGCATAAAATATAAAGTGCATTTCCATAAAACATTAACTTTTCAATTTTCACATGATATTTTTTTTAAATATCTCCCTGTCAAAGTTAATTAACAACAATATTAACTAAGGTATATCTTGGCTTCATAATCTTGGTCTATATCCTCTTCTTTCACATTGCTTTCATCTATTGACTCGTTGGATGTGAACTCACACTCAGCACCAATGTCATTCATATCTAATCGAGGTAGTGACATTTGTTCTGGGTACAGCCAGGGTTTATGACCAGGATTATGCTTCGACTTCCAGGCCTCATAATTCTGACAGGCTTTGTAAATCTTAGATATTATCTAATATTAAAAAAAATAATAAATTAAGTAAATAAATATGAATATTCATCATGAATCACATTTTCATGCACTGCATATCAACTGAAGAAAAATATATTTACTAAATTACCTTGGGTGCAAAATACTGTGTACCTTTGTTCACAACCCATACTGGAAGTTTTCCTAATTAAGTGAAAAAAAAATATCATAATCATTTTTGCTGTTTGTATTTTTAAAGTATATATCTTTTAAAAGAAGAATCAAAGGCATATGGTAGAAGCACTTTTTCCTTGCAATAAACTATTCATGTTTATTACCAAACAATCCCGTATGTAGATCATTCACCTATTACATGTAACTATTTGAATACATTATATGCATCATTAGTTTAATGAGGAGCTTACCCCTAGGGTCTGACTGAGAGACATATGTAAACTGACATTTCTTTGGTCCCTGTTGCCGTACAAGATATCCAGTAACATATGATATACCTCGTATAAAGCCTTTTCTGATAGGCATTTTCTGTAGAGAAAGATAGTTCATGTTCACACATTATCACAAACAATGATAAAAAACTGAACTTCGTGTAGTTCACTTATTTTCAGTACAAAAAATAATGATAGTTATTAACGAAAACTTTATTTTCTCACTGAAATAAAATGTGATCAATAGTAAATGTACTTGAAGAATGAAATGACATTTGGTTTTACCATTAAAAAAATTAAGTTTTTACCTTGTGATTTACAGAATGGTTGACTATACACTTTTCTAAGCCTAAATCTAACCATGATCGCTGAGTGACAAAATCTCGATTCTTTAGAGGAGGGGGACACTTTACTACAAATTTAAATTAGTATCAAAATCAGAGTTAATATTGAACCCAAAGCTTACCACTACATTCAAATCTGCATTAATATTGATACACTGTGAAAAAACTTTTTTTTTTTGCATAATTACTTGAGAACTTCCATGCAAAAATTTCATTCCTGCATATATTTGTATAATTAAGGATTATGTACAGCAATAAACAAATTTTATGAGAAAAAAATTCTCTATTATAAATACCATATAAAATATAATGGTCTCTCAAAATAAGGTGTATATTTTTATCTTTTTTTTCAGAAAAAGGCAACTAGAACAAACCTGCATAGTACCCAATGTCATTATTTGGGTTTATCACACAGATTTCATAGCCTTCCAGCATTGCATGGTCCCAGGTTTTTCTGTATTCTGGATCATGTAACACATCATACAGCACTTCTGGTTTAACATCATCAAAGACTGTTCTAACCTTAAAAAACAAATTAGTGTGAAAAACTCAATTCACATTTCCTTCAATGTGAAAATAAATGGATATTTTTTTTAATTTACAACAAATTGCGAAGAGTCAAAGGCATAAGGAAGTGATTATATTTATTTTAGATACACTCTGACATTTCCCTTTAGTGTGGAAAATACAGGACGGCTGATGAATCATCCATAGGTATTGTATAGGGGATTAATTTCACGGGTTGTAATTTTCACGTTTTCCTCTCCTCTGACACGATCGCGGTTTATTGGATTCAAGGAATTGGTATATAATAAAAGTTACCTCCTTTGTCTCTATCTGTTTAATCCGTAGTATAGCTAGAACAACATTAATCAGCATTATGTATTCATTTCACGAACAACAGGGTAGGTTTATATAAAATAGTTAGATTTAATAATTAATTGACTATTAATCAAAACAAGTGCAGTTATTAAAAGTCCTTGACTATAAACGTCGAATGACTTTCTTATATGCTATTACGATGAGTACATGTGCACCCCAAGATCTTTCCCAAGGGATAATATCTCGCGGCGAAAAACCACTGGACGTTAATAAATGTGTTAATGCAGGTCAATGAAATAATATCCTTCCACGTCTTCAGCAAGTTTGATAGTTATTTGAATGATTTTTTAAAACCAAAATGTCGATAAAAACTAATACACATGATAATGCAGGTAACAACTACACGTGGTAACATTAGTTACACCAGGTAGGCCTAATCAAAACTCATGACCCACATGTTTTGATTGATGAAACATGTAGCACTGGCTATTAAAATAGTTTTTAAACAAATACAGGTTATTAACTGCTGATTTGAATTAAAGTAAGCGTGATAATTAAAATAACTGAATGACAAGTACAACTCGTAATTACTCAAATGACCATGTACTGCACGTACATGTATATATACCTATCATAGTCTATTCTCAAATTTCCAAATAAAACATGGAGGTTATTGAAAACTTATTCACTGTTTCTTGAATTCACAGATTTATTAACACTGTGAATATAGGGAATATTAACAACGCGAGTTATTTTCCCCATGTACAGTACTTATTTGTATATTACCCATTGATATCATATGTAAAAAGATATATTTGTACATAAAACCTCAATATTTGTGCTTTCACCCAAACTTTAAAAAAAAAGATATACATATTTATAAAAGTCCTAAGTACCTGTGCTTTCTGAATTCATCCAAACTTTAAGGGATTTTTTAAAAACGTGGAGGATACGTAATACTGACCATGTTGACTATTAAATTGGCAAATGTTTACTCTAAATACAATTTATCAAAATAAAATCCCCTTCTATTGTGTTAATAAATTTGGCATATTAGCATGGTATTTGTCCGTAGCTTTGTGAACATCTAAAAATAAAGCAATAAACAGCTGATAGATAAACATACACAGATAACAAATCGATCAGGTACTTACTTTCACCACCTTAAAATCAGATTTATCGTTGTTTTTAGTCCACACCTTTACGTTATTTTTGTTGTATTCTAGTTTCCAGCCATCTGTTTCGTCACATAAACTTTTTAGTCTGTTAAAATCGGCATCTTCTGCCACTCTTACTTCCCCGACATCCATATCGGTTGGTGACTTGTCAAAATTTGCCGAAAAGCAGTTCGCATGTTACTAATATCCGGATTTGCGACTGTCAATACTCATTACGCTCATAGATCGGCTAATCATTTCAAACACATGAAAAACACATAATAACAGTTTATTTCGCTGTTCTTTTAGCTTTGATCTAAATATCTTGAAAATTGTCATCAATATACAAATAAAACGACCAATTTTTCTATGTCGTAAACAACACGAAATTCTTGAGGCGGATCACTAAGGAACACCCCCGCCATACTAATTTTTATGTTATTTAGTAAAAGATTTCTATTTTCAAAACATTCTCTAGTAAATTTCACAGTAACTTTTAAGACTTTATGTTTATCACTTTTTACATAAGATTGTAACATGTATCTTTCATTGTAAAGAATATTTTTATTTGTTATATTATAAATATTTCTAAGGTATGTGTTTCTTAGCTAAGAATAAGATTGACAGTGAAAAAGAAAGTGAATTTCATCCTCAATCACATCTTCCATTTCTTGATGGAAATATATTTACTACTTTCTATTGCAAGTTTATGTGCACTCAGCCTAATTCTACTAAGAGAGGATCTCTCAGATATTTTTCTGAGTAAATCAACATATGGTCTTTTTCTTGAGTATAACTTTTTATTATATAGAATTCAAGTTTTTATGAACCAAAGATTTTTTATGTTTGCTCTTGAGTGCACTGGTCAATATAAATTCTTTGTTTATATAACGTATAATGGGGAAGAAATTTTTATCAAATGAGATCACAAAAAATATGTCATTAAAAGATAATTTTAAAAAGTTGAAAACACCCGTGAGTCTATAACGGGGAGGGGGGTCTGTTTTCAAGCACTGTTTATCCATAGAATAACATAACCGCATAATTTTTACGGATGGGAGGACTGATTGGCATACATGAATCTACAGTGTATCTTACTGCTATGAACACAACGAAAGCATTATTTGATTTTGTATTGTATAATTTTCCATCTGTATTGTATAATTTTCAATTTTTATTGTATAATTTTCCATTTGTATTGTATAATTTCTCATGTATTGTATACTTTTCATTTGCTTTGTAATATTATACAATACAAACTTATAGAATACAAGTAAACATTATACAATACAAATGAAAAATTATAGAATACAAATGAAAAATTATAGAATACTTATAGAGTACAAATGAAAATTATAGAATACAAATGAAAAGTATACAATACAAATGAAAAATTATAGAATACAAATGGAAAATTATAGAATACAAATAAACATTATACAATACAAATGAAAAATTATATAATATAAATGAAAAACTGGAAAATAATACAATGCAAATGGAAAATTATAGAATATACCGTAAATGGAAAATTATACAATACAAATGTAAAAGATGGAATACTGCAACGTTTGACATGCCATACTTAGTGTTCAATAACGATCTACTTAATGAAATCCAAAGTACTTGCAGCTATATTGGGAAGTTCAAATGCAACCATCGATGATGACAATTCCTGCAGAACTCTGTCACCTGTAGGGCTTTAGGAGATGCTCGACTTGGCATACAGTTATTCTACAGAATAATTTTGCTGTTTGAGTTCTTTTTTTTTCGACCGTGGTGCAACATGTTGCCATGGCAACTCAGGTATTAGTTCATGTATTTATTTTTGACATCCATACAAATGTTTTCACATATAATACATGTATCCTCAGGTGTGTATTTTTAATTTAGGAAACCTTTTTGGAAAATCTTATTTCAGCCTTTAAATTTAGCAAAAAAAAAAATGCCTGAATGTGAAAGGGTTTTAATTTAATGCCAGCAAGTCAAGCGGACTTTTCTTCCCCCTATCCGGTAACCGTCTCAGTACCTCTCTGTCCTGGAATTAGGTGAAGAACCTGTACATCTGTCTGAGACCTATAACCATCTTGGGAACTTCCTACACTGTAAGATGGATCCGAGTGAGAGAACCCTCAATGCTTGTAGGAAGGGACGTCAAGCCTACTTTGCTCTGAAGACATATGAAATCTAAACCCTTCAACCATCGCGAACTTGAAGATGGTGCTCCCTACCGTCTTAGCAAACTATCGTGTGATCTCCGATATAAAAGTTCTCAGCACCTTTCAGCATTTTATTCTCTACCTAAAAAGACCAGATCCGACATGTATTAAAGCCTACCATGCATATTTCCAATAACTGCTGAAATTGACATCAAAAAGCTTTCAATTCTTTGCCGTCTCTGTGAATAAGATCACAGTATTCTCAGTAATCAGAAATTAATGTACCGTCTTTTTGACTATCTGCAAAACCCTGATACCATAATCCATGGATTTATTCCGGACATCATTTCTGTATTGTCCAAAAAACAACCTCTGTTACTACCTTAAGGATATCTGATCCTCAGCCAGGAACTCCGAAGGATAACTCTTAAATTTATTATTTTATTTAAAAAGTCTCAAAATGAAGCTTGAAACTGAGATCTTTTAGTGCAACAATTTTCATTTTATCATCTCAGTATGATTCAAGGTTCTTTGAAGTCTTAGAAAAGGTCTTGTAAAAAGTTGACATTTGTATTCCATAAAAGAAAATAAATGAATTCATTTTAAGAGAATTTTTTAAATCTAGCAGTAGATACCAATGCTAATTAGCACGGAATGAAATTAGACATGATCTGTGATGTCTAGCAATGATAGCACAAGCTTTTTACACTATGTATTATATAACAATTGAAGAAAATATAAGAACTAAAATACTGTTTAAACGTAAAAAAAAAAAAAAGATGCAGTTTTCTCCAAATGCCTGGATACCTATATTTTATTTTATCCTAAAATATATTTGTTGATCAATTAAAAAATGCATAGCTGGTGTTTTTATTCACATTTCCTGAAAATATATTTGAGATTTGATAATTTTTCCCATATAATATGATTAACTATAATGATGAACTTTGAAGAAATACCATGGGTAAATTCACATTTTTCTGTGAAATAAGAAACATTTTTGTGATCATTTTCAATTACTTAAAAGCTGATTTTCAGAACCTGTGGATCGGACTACCTTAAACAATACATATGTGAAGGTTCAACCGTCATAACATCTATTCTCACACACGTCTCACAATACAGGCAAAAGCGCGTAAAAAATGACTGATTTCTGGTTAGGTAGACTTGTAAATAATAGACAAATAAAAATAAATTTTCTTCGAAGACCCATTCTGACTAATTCTGACTCATTGACAATTGGTCGGAGAAAGACAAAAGTCTTAATTTGGCTGGTTCACTAAGAGGAACAGCACAGGATGTACTTAGAATGAAATGTAAAATGTGAAGATAACGAACAGTTATCATGTTCAAAAGTCCATTTAAACTAAACAGACTGAGAGCAGAGCAAACACAGACCTCTGAAAACAGAGGTTTGATCAGATGACATGGAGAAATAAACATCCCTTGTCGACCGGTCATACCCGCCGTGTGCTCGGTTAAACAGAAAAATCCGTAGTCAATTCAGTGTGAAAATAATGATCTAACAATTTTCATGAAAGACTTCATTCAACATTTGATTAAACCACAGATTGTTTTTGCTAACACGGTCATTGTATTGGCCATAGAATTTACAAAATGTTGACTTTTAATGAGATTGTTGATATCCTTGATTCATCAACTTGTATGCCAATAGCCTGCTTCGTTTAGAAATTGTTCGTACGTAGAACATGCTCTTTCGCATGAAATCAACTGGGAGACATAAACTCCATATGCCAGTGATAATGGTATATTGATACATAAATACTTTGGAAGTTTACGATAGAAAAGTTGGTCATCACGTTTATCATAAAGTTTTGTTGTTATTTGCCATCAATGTCTTTCTCTAGTAAAATATTCAAATATGAAGCAGATGTGTCAGACTCCATGGCGTCTTTTATTTCGAGTCCAGTTGGAGTCCAGATGGACTCAACGTAGGAATGAAAGTAAATATTGTAAATTGATAAAACGTCATCGGTACATGTGTATCTAAATGTCCAATTGAAGGCAACAGCAAGAGACTTTACTTTTGAATAAATTCTGTTTCTTAGGTAAGCTAATATCGGGGCACAGTTAGTACCATGGGAATAGAAATGAGGGAAGTTAATTTGTTAGTGAAAGTTCTTCAAGAAAGAACCCTTTGCGCTGCCCAATCAGACTGAACTATACCATGCGCAGATAAAAGAGAGGAAAACAAAGAGCTTCTGAGACGTCTAAATTGGGAAAGGCTATTTGTAGATTGATTTACGTTCATATATGCAGTGCTTACCTAAGATTTGCACTTGCACATGAAACATGAAAATCTTTTAAAGTATGCAATCCGGCTTGCATAAGAGGTAAATGCTTATCATAGAACTGAGTAACGAGGTGATGAACGAGAGTACAGAATGCCATCGTGTAAAATCCGCACTGTCAACAGAACTAATACTATTAGATAGTTGCCCTTTTAAACAGTTTCTTTATCAAAACTGGAGTCTAAGACATACAAAATCACAATGGCCACTCAAGAAAGCTAGTGATGGGGTGGTTTGTTATTATTGCAAGGAAAAAAGCACATTCTTAGGAATTGTTCAAAACTTAGGAATAAAGGGAAACTTAGAGAGAAAATTAAAAAAAAAAAACAGTAATACATCATCAAGAAATCATCTAGTAGAAAACCACGGAGAATTCATATTAAGCACTGGAGACATCAACGTAGGAAAGAAGGACATGTTGAAGGAAGCATCACGATTATTGGTATATTGAAGTAGTCGTTAGAAGAACACTTTTAATATTTGTATTCCCCCTAGGAGTGAAGTAATAATGCCAGGGATACATTTGGAGGCTCGGATTATATAGTCGAGCCAGAGACAAAATTTTTGGAGAAGGATCGTGTTGTTGTGAAGAACATAGGTGAAAGGTGGTGAAACAGTGCCTCTGTGATGTAGGAATAAGAAATATATTATATACACTAGTATAAGGGAACTCTGATGGCTAAAATCTAAGATAACAACTACAGATGAATAGAAGATGAAAGAAATATTACGAAAATAGAGAAAAAGTATGTAATGTGTCTGGGGTCACCCAATATCATTACAGCACCTCCCCAAACGATAATGTTTGAAGATTGGAAAATAAATATTCTCAAGACAATGAAAAGCAAGATGTGTAGAACAAAGCATACGCACGTTTACCAAAGGAACAGCTGTAGAAAGCTGATTTGTGTGGATTGACAAGGCATTGTCACACTATTTGACCTTCATTATTTCTACATTATTAGATATTACGAGAATTAAAAAACTCAAAATCTATTGACTTTCCGTTTTATATTCAAATAAATAATAATACTGAATGGGGAGCACAAAGGTACACACAATTTCCACAGCACGAATCCCAGCGAGAATTGCTGTATTATGGGAAATATTGCGTCGATTTTCATCCTCAGTTCCGAACATTGAAATTTTTAAGAGTCTGATATTATTTCCTTGATCACTGGTGCCTATAATCATGGTTTTTCCTGATCCGCCCCTTGAGGTAGTCTTTCCTATAATCAGTGTTTTCTGATCCGCCTCCTGAGATAGTCCCTCAATGTCTCCTGTTTGAATTCGTCCCACTGCAGCGTTATATCTAAACGATCAACCAGTTCACTCTGTTGTGGAAAAGGCTTTGCCTATGGAAAAAATACAATTTATTGACTGATAATAACATGTTTTTCTGCCGTTACAAGATGCGTTTATTCATATTTCTGTTGTAACAAAGATGCATTTATTCAATTTTGCAATACAAGTACTGTACTGGTTAATTTCAGATTGTTTGAAAGGGGATATGTCGCTCGTTGGTCGATTTTCCATAGCAAAGAGGGAAAGACTTGGAACAAGAGGCCCATGGGCCACATCGCTCACCTGAGTAACTTTGGCCATGCTGTTCTTTACCAGATTTCCCCCTTCTAATACTTATTGTGGCCCCGCCCTACCCCCAGGGGTCATGATTTTAACAATTTAGCATCTACACTACCCCAGGATGCTTCCACTTAAGTTTCAGCTTTTCTGGCCCAGTTGTTCTTGAGAAGAAGATTTTTCAAGATTTTTCTTACATATTTCAATGTAAAACTTGGATTCCCTATTGTGGCCCCGCCCTACCCCCAGGGGTCATTATTTTTACAATTTAAAATCTACACTATCCCAGGATGCTTCCACATAACTTTCAGCTTTTCTGGCCCAGTGGTTCTTGAGAAGAAGATTTTAAAAGATTTTCCTATTTATTTCAATGTAAAACTTGGATTCCCTATTGTGGCCCCGCCCTATCCCCGGGGGTCATGATTTGAACAATTTAAAATCTACACTACCCCAGGATACTTCCACATAAGTTTCAGCTTTTCTTGCCTAATGGTTCTTGAGAAGAAGATTTTTAAAGATTTTTCTTATATATTTCAATGTAAAACTTGGAATCCCTATTGTGGCCCCGCCCTACTCCCAGGGGTCATAATTTTGACAACTTAGAATCTCCACTACCCCAGGATGCTTCCACATAAGTTTCAGCTTTTCTGGCCCAGTGGTTCTTGAGAAGAAGATTTTTAAAAAATTTTCCTATTTATTTCAATGTAAAACTTGGAATCCCTATTGTGGCCCCGCCCTATCCCCGGGGGTCATGATTTGAACAATTTAGAATCTACACTACCCCAGGATGCTTCCACTTAAGTTTCAGCTTTTCTGGCCCAGTTGTTCTTGAGAAGAAGATTTTTCAAGATTTTTCTTACATATTTCAATGTAAAACTTGGATTCCCTATTGTGGCCCCGCCCTACCCCCAGGGGTCATTATTTTTACAATTTAAAATCTACACTATCCCAGGATGCTTCCACATAACTTTCAGCTTTTCTGGCCCAGTGGTTCTTGAGAAGAAGATTTTAAAAGATTTTCCTATTTATTTCAATGTAAAACTTGGATTCCCTATTGTGGCCCCGCCCTATCCCCGGGGGTCATGATTTGAACAATTTAAAATCTACACTACCCCAGGATACTTCCACATAAGTTTCAGCTTTTCTTGCCTAATGGTTCTTGAGAAGAAGATTTTTAAAGATTTTTCTTATATATTTCAATGTAAAACTTGGAATCCCTATTGTGGCCCCGCCCTACTCCCAGGGGTCATAATTTTGACAACTTAGAATCTCCACTACCCCAGGATGCTTCCACATAAGTTTCAGCTTTTCTGGCCCAGTGGTTCTTGAGAAGAAGATTTTTAAAAAATTTTCCTATTTATTTCAATGTAAAACTTGGAATCCCTATTGTGGCCCCGCCCTATCCCCGGGGGTCATGATTTGAACAATTTAGAATCTACACTACCCCAGGATGCTTCCACATAAGTTTCAGCTTTTCTTGCCTAATGGTTCTTGAGAAGAAGATTTTTAAAGATTTTTCTTATATATTTCAATGTAAAACTTGGATTCCCTATTGTGGCCCCGCCCTACCCCCGGGGGTCATGATTTGAACAATTTAGAATCTCCACTACCCCAGGATGCTTCCACATAAGTTTCAGCTTTTCTGGCCCAGTGGTTCTTGAGAAGAAGATTTTTAAAAATCTTTCCTATATATTTCAATGTAAAACTTGGATTCCCTATTGTGGCCCCGCCCTACCCCCGGGGGTCATAATTTTGACAACTTAGAATCTACACTACCCCAGGATGCTTCCACATAAGTTTCAGCTTTTCTGGCCCAGTGGTTCTTGAGAAGAAGATTTTTAAAAAAAATTTCCTATTTATTTCAATGTAAAACTTGGATCCCCTATTGTGGCCCCGCCCTACCCCCGGGGGTCATGATTTTAACAATTTAAAATCTCCACTACCCCAGAATGCTTCCACATAACTTTCAGCTTTTGTGGCCTAGTGGTTCTTGAGAAGAAGATTTTTTAAAAAAAATTTCCTATTTATTTCAATGTAAAACTTGGATCCCCTATTGTGGCCCCGCCCTTCCCCCGGGGGTCATGATTTTAACAATTTAGAATCTCCACTACACCATGATGCTTCCACATAAGTTTCAGCTTTTGTGGCCTAGTGGTTCTTGAGAAGAAGATTTTAAAAGATTTTTCCTATATATTTCAATGTAAAACTTGGATTCCCTATTGTGGCCCCGCCCTATCCCCAGGGGTCATGATTTTAACAATTTAAAATCTAGACTATCCCAGGATGCTTCCACATATGTTTCAGCTTTTTTGGCCCAGTGGTTCTTGAGAAGAAGATTTTAAAAGATTTTTCTTATATATTTCAATGTAAAACTTGGATTCCCTATTGTGGCCCCGCCCTACCCCCGGGGATTATGATTTTAAAAATTTAAAATCTACACTATCCCAGGATGCTTCCACATAAGTTTCAGCTTTTTTGGCCCAGTGGTTCTTGAGAAGAAGATTTTTTAATGACCCCACCCTATTTTTGTCTTTTTTTGATTATCTCCCCTTGTAAGGGGACTTGGCCCTTTATTTTAATAATTTCGACTCCCCTTCACCCAAGAATACTTTGTATCAAATTTGGTTAAAATTGGCCCAGTGGTTCTTGAGAAGAAGTTGAAAATGTGAAAAGTTTACAGACGGACGGACGGACGACGGACAACGGGTGATCAGAAAAGCTCACTTGAGCTTTCAGCTCAGGTGAGCTAAAAACCGTTAAAAGATGGGAAAAAAGGTGGATCAACACAGGTAAATACAAATGGACTTCTAGGACCAAATGACAATTTTTAATTAGACTTTGGTATCACAGAGCACATCGCAAAGCCCTTTTTTGTATTTCTTTGTTTTATTATCAGTAACAAAGCCTATTTAGCTTAACAAATACTGAATAACAGAAATGACAAGGCAAAAAAGACTGGGACATGTTTTTCTTCAATACTGACCTATCTCACGCTGATGTAATTGAATTATAAATTAGTGTTTGTAAAGTTAATAATAGAAGAAATTCGAAAGCAGTATCGCAATACACGTACGACAATGGCGATATGATACAAATATATCAAGACAACTCATGATCGAATCGATCGATATGTCGTTGTACCATTACACCTCTATCAATAATGCCAGTTTTACATTTTGTTTGAAGAGAACGAATTGTTGTATCGTCACATCTCTATCAATAATCCAAGTTTTATTTTTAGTCTGATGTAATTGTTGTATCGTTACCCCTATATCAATAATCCTAGTTTTACCTTTAGTTTGAAGAAAATGAATTCTTGTATCGTCAAACCTCTATCAATAATCCCAGTTTTACCTTTAGTCTGATGTGACGTAATTGTTGTATTGTTACCCCTCTATCAATAATCCTAGTTTTACCTTTAGTTTGAAGAGAATGAATTGTTGTATCATTACACATCTATCAATAATCCCACTTTTACCTTTAGTCTGATTAGACTGAATCGTTGTATCGTTACACCTCTAGTTTTACCTTTAGTCTGATGAGACTGAATCGTTGTATCGTTACCCCTCTAGTTTTACCTTTAGTCTGATGAGACTGAATCGTTGTATCGTTACCCCTCTAGTTTTACCTTTAGTCTGATGAGACTTAGCCTGGTTCCCTGTCCCTGTTATGCTTCGTATACTCCGCGTCACTAGGGCCAGGTGGACTACAATGGATTCAGGGCGAATCTGCCCTGAATCTGAGCCCATTGTGACGTCGAATTTAGCTGCGCTTCCGGTGTAGAATTTTATTGTGACGTCGTATTTTTCTACACCGTCGATATAATGCATCATTGTGACGTCAATATTTATTTCCGTGGTTAACGGCAACGGCACAAAAAACACGATTAAGCGCGAGTTGTGCTGACCAATCAAGGGACAGCATCGATTGTAATCCACCTGGCTCTCCTGCCTTGGCAAGGATGAGCCAGGGAACCAGGCTAGATGAGACTGAATCGTTGTATCGTTACCCCTCTAGTTTTACCTTTAGTCTGATGAGACTGAATTGTTCTATCCTTACGCCTCTAGTTTTACCTTTAGTCTGATGAGACTGAACATGGCGTCATCACAGTGACGTAGGAAGAACTTCTTGTTGATAGCTAGCACCTCACAGTCTCCACTAACCTACAAATTCATCATGTCGGTATTTATTTATCATGATTAACCTATCCTTTTAAAGACAAAAAACTTTAAATCACTCATAATACTCATAACTCCAAATAATGTTTCAGATTTATTAAGCTGCTTTACTTACCAGACTCACTGATGGTCCTCTCTCGTAGGATTCTAAGCAAGATCGAAGTCCCTGTAGTGAGAAAAAAAACACATACCGGTAATAACTTAAATTTTCCTTACATGGCAACCTAAATTGAAATGGATGCCCATGTGTTAATATCGCCTGATTTTTTAAAACCCCACAAGTTTGGATAAAACCCTGTCAAAAAGACATTGTATGGGTTCATGTATGTAATTTTGTTAAAAGAAAAGGGTAGGAGATTTAGAAATTACAGAAATTGTGCTTGTTTGTGTGTGAAAATTTGGCCTGTCTTAAGTTTGTACGTCTTTTATAATTGTGTCCGTAACCTTAATTTGTCAGAATGGTGCAGGTAGTGGGGAAACGCACCTTGCTAGAATAGATACCAATATTCTAAGAACCTTTCAAAAACAATAGCTAAACCAACGTATTTTAGAGAAATCAAATGCGCTAGAACAATAGAATCTGTTTTAATAAATGATTTTGTAGGTTATCAAACATTTTCTGTTACTGTATATTATAGTACCGTATATTAAAATAAATATATGCTCCATATGTAATAAACACCAAGGTGTTATTTGCTGTCCTACATTTATGGAAATCTTTCCCCAATGATATGAGAAAATGTGAAGAAGCAAGATAAAAACATATCAAGTACAAAGATTTGTCAAGCTAATAGGTCAATGATCTCTTAACTTTCCCGTATTGTTATCAACCAATACATTCCTCAATCATATGGAAAAAGCAAACACCTAAAAAATATACCAGCACATGTTTGTCAGGTTACAAGGTCGATGATCTCCTAATTTTCTTCATTATCTAAGAAATATATGACAGTAATGTCTCTTGACATTGATACTGATATCGAAGTTCTAAAATCTCTGGTCCACAAATGAACTTCATTGAAATATTTGTTATTTATGATATGTCAATAACAAATATATGTATGATGTAAAAACACTAAATTATATTATTGTTTGTTCCTCAATGCAGCTACTAAGACACAGTCATATTAACTGTTTTACATCTCAATTTTGCAATATTCATCTACCCTACTTTAAACCAATGCAACTATTCGTAATTTTTTGTTAAAGGAAAGATGATAAAAACAAAAAAATATATACCTGAATTGGTAACAGTTATATTTTTAGGACCTATTTTGGTTGTAAATGATACAAATATCAAATTTCTGAAATATTACGAAATTGTAAACGTTCTATGATGTTCAATTTTTACCTAGAAAGGTAGAATTTTAAATGTTCTACATGTATGATGTTCAAAATTCTACCTAGAAACGTTTACAATTTCTTAAAATTTTAGAAATTTGATTTTAAACAGGAACAACCATCCTTATAAATCTATACAATTTTTTATCCCTTTATAGGACATTGTAAAATTTTGAATGTAAAATTAAAATCTATGCGGTTAAACTTATTCATTTTACTTCTATAAGCATGACTAAGTTGTTATTTTCATGGTTTTTGAAAAAAAGGTTGTTTGTATCATCTGTCCTTAAACCATGATCTTTTTTGATCAAATTTGATAAATGATTATTTAAATGATACTTGTGAAAATAATGTAAATTATCATAGGACATTTCCTTCTTTTAAGAGTTGAACTCTGATATTTATATAACTTCAGTAAGATGGCACTTACAAAGGTTTGCCCTGGATGAAGCGTTTCCACCTGTACAAATGCAGGAAGCTCTGCGGTTTCTTTTTCATGAGTGATGACCACGCGTTGTGGTTTGATATTTGGCGCGTTTGTGTATTTCTCCTTTAATCGTTTGCGTTCTGCCATTTGTAGTCGTTCCATCATTTGTTCGTGTGTCAAACGTTTCTTTTTCACCATATGCAGGTTTTCAGATTTGGGTCTTGGTTTGCTGTTTCCTGGATTACGACCAGTTCTTTGGTAAAACGACTTTTTGTCAGCAGATATTTCAGTAAACGTTAATTGTACAGTTTCTCCGCCCACGACTGAGGTAGGTCTTATGTTTTCCTCGTTTTCTGTCTTCTCTTTAGACTCCACTTCATCACTTTCTTTAATTTCTATTTTAGGTAGTTTTTGCGTTTGCCTGTCCATGATTTCTGACTTGGATCTGAGGAATCCGCGCACTGACTTCACAGCATTGGGAGAGTCTGGCACACTTTTATATGCTATGTCATCAAGACACTTCCTGTGCCCTGGTGCAGGTGGCGCTGACATCAAATCTCTCCGTAACCCAGGATGATATGTAGCAGGACTATACTTTGATTTTACTAGGAAAAAGGTACCAAATATTGATATGAGGTTGGGTGGTCAACAAATTACCCAACAGATCTATCTAAAAATATTAAAGTGATTTTCTTGCCATAAACTATTATTTTTAAAAAAAAAACATGTTCTAGCTATAATATTTAATGTTATTTCCTATATATTTATACAAGGTTTTTCTTTTCTGTGAGGTTTCAATGGTCTAAAAATGGCCATGACCACACAGCCCTCTAAACACCATTGAAACCAAAAGTAGTTGATAAGGCTTTCTTTTTATTGAAAAACCTTGAATAGATGAATGAAACACAGTTTTAGTAACATTTAATGTTATGTTTAATTCTAAGAAATATTCTAGAAGTATCACTAACTAGCTCCAGTTTAAGATACATACCATGCGCTCTATCAGATACAAAGTTGAGGATTTTCTTTTTCTTGTAGAAGGGTGAGTCCTGTTCAATTGTTTTCTGAATCTGTTGCCTTCTAGCCTTGATGTCTATGGTGTCCGGTTTTAGCCGGGCTATCACACGTGCTTCTCCCTGTAATACACCGTGATATACCTGATATACCTAACTCAGATTGTTATTATATCAAAACAATCAATTATTGAGACTTGCTTACACGGGATTTCTGGAGACATTTGTATATAGCATAAATATCAAGCCAAGAAAGCTCTAAGAATGTGTAAACCAGCATACAAATGTATGTATATCCACTTTATTATCTTGTGTCCTACTAACAATTTGAACTAAAATTAAGAATGTAAGGAAAATGTATGTAATCTGAAAATATAACAATTACTTTCCAGCTCTCAAAGATAAATAACAGTTTATATATAAACAGACTTTATTGTCTGTTTTACAGGTAATTCAAACTGCAGAATGATTCCTTAACCAATAATTCCGATAAGTTCTTCATAAATATTTTTCTCCTTAAAAATTGATACATCAAACGGTCCAAGAATTTTTATTTGTTCCCTATAACCGGGACTTTCTTTTAAATAAGTTCCCTTTATGACATTTTAATTTAATGTACTGAAGGAATCAATCAAAGTTCGATATTTAATTAACTCTTAGAAATGAAAATCCATGTCTGAAGACTTCGGTGAAGAACTACATTTGTAATGTAAATCCGAAAATTGATACGTACAGACAAGATAACATAAATCCATTCCATTTCATTGCTGTCTTTGACTATCAGGCGGCCATATCTATATATCAACCAAAATATTGAATCAAATATGGAATATAGATTATTTTACCTAACAATATCTAAAATAGATCCCGAAACATATCTACTACATATATTTAAACTTCGAGCTTTCATTTAAACACTTTTTTCATTAAATTCCAAACCGATGAGAAAGAAGGTTCTATTGATTTGGTCGTTTGTCATTGTCTTTTAACTTTGATCATATGTATGAGATAGAAACTATATGTTCATACATTTATTTGACTATACAGTCAAGTACTCTGTCCTATCAAAGTCACAAATAAAAGTATTAATAATGACACATACCTGTATTTCAGCGTACTCCACGTTCCCGGATTCTCCTCTAGTTTTTCCAGTGGAAAATGTCGCAGCACCACATCCTTGCTACAAAAAAAGAGACCCATGGTACACACCGCTCACCTGAACACTGTGGCTAGGAGAAAAAGCAGAAATTAGTCCAGTACTTAAAAAAGTACAAATGCATATATGGCCCCAACGTATACTAAAAAAGGGGTATGATTTGAACAGACTTGAATCTACAATAAGGATGTGTACACACTTCTTTGACAAACTGTGGCTTTTTCCCTATAAATTTGAACTTTCATTGTGGTCCCATCCTACCCCGGGGGTCATAATTTTAACAAACCTGAATCTACTCTACCCGAGGATGCTTCCATATAAATATGACCAATCCTTGAGAAGATTTTTTTCATTCCTATGTATTCCATGGCTCTGCTGTTCTTGAGAAGATTTTTCCTATACATTCCTATGTAAAAATTTGCTCGCCCATTGTGGCCCCGTCCTACCCCCAGGGATCACGGTAAGAAAAAAATTAATCTACACTACCTGTTGATGCTTCCATATAAATATGACTAATAATGGCTTTGCTGTTCTTGAGAAGAATATTTGTAAAGATTTTTCCTTTATATTCCTATGAAAAACTTTGATCTTACATTGTGGCCCCACTCATGATTTGAAAAAAAAAAACTGGAATGTACACTACCTGATGATGCTTCCATATAAATATGACCAATCATGGCTTTGCTGTTCTTGAGAAGAAGATTTTTAAATATTTTTCCTTTACCGGTATATTCCTATGTAAAATTTTGATCGTCGATTATGGTCCCATCCTACCCCCGAAGGTCATGATTTGAACAAATTTGAATCTACACTACCTGAGGATATTTCCACATAAGTTTCATTTTTCCCGGCCTAATGGTCCTTGAGAAGAAGATTTTTAAATGATGCCATTTATTTTTTACTAATTTGTAATTATCTCCCCTTGAAAGAGGGCGTGGCCCACCATTTGAATAAACTTGAATACCCTTCACCCAAGGATACTTTGTGCAAAGTTTGGTTGAAATAGGCCCAGTGGTTCTGGAGAAGAAAATGAAATTGTGGAAAGTAATCGACAACAACGGCAGACAACGGACAAATTTTCATCAGAAAAGCTCACATGAGCCTTCGGTTTAGGTGAGCTAAAAAGTAAAAACAAAACAAAGATGCAATGAATTAATCACAAATGTCCATCATTAGTGTTGTAACACGTGGTCCATGTTTAACCTACCGACAAATGTTCAAGTTCTTTGGGTCATTACAATCCGCTGCCATATCGAAGATTTCCATATAATCCTGTAAAAAAAAAAAATCACAACTTTTCACTGAAACTGCGTTTATTTGATCACTGAATTATTTCTTGGTGGGTTTTCAAATAATGTTAAAAATGAACAGCATTTTGTCAATTAATTGAAGAGAGAACATGCATTTAAATCCAAACCTGTGATACATATCAAGTAAGAATCGGCACACGCTCTTATCGACATTGACCGCGAAACAATAACATGTCAGCCACTGCTATTTTTTCTAGACTGACTTTATGGAGCTTTCTAAAGGGCATATTTGATTTTTAACCAATTATTTCTAATCAGTTAAACGTGGATTGAACTATATGTCTGGTTTTATGAAAAAATTCTTGAGTATCTTGAATAAGTGTTTTGGCCAGATAAGAATTGCGTATAAACAGACACTCGCTGGAATTATATCGCTTTGCCATATCGACCCGTCTATATTTTAACTCTTTTTAATTTTATTTTGGATTACGTAGGATCATTTTAGTTGCATCCAGATTTTACTTATCAAGTGCAATCAATTCAAGACTTCCAAGTTATATCTTCAAACATATTAGGTTGCAAGTGTTTGCACATATATGTGTTGTGGAAAATTAACTTTTAGATCAAAGGAATTCGATCAAGATTGTATTAAGAAATATTACTTTGGTCCGTTTCATTTGATAACTGCTTGTTGGAAAAAGGGAGATTCCTTGGGCTAATGGAAAATTTATGTCCAAAGAAATACCGCCATATCATAGGTTTCAGTCAACATTGAATTTTAAATGGGTAATTGAATCTTTAAATTCTTTTTTTAGTTTCTAGAGAACAATTATTAAGGTTTAGATTGTTGAAATTCATACCTTTTGTAAATACTTTTGATTTACTTCCATTTCATTTCTAAATCTGAACTTCATTAGACGTTAAAAATGAGAGTTCAAAAGCAATACCAATTTGATGCTTATATTAGGACAGTAGAAGTACTCACAAATCTGTGTAGGAATAGAAGTTCCACTTCCTGTCTGGTGATCACCGTAGCCCTCCTCCCACAGCCGCAGACTAGGTCCTCCTCCTGCAACAACACACAGATACCCGATCTCACTACACAGACTTCAGGAGACCTCCTATCTTATGGAGACCTCCTATCTTACTATACAGACTTAAGGAGACCTCCAACATCGTCAATCTCTGTTGAACATCACGAGAATTTCTAATGACAAGGTCTTAAAAGAGTGACAATGGTCATCAAAATATGACTGCTTTGTTCGATCGGAGTTCTGTTGTCTGTCTATAAGTATTTTACTAATCCCTTCTCCAACAAAGGTATTACAGCATTGACAGTGATATGACTAGCGATCTAAAGGTACCGTTAGTAACTGGAAACTTCGAGGACCCTATACAAGCAGTACTAGTAAGAAAAAGTACACATGAAAACCTTATTTTATATAAAATGATTCTCTATTAGGTTAAAATATTTAATTTACTCACCCCAAACTTTTCTCCGGCATGGAGTTCATCCGGGTTTCTTTTGTCGTCAGGTTTACTGATCACTAAAAATAATACAGAATCAATCATTAAAGCTAATTACTGCTCCCACAGAATCCAAAAAAAAATCGGAATATTTCACAATTTCCTCGTAAATATCTGTTGGAGCGAATAATATCAATATAATTGCCTCCAGACAACACGTTGTTCGACCTTATCAGAAACGTTACCTTTGTTTTCAGTAGGATTTCTAATTTACAGTTCAATTATGAAAAATAATAAAAAGTTACGATTTACATCACACACGAGGTCCTATCAAATGAGGCTTTGTTGTTGCATGTAGTTTCAAAGAAGAAATCAAATTCAGGATATGGCAGAACAATTAGTTTTGTGACCTCGATTACACCAGAAATCAATTTGCACCGATAAAAATACTATCTATTAAATCTCAGACATGTTTAGTTTTCCTTAAACTCGTTTTAAAGACTTCGGTGTGAATAATTGTCTATAAATATGACAGTACATGGGACATAATGAACTTTTAGTTAGAGACCAGGGCACGGCGGAAATTAGAAATGTTTATTCAGTTCATTGTGTTGTTTAAGTAAATAAGAATAATATTCTGGCCATTATGAAGCCTTAACTATTATTTCTGAAGACTTTAAATCTTCATTGTGATTAATTGTATGTGATAAAATATCAGATTTAAATACCCGTCTTTAAGATGTAAAATATCATGCCGTAGTGGTAAATAGCTAGATAGCATTGTTCCATTCCGTAACACAATGCACCCCTTTTGCAGTCAAAGCGTTTAAAATAAACATATATACATGTACTTCACACACGGAAGGGAAAGAATGCAGCAAATCCGCCCTTACTTATTCAGAAGTCAAGGATTACAGTGAATTAAACTGAGAAAAATGAACAATGAGAGGAAATATAAACTATACAGAAAATATATGAAAAACATGAACGAGAAAGATCCTTAAAATTGAATGTCAAGACATTCTAACGGTCACAATGTTCATCTGGTGGGGACGACATGTAACAATTATAGAAACACATAACGTAAGGAGAAAGATCATGTATGTTCATAAGTACTATAGTACTTAATTTACTTGTTTCATCTTTACCCACGGTTAATGTACAGTTAGGTAATCAGTCTGTCTAGATCGCTGATAAATACTTACAAGTTCCGCTGATGACAAAATAGATTCCATCTGGGGGGAGTCCCCGCCGTATAATTACACGGTTGTGGAGGTATCTGAAAATATAGAAATTCATCTTTTCACGTTTTTGATTTGCAATTGATGGAGATTTAACCACATATTCACATTTTGTATAAACCATATTTGTCATTCTAAAGAACAGTTTCATGAAAGAATGAAAAGTCTTGGAAAAGAGGTTTTCGCAGTGTGATTTCATATACAGTTACTGTAAAACACTTTGTATGAAGTTGTTTAAAATTTGTAAAAATAGTCTCCTGCATTAAGTATTATAATCTTAGTTCTGAATGTTACATACTTGTCGTAAAAGGCATACTGGCATATCTTTTTCTGAACTGCTAAAGAGTACTCGCAGAATTGCTTTGACATGGCTTTAAGTACTCTCACAACCTACAACACATTTCAATCGCTTTATATTATGCATTTACTGAAATAATTAGTTTGTCATTTGCAATATTCGAAATAATTGATCGAATCACCATAACTTTAAAGAAATTCAGTTTATTCTATGCTTTGATATCTTGTATTTTGTTCAAAGGTTCATTTTCTAACAGGTTTATTTCAGCTTTAATATTTACATTATTTTCTTGCTGAATTCAAAGTCTTGAAGACAGATAGTATAGTGCAGATGAAAATTACAAATTTTTTTTACAACATGTATATAATACTGGTAATGATTGTGACGTCACAAGCACTGAAACTATAAGTATAGGTGCCTTGAAGTTTATTTTTTTTCTTCTTCAGAAGAATACCTCAGAAACTTGAGGGGTTTTAGTTTACTCCTTTTTTGATACCCAATTTGGTGCTAAATCCCCTTCTTTACTCTTTGAAATACATGTAAAACAATTTTCCTTTCCACAATACACAGATGTAAAGTAGTCAGGATCTTGCTTTCGCCTCACAAACTCTTTGACTATAAACTATACCTCCATGATTTGTTCAGGGCTCCTTGTTCCAGGTCTCTGCCTCATTATCTCCCGGAGATCGTCCGTAAACAAATCCTAATTCAAAAACATACTGTTGTTTAATTTAATTAAATGTAAACAAAGTATTTAAGAAAAAAAGATGATTAAAAAGGCATCAAGTCAACTCATAAACTGACACAATGACATAATCTAAAAGTCAACTCGAAAACAGAGTCAAGAATCGTATTAAAAACAACCTTATTCTGAGTTTCCTTTATGGAAAGACATTCCAAAGATTTTTCAATGTAAATTCGACTCTACATTCCTGCCAAGATAAGTCTATGGCACCAAACTTTTATGACATCAATGGATAAATAAACGCAGTTAGAAACGTAATATCAAATACTTGTATGGAGAACTTGGAGTACATGTAGAATTGTGGCCATCCCACATAAACAATGGGTTTTTTTCTGGGGATTAACAAGATCTTGTTGCCTGAATTTTATACCGAAATAATTGATTCATTACTGCTAAGGTTAAAACATTGCTAAAGTTACACATAAAAGGCTACATATCAACAATTAAAGTGCTATTGACGAAACGATCTTCCGCCGCCAGTCAAACAGCCATAAAATCATTCATGAAACGTTGTATGATATATCAAATATTATTTCTTTTTATGCCCAATGCATTGTATTCACACAGCCATAAAACTTTACCTTAAATTACTCAGAAATTATCCGGAAAATATTCAAAAACTTGATGCTTAAAAACATTTTGAATGCTGAACCTTAGTATGTCGTTGTTGCTTATAATCGTTGATGTCAAAGGTCAGCTGTTCCATTTTGTGTTTTTCGGTGGTGACCAGTGCAACAAAAGCCCTTCCTTTCTTTTGCGATTGCTGTAGCGTTGTTGCCGCAACGAGATTATCCAGCAACGAGAACCAGTTTTCTTGGGAAACAGAATTCACCAAGAGGCTAATAAAGAGTTAAAACAAATTGTATCATATAGAGTTCCAGAAGTTACTGAGAAGTAATACATTTATCTAAATATTGGATTAATAACATGTAATGAAATGTTACTTTTTTATTTAATGACAATACCCACTACTTATGATACATGTAGTTTTCATTAATAACCTCCCATTTATAAATCATATACTTCCTGTTGGCTGCTGTTGTTCAAAATTAGTGCTTCTGAGAATAGAGAGCCTATTTAAGATATGTATTATCAAGGGATTGTAAAATCTGGTAATATTTCTGAAACTATATGAAATCCCGCGCAAGCGCGGGGAATTGAATTTATACCACTACCGACAGAAAAAAATCTAATAATATATATATTGTAGTTTCTACTGACAGCCTACAGGCTTATAGCAGGAAGAAATACTTTGTTCAAAATCCCGCATGAAGGAGAAGTACGTCTCCACCCCCCCCCCCACCCCCCAACCCCCGTAAAACTTAAATAACAAAATCATTAATTGACGTTTATTGTGAAACCTGTTATACACAATGTACTATGTTATGGATATTGTACTTCAAATGCTCTTTTTTCAATTCCCTCACGAATAAAAGCAGTGAATATGCACATTTTACTGAGAAATAGATTTTTTTTTGGTAAAAATTCACAGGTACTTGTTGGATGGTTTATAAATATGTATGTACCTTATTGATGTGTAAAAACTGTATCTTACCTCTTTTTTTTTCTTTTTTTTTACATATCAATAAGGTACATGTATACATACATGTATTTATAATCCAAGACCTAAAAGTACCTGTGTAAAAATTAGCTTTTATTTAACGCCCTATGAATACACTGGCGGATTTAGAGGGAGGCCCAACCCCCCTCCCGTTTTCTGTCCAAAATATACGTAAAATTTATTAAATCATTTTTTTTTTTGGTGTGTCCGTGGGCCCCAACCCCAAACTGGTTGCCCCCCCCCCCTTTTTTTTTTTTGAAGATTCCTGGATCCGCCACTGGAATAGGCCGAGTATTTGATACAAAAGACTGTATTCAGAAAAAAAATTAAAGCACAAAATTATACAACATAATTGTACTTGAATAATGCCTTATTCATTGATATTCTCTTTTCATGTGAGCAAGTTTATTACGAAGTACAAATTGTACTTCGGGTTCGTTGCCACGATGCTTTCAGTGAGGAATATATACAAATTTTACCGATAAATTTATTAGGAAAACCTACAACATATATGTAATAGTCTTTCGATATATAAATATATTCACAACTTACAGTGTTATCAATGATTTACCATTATTTCAATGACCATTTACACAAAAGCTATTTTTTTCTTTTTAACATCGGGCTCGATGCTATATGATGTTCTAGAAGCTTCCGTCAATATTACGATCGGTGAATGACGAAAATAACTTACACATTTCCCTTTTTTAATCGGTTATCACAACTTATTTTTTTTTATATCATTTAAATCAAGTTTTGATTGAATAATTCAGTAATGACGTTCAAGGAAATAAATAAACGATTGCTTGTTGTCAGTTTCATTAAAAATTGACAGTAACTTTGATCCGCCAACCGGAAACGCCACCGTACTCACGTTTTTGCTATTTCATGGCTGTTTATAGAAAATAGAAGTAGACTTTTTAATTTAATGTACGATACTTACAATGCAAGTGAAATCTAAATATAGTTTACGGACATCATCTTGTATCGTGTGTATTCTTAGAGGAGTAAGTAGAACTCTGGTGCACCCGTTTTGGAGTTTATTTGCAAAATTTATTAATTTATAAGTATAGATACTAAGTGTTTCACTGTCTATGTTATCTGTGTGGTACAAAATATTGACAAAGAAAAGGATATCAGTACAAGAAAGGAATCGGTAGGCCTAGTAAACCAAAGAAGGCTGGATATCTGATCAGTGAGAACAACACTGAGTGTAGAAAAATAGTTACTTTCCCAACCCCAGCAGGTCTTTCCATCTGCTAAATTCCCTTTTTAACTGGACAATATTTTGTATAATTAGAATAAAAATAAAAAATAAAAATAAAGTAGACAATGGAATTCTCAGTTTTTCAGAAGTATCATTAGTTTTGCAATCCTTTAATAATACACGTATACAATAGGCTTTCTGTTGTCAAAGCACTCGTTTAGAACATTTAGTAATCGGCAGGAAGTTTACAAAGTGAACGGTAAGTACACGTAATTCATGAAAACTGCTCATAACTTGAGAAAGAATCAAGAATTGTCCTTTGATAAAAATGTGATATCAAACTATAAATATTTTATTTTGCATTATTTTTAAAAACATTATCACGAAAAAATTCTCAATAATTTCTGGGAACATTTTACCCTTCTTTCAAAGTTATGATATCGCTGCTATTTTTAGCAGTAGATCTTGTACTCACCTCCGACAAACGTGACAAACTCCAATCAACATTTTTACTGCTCTAGCCATTCTTCGAAACTTTATATAGGGCTAAAAATAGCAAAGTAAAGTATATTCATGTCAATTTCTGCATTAAAAATATCTTTCTTTTTTTTTCAAGTACATACACTTTAAACTAGTCTTAAACAACAAACGAGAAATGATAAAAATTCTAGAATCATTTCACACTTCACTTAAACATGGCAAATTATCGTAGCCGTCCATGGTTAATACAATCTCAGAATAAATGCCTCGTAGATTTTATTTTATGACATTATATAGGTCAAGTCAAACATAATGTATAATATCATAATCTCATTAGTAATCAAAATCCTCAGGCCATCTTTAACACGTCGACAAAAGTACTTATATTTCAATGCGGTCAATCTGGAAATTACATAAAAATTATACACACAGTAAACTCAGTAAAGCAAGACCACCATACACAAAACTTGACAACCGGGATACCTTAAGCTCTATAAAACCGACACTACAAACATTTATCTCTTTGATATACAGAATTATATTAAACGTTGATTCACTTTAGGTGAATTTTACAGAAATTTAACAAGAACCCATGAAATAGTTTGACGGTATACATGTACACATTAAATGATATATTCCGTGTAGAATACCGGTGTGGATACTATCCACGAAAAATAATCCAAAGACCCCTACAAGGACAAACTGAAAGCGCCACCCCACCTCCTCATTGCCGGCCGAACTTCCTCTTCCGAAAAAATCATCGTCACTGTCGTCGCTGTTTGTTTCTGTCTTTTCCTGTTTGGCGGGCCACTCCCAGGGCTCGTCCATGGGGTCAATAACCACACTGAAACTGGGCGCTCTCTTAAAGGGCGGGGGTTTGGGGGATTGGAATCCCTCCTCGTCTTCTTCGTTTTCACTCATTTCGGAGCGTGGTCAGATCAACCACAACATAAATTTAAAGACACATGTACAGCACATTCATGTCCCTCTTAATTCATAATATCCATAGAAGTAATCCCTGCAAATTGTCACTGAATCCGATTTAAAATCTTTGAAAAGAAAAGATGCAATTTTTCAGGTCTTGACAACGGTTCTCGACACAGCGGATTGTCTTTATTAAAGTCCACCAAGACTGTTTCCAGTGTCTTTGTTGTACATTATTGAAGATTAAAAGATACTGATTGCTTGCCGAACGTCTGTTAGAACAATGACACGTCACAGTGGGGTGCAAAGATAGCTCGTATTTAGAGGATGTATTTAATCGATTCCGTCAATCGTTGGTGATTGAATTTTTTTTTAAAAAGTTGGTCGCAGTTCCAAATTTTGATGATCCGTCAGCACTTTGCGAGAGAAAAAAAATGACTATTACGTTAAATCCTATTTGGAGGTAAAGCGACCTTAATGTGTTATCCCATTTATATGAGACTTGTTAAAGACGATTAAGAGATTGTTGGCAATAAGTCTTAATTCATGAATCTGATCGGCAAGAAAAAAATCAGGAAACGGTACACATAGGAAACACACACAAAAGGAATAATATACTGTACACAATCTGTAATCATCATATCCCGAAAAAATGAACATCAAAGGTGTCAACCTTAATAGAAATACATTCAGACGAAATGAAAAGTGTTTACTATTCTATGGTAAACATGCAACAAGTTGTTTGAAGACAAGGAGCTTTCACAATGCCTCACTTCCCCAGCCATTTGTGAAACCAAATGACATTCAATCAAAGGTGGTCCTCGCTGAACAAAATGTAAATATCAAGTTTGAATCATAATTATAGATTTATTGGCAACTATTTAAATTGATGCTAAGATTTATTAAATAACTCCGCTTAGGCGAAAACAGGCAGACAACTTTATTAACCCAGTGCTATCCTGAATCACTATTAACGTTGTCTGCATGGAGTAGAATGTTCAGCGAGAATGTTGAAAAGGAGCCGAACTGATTGACACCCAAATCGAAGCCGATTACTGAACGCTAAGCATAGTCTACCTTAAACATCCAATGATCTATCAAAGCTCCAGTGCAGTGGGGATTTAGAACGGAATAGATAGAGATTTTACATTTTTTAATATCACGGAATAGAGTGTGAGGAAATGTTAATGCAATTTAGTAGGAAAAATATTTCCTTTTGTGACATGGATCAATCTATAAGGACATTTCTTGATCTTGTAAATGTGTAGAAAAACACTGCCTTTCAAACACAAAAAAGAACAAGATAAATGCGAACGATATTGTAATATTTATTTAAGATTACATCACTGCAATTCTTGTAACTGTGAAATCTTGTTCATTCTATCTCCAAAATAATTTTGTCATCAGAGGACAGCGACTTTAACATATTACGTATGTTTTGTTGATTACTCTACATAACACTATCTTTAAGCAACACATTTATGCACATATACTTAAGTAAGATATTAATAATACTTACTGACACTGGTAATCCTAAGAACTCTATGAGTTGGGGTCTGCCGAGAATGTCTCTCTTGACCTTAGCCTTGACTTTGGCGTTTTCCCGCCTTTTATCTATCAGCCTCATTCTGACCACGTTTTGATTAGTATTCACTATTTTCACCGCATCCTTCCACAACACTTGCTGTTTGAAGCGTGAAGTCTGTTGCATTGCCTGACTCAACAGATTCCTTGTCTGACTATCGTAAGACATCGTCAGTGCCATGTTTGCCTCTGGTTTGATTTCCAACACGTCTCCAATGTGCTTCAAATATCCACCACTTTGTCACGAAACGGTCCTAAAAATTACAAACGACATTTTTTCAAGAGTATATTTTGCCAGTCATTCTAAATATCTGCAGAAACGGCACGCCACAGGTCAGTGTATTGTGTGATTTATTTTTCAATGTCTTTCCGATAATAAAAGTCCCTTCATGGCGAGGAACCTTCTCTAATTTGGCATTTATAACCATGAAAGAGAAAGAACCTATCAAAGCGCATGTTTTGAAGTATTCAACATATTTATTCCATTATATACCAGAATGGGCCAACTTTTAATCATTTGAATTTGACTGAACTCGATGACATAGCCATGAGATGCTATTCATTCTGTTTTGATACTCAAAGTCACATTTTCTCATTAACTCAAGGTACCGAGTAAAGGATTCGCGTAGTAACAATGTACGCTCTACAAAATTATTCATACAGATATCAGACACAAAGCCAGTTCAGAATGCCTTTTAATGAAGTTCTGAAATAATGAAAAAAATTGTAGTGGAATAATTCAAACATTCAAAACTTCTTATAGCAAGGCTTTACACAGATCGATGTTACTTCTTGCAGTTACTTGTAGATCAAATTTATGCAGTGTAGCATTTTACAGATATGGGAAAACCTTGTATCTAGTGATTAAGAATAAATCCATTAATCGATATCGTTACTAGTACGAGTATTGGGTTGTTGTCCTTCTTTATTTTAAATACCTATGTGGTACGTCTAGAAATAAAAACCAACTCAAAGGTGTGTTTTTGGTCTTTTATTACTTCCTTTTCCACTTCAAATTTTGTTGTAAAATTCAAGTAATCAGTTGTTCTGTATATAGTATTCTACTCTAATTTTAGGAGATATGATGATGTTATATCCCTATAAAAATATTCACATAGAACTAAGTGTTAGGTTGAATTCAAAATTTAAAATAATTTAAAAAGTCAATCAAACAATATAATATGTACATGTATCACTATCTCATTCTTTAGCAGAGTTGTATCTGTATATACTTCGTGGGGAAATTCTTCACACCACAGCATACAATGTATATATAACGCTGTTTTCTGTTTTCTCTTGCGTTTACTTAATTAGTTATTTTCATCAATAAACTTAAAAATTAATTGTAAACTAAATTTTTTACCTGCTAGGATTCTATTTATGTCCATTCAGTCAGTTCACTAGTATTTTCTGGGATTGAACAAATAACACTCACAATATGAATATCACTAGGATTAAGGGATTATAATATTAATTAAAAGCGGTTACACAATTCTGTTATGAAGAACTGGTTAATGGGATTTGTCGTTCATAATTTATGATATTATGACTGATTTTGGTGGTCAAAACATTTTATTTAAATGATAAACATGGTATAAAATAGTCCCCTTTGTCCGCTAAATAACAAAACAATTGAAACTAAATTCCGCGTAAGTAGAGATGAGTATTCTTTTCATGCTGAACTTTAAATAAATGTATTTAAATATCCTGGAACTCCGTTGATAAATGGTTTTAATAGAGACATTTATGGTACCTTATAAGTTGCTAAACCTGTTACAGTAACATATATTATAGTCTCGGGACTATAACCAAATTAATAAACTTGACCAAACTTGGGGCGAATTACATAGTAATGCATTACAATACCATTACTTCTAGAATTTAGGGCGAATTACATAGTAATGCATTACAATACCATTACTTCTAGAATTTAGGCAATGAATGACCATTACCATTACTTTATTTTCTTGAAGTAATGCATTATATTTGTGATGAATGTTGATAAAAATTTGATTATCTGGTACTAGTATTTTTACAATGTAAATAACATATATATTTCCTTTGTTTATCCATTTATCCGTAAGAAGAAACATTTCATTTACCAATTTAATAAAAAATCTCATGTGCAATTACATTTGTGTAATTATCAATGTCGGACAACAAAACGTTTGGAGCTCTTTACCTCCCTCCCCCTACCAGATTGGGTTTAGTTTTTTACTAGACATCGATCTTTTCATCTTTTCCATTTTGAAACAAAATTCCATGGGGGAGGGGGGTATTATATTGAGGAGATAGAAATTAGAAAAATGAGGAGATAATGGGTTAGTATATTAACACTTCTCAAAGCAATACATTGTTTGGACTGTTAATTAATCCCAATCTAATTATTAATTAGATCTTACATCCGCTCCACGGTTTTCTATACGTCGCGTCCATGAAAATTATAATGTGTAGTAGTAATTCAAACTTATTATAAAAATTAAATTTTTACTCAAATATACAGAAACTTAGTTTATTTCAATAACATAAATTGTTAATTTTAATTAATTTAACATAATTTTCTTACCTTTTATATATAAATCTTTATATGTAAATTTTTATATATAAATCTTAACAATAATTAATATGCTCATTTTGATTTTTTTAAATTTAAGAAATGAGTATACACAAAATAATGCTTTGTGATGCCATGTAATGCCAGCATTATACACATTACTAGTATTACTTCAATTTAAAGTAATGCATTGCAGTGCATTACCATTACGTTTAGCATTACCCCAACCCTGAACTTGACCAACCCTCAGGTTTCAACAGAGAAAGATTCTGAATTAGTAATTATTTGTTTACTCAATAACTTTTGCTGAAAAAAAATTGTCTGATTTATCAGTTAGATTCAACATTTTCACACTAATAATCTAAACTGAAAGAAGTTTTATTTTATTTTTTAAATAGACATCGCTCATATTGTTCATATCATTTTTTCAATATCATTCAATGAAAACTACGAGAGCCCATTTAGGACCAATCAAAAAATATTTTGAATTGGATATAACGAATTGTTGAATTTGTTAAAACGAATTTAATGCGCTATAACAATTTTTTGAATTCGTTATAACGAATTAAAAAAAATTGTTATAGCGAATTAATTAAATGAATTCGACAATTTGTTATATCGAATTCACAAATACTTTTCTAAAGGCCCGAATAGTCGAATTCGATTAAAAGACTTTAATTCGTTATAACAAATTCTAGAATTTGTTTAAACAAATTCGATTTGCTATTACAAATTAACGAATTTAATATGTTATAACAGATTTTTGAATTCGTTATAACGAATTCAACAAATTTATTATAGCAAATTAAATTCGTTCTAACAAATCGACAATTACAAATTCATATCTTTGATAGGTCCTAAATGGGCTTTCGTAAAAAACACTAGCCTTCCTTCACAAAAACATTATCTAGATAGTGGAAAATACTTCGCCACATTCGCAAATTCCAAGGAGGAAAAGGAAACAAGCTAATTTCGATCATGGCGTCCAGTGAATGGACTGTTGACTGGCTTTAACCACTGTGAAGTAATTCCAATTACATGTAATCATATACTATCTTATTTCAAAAAAAAAAAAAAAGAAAAAGAAAAAAGAACTTTACAGTAAGAAACAATTTTTCCCTCAAAGTACATGAACTTGAATTCTTTTACCACATTCTATTTCAACCACTTGTTTATTTCATCTATATCAAAATAAAAAGTGAGGCATGTTCTTCGCACTTGGATTGCTTTAAAAGATGTTTCAATATTTATATAGTACTACTTTCACTTCTGATTTAAGCATTACATGACGAAACTATGTTTGTTTTTTTATAAAAAATATGACCAAGTTCAGGATGTAAACCTCATATGACTGCCCACTTAAAATACTTTAAATTATATAGGTTCCGGATTTTCTCAAAATTTAAAAAGCATCATGTCCTTGTAATCCTCGGATATTTCTACAAGATAATGTTAGATAATAAAAGTGAGAAGAAAAAAATCAATACAAAGTTTTTATTATTATATATTTTTATTACAAAAATATCTTAAATATTGCACTTTTCGTCATGTTAAAATTTACTAATGTCCTGTTCAAAGACACATCATTTCAACACGGTTAAAGAATTAACAACGTCATATCTGAATTTTGTCTATTATAGACAACCGCTTCAAACATTTTTTTTTTTCATTTTTTACCATCTGTACACAGAAGAACAATTTTTTCCGGTAGTTCTTTATGCACGATAAGGACAGAACAAACACCTTTTGTTTTGATCATGTGCTGAATAACTACATCTCAGATGTCTACAAATGGGATTCATTAATATAATTTAATGTCAATATCTAAGTAGATCGCTCAGCTTTCACTTCTTTTCTCTCCTATTCTCTGCTCTTCATTAAATCATTAACAAATCTTGTTCATTAAATCTTAGAGTTGCTTAAGGTTGCGTTCAATTTTAATATAAACCACTTTATATGGCTGTGGTAATTTCAGAAGAAATGGGCGTCATTATGGGTTTTCTGGTGCACCTTATGGTTGACAACAGTGAGGGCTTTGTACGCCTCCCAGTTTGTACTGTCCTGTAACTTCCGTTGCAGGCTCTCCTCAGAAGGTATTGGTTGCAGCTGAAAACAAAAATGATCATAAATTCAGAAAACTTTTACACCTTTAAAACTTTCTCATGTAATTTTTATTTTCTAGCTTCATTCTACCTGTATTATTGCGTACACTGAATATTCAAAGTACTTTTGTTTCAAAATTTTAGTATGCATGCTGCTTGTACGGTTGAATACACTTATTACTAGTATTCAGTGTATCCACACCAGTATCTGAGTATTGCATGCTACCTTTGGAGCAGTTGATACAATGAATATTCAGTGTATATTAAAAGATTAAATTCACACTTTCTGTCTCTTACTGTTCTCCGTATTCTTTTTGCCTCTTCGTCAGTTAAATATTGTTGGAAAAATTTCCTATTGATTAAGATGCATTCGGCTCCTTCAGAAACCAAAATAGTGCTTGTAGTTTTTCCAATTCGCCCAAAAGCAACTTGTTCAACACCCTTTCACAATTATTAAAAAAAATCAGTTATTAAAATTCAAAAGATTAACATTGATAAAAAACAAATGACAAATCAAACAAACAAATTATGTCTCAGAAATCACCTTTCTGTGTTTTATTTATTTGATACGCAAGAGCATGCTCTACCTATGTACAACTTCTAAAACGAGGTAAATTATTGACAAACAAGTTGATGAAACAAGAATATCAGCAGTCTCGTTTAAAGTCATCATTTCGTAAGTTCTATGGTCGATACAATGACCTTGTCAGCAAATACAATTTATCATTGAGTCAAATGCTGACTGACCTTTTTCATACTAATTGTTAGGCCATTATTTACACACTGAATTGTCGACGGATTTTCCCGTTATTTCCCGATCATGACAAGGAGCACACGGCGGGTGTGACCGGTCGGCAGGGGATGCTCACTCCTCCATGGCACCTGATCCCACCTCTGATGTTTTGAGGTCCGTGTTTGCTCTGCACTTATTTTGTAATGTTTAATGGACTTTTGAGCATGAATACTGTTCATTATCTCCATATATTTCATTATTTGTTTATTCATTTATTTTTAAATAGAAAACATTACTTTATGAAACTATCAGTAGTCTTCGGAGACCAGGTCTTCCGACAAACTGTTGGAATTTCAAGGGCATTAATTGTGCTCCTTTATCAGCCGACCTTTTTTTATATTCCTTATTCAAATCCTTCTACATGTGAAGAAGAAAACATTTGATGTGGCCTTCAACTCGACATTCAGATACCCGGCACAACGACGACTTTGTACCAATTAACAATAGTTACTTCCATTCATATGTCGACTCGATATATCTAAATCTGTTTCAAATTTGGATGTTTTACTGACTATAGACGATAAAGGCCAACTAACAACTAAATTGTTTGTCAAACGAGATGACTTCAGCTTTTCCATCGTCGACGTTCCTTATTTATGTAGTAATATTCCACTATCACCTGCATATGGTGTTAACGTCTCCCAACTTATTCAATACCCAAGAGCATGCTCTGAATACGATCAATTTTTAAACTGAGGCAGGCTACTGACAAAAAAGATGATGTTACAAGAATTATAACAATTTCGTTGAAAGTCAGCATTTCATAAATTATGTTGTGGTTACAATGACCTTGTTCACAAATATAACCTATCATTGGGTCGTATATTGGCTGATGTGTGTCATACAGATTTTTAGGCCTTTTGTTTCTACAATAAATTTGACTACAGAATATTCCGCCTACCCGATCAATACATAGGGCTCACGGCGGGTGTGAACGCTCAACAGGGGATACTTACTCCTCCTAGGCACCTGATCCCGCCTCTTGAATTTCTGGGGGTCCCTGTTTTCTATCCTGTTCACAAATTTGTTCGTAGAATTTTTGAGATTGATCACTGTTCGTAATCTTCTTTACTTTTACTTTTTTACTTCAAGACATTATTCTCTGATTCTTTTGAAAACAAAGTTTGACAATGTTTGGAAACAGATTCTTGATTACAAATTCATGTACTCTGACAAACTTACGAAAGTTTCCCTTGGTCCTAATTTCTGTATTTGTACGTAAACTGTGTCTGGTTTGTGACGTTTGGATGCACTATCCGGCTCGGAAACTTTTGGGGATGTTCTCTATTAAACAAATTAAAATCTTCATTATTTTTTTTTCAAGAGTGGAATGTGTTAGTTTCCATTATATAGTGGAATGTGTTAGCTTCATATAACATTGCAAATGTAGCATTTTATTCTCGTAATAATATTACGAAACTAATGCTTAAATACATAATACCGGGCCGGAGTCCTTAATATTAAAATACATTTATGCTGGCTAGGCCTCAGACGGTGACAGAAGAAACTTGTAGAATGTCAACATTATTAATTATTAGCATGTCGACTTTTAAGTAAAAGTGTACAGATTATATCCTTCAGTTTTTAATCATTGCGATCTTTTTACTCTAACAAAAGGCAGTGGAACATGTGAATATAGGCTTTTTTTTACCAAATAAGTTGGCTTAGTTAAAACAAAATTCATTTGTTCATATTGTGAAGTACATACTAGGTTGTAAATATAACGTGTATCTTACAGTGCTTTGTTAACTTTTTATTCACTTTACTTCAACACGGGATGGGAACCACTTAGTTGTAGAAGACAGGCAGAAAGATTAAAGACATTTTTGAAAATGCATAATAATTTAGTACCACATTATCTAATGGACATACTTCCAGATATGCGATGCAATACATCTAGCTATTCTACTAGAAATTCTGAAAATTATGATATTCCAGAATGTAGATTACAGACTTATAAGTCATGGTTTATTCCTACTGTAGTTAATGAATGGAACTTATTACCACTTGAAAATAGAAACTTACAATTGTTGTCAAATTTTAAATCTAAAATAAGTATTAAAAATCTGCCCACCATCATATTTTGAATATGGTAACAGGCGACTGAATGTTCTCCAGACCAGACTTCGACATAATTGTGCATTAAATATTGACCTCTACAGATGTAATTTAATCTCAAGTCCTTTATGCTCACGTGGCAAAAAAGATATCATTATTTTTTTATATGTCCAAAGTATAAAGAAACCAGAAAGGAATTTCTTGATAAATTTTTATTATTTGATAAAATTCACATTTTAGATACACATGTTTTATTATAGGGGATAGATTCATTGAGTGCTGCGGAGAATGAACATCTTTTCTCTATTGTCCAAACATTCTGGCAGAGATTAACATGTTAGTATTAGTATCATTATATATATATATATATATATATATATATATATATATATATATATAATTATATGTATGATTCTTTAAACTGCATTGATTTGTAAATTTCACAAATATTGAATATTTTGAATGTACATATTTAACTGTGACCTAATCTAATATTTGTAATTTACATGTAGGGAGAGGGCGTAATAAGTTTTTAGAACTTGTGCCCAATCCCTTTGTAATTAGAAACTACAATAAAATATTTTCAAACCAAACCACCTTTTATACCGAGAGGATTCTGTTTTTCGATGCTATCACCGCGACATATTATTCAATGTACATGAAATTTGGTGAAAAAGATTGCATGCTCATTTAACTCATGCAAAACTTTCTACTAGACTATGTTGTATGTATTGTAATGTTTTAAATCGGAAAATAAGGGTTTGAGTAAAAAGTAATATTTATTTTCTGTTCAAATTCTATCTCTACCTACTTGAATAACATTAAATTGCAAGAAAGGTATCCTCCAAAAATAAACGTCGGAAATGAAAATAAAAAAAAATGTCGCAAATGAAAACAAAAAATGTCGGAAATGCAATGCAAAATTCCGGAAATGAAATGCAGTGAGAGATTTGGACTTATTAAAGGTAATGATTACCAAGTCTTAACAGTAGCCTAAAGCTAAGTTTAAACTACAAACATAGATGTGTGCATTCTTGTATTTCAATTGAAATGATTAAGGAATTAAATTTTATGGGTTTTATCTTTGCCTAAAAAATTAACTTATATAACTACTTTTTAACTATAGATGCATATTAATACTAATCGTGAAATAATGATGATATTCAGCTTTTTGTCCTAGTCGGTAAGCGCAAAGAAAAATATGTCTAAAAAATTTAAAATTGCTAAATCTTGATTTTCTAATTACATAGATTCTAAGACCTATCACCACTTAAGAATTAAGGATTGAAGTAGGTATTAAGCCAGTTGACACCTTGAACAGACTTCATTCAAACAGTAATTCATTTGTTAACCTTTTCACGTAATATAATCCGCAGATTATTTTTGATCTATAAATAAAAAATTAAGAAGATTAATTTGAAAACATTTAGCAACCCTTTTCATTATCTACTTAAATCAAAGTCATATCTATTTATAAAAGAGGCAACCAAACATTCTAATAGTTTACTTTAAGCCAATTTTCTAACCCTGTATTGAGTTTACCTTTCCCCATTTAGATGTGTAGGCATGTTTCTGAGTAAAGATTTGGTCCAGCAGTCTTTGGTGCTCTTCGTGTTCTGTTGAATCTGAGATTAAAATAAAAATCAGCCCCAGTATCAAGATATTGCATAAACTGATATAACTGAAAATGCTATCTCGTGCACTTCCATATTTGAATACTGTAAAAGTGATCATTTCGCATGTGGAAAAATACACAGTAAGCTTGAAGACGTTTAAAATCCCCACGAGCGTATAGTCACAAAAATATCCAAAGTTCTGGAGTTCTTGTAGTAATTAATCATTCTTATCATTTAATTCTGAGATTTTTAAACACACAGATGGCAGCAGAATTATCGTCTTATCAGTGTTTTCTCTAATATTTTTAACTAAGCATATTATGCACTGAAATAAATTTTTGAAAAACAATATATACATTATCTTTTGCATAATTTTGAATAAAAATATCAACTGTCAAATCAGTTTAATTAATATTAATGTAAATATAATTTCATTTATATATATGACGTTAACAATGTCATCATACCCTCATGATATGGTTTATGAAGAATGTCAGAGAGATGCTGTATTGTACATTTATGTTTCTGAGGGCGTGGTGTTCCAGATGAGGAGTCTGAGCGAGGAGATTTGTCAGATGATAACGTAGATGAAGACAATGATATCTTGGAAGACTTTGGTGGGGATATTGGAGGGAGACCTGAAACAAAATTGTTAATATCAAATTAACTCAGGTAAGCAGTGGAAAAGTACAATGTAAGTCTTTATTACATCCCATTTTAATAATTCAAGGAAAGGGAAAGAATCCAAGAAAACTTCTACTCAATGAATTGAACAGGACATGAAACTTCAAAGAAAAGAATATGATTTGCTTAACAAAAACGTACAGGTACGTGTACTCTTGAACAATTCCAAAACTGCTTAGGTAGGGTATATACATGTATTTCCTTTATAAATATGAGATTTCAGCATTTTGTTATTTTCATTACTGCTATCTTCAGATCTTTGTAGAAAAATCATTCATAAAGATTTTTTATCTATCACTGTATGAAGATCTATATCCACTACTAAAATAATAATTATATAAGATACTGATTTAAATAACCTGGTTGTATGTCTAAATGTCAAGCAATGTGTTACAATTAAAATTATCAAAATCAACACTTTTCATCATTGAGGTAAAGTATAGTTGATCCAAGAAAAGAATTCAAGGTATTTAACCTTTCACGTGCAAGTATGTTTATTTTTGCTTTGATCTCACTTTCAATGATGTGAATAAGTAATGCGTTGAAAAGGTCAAATTATAATGTTTTAAAAATGTGTACCTTATTATTGAGCATTCAAAAACTCACCAGTTAAATGTTTGCCAAATAATATATCCGTGAATTTTATTTCTATCAGAACCAATCTGATGAAGAATATTTTTTTTTCTATCTATAGAGTAATGATATACATATAATTAATAACTAAAATACTTACGAAGCAGTGACCTTGTTAATTTTTGGTTGGATAATAATCCTGGTATATTTGGTTTGGCAGAATGTAGTGACTTGAGGACCCTACAGGACCCTGTCTTGATGATGTAGACCCAGTCACTAACGTTACTGTCTTTACATAATAGCAATCCTCTCCTATTAGGAAAAGGTATACAATAAAAATAAATATAAAACCAAATCCTCAAAAAAAGAGATCTAAATCATTATAAAAATTTCATTCCAATTATTTTTTAAAATTTAAAATGTATTCAGCCTCAACCAAGTCAAAATGTAACAATCTTGAAAATATCTTGAAAATACCTAAATAAAATTACCTAAAGTAAGTAAAACAACAAGTCTTGGTATCGTGATACGGCAGTTTTTCTATTGGCCATCCTTTCAGTAAATGGACCGTCCGCAGGAAGCGGATGTGCTCAGGTTCCTGATCTTTATCCATGGGCATGAATATATCCACAAAGTCCTCTCTACCCACCGCTAGAAGCTCCACGCTATTCTTACAAGTAACCGTAGCGCTCCTCTTCGCACCGTGCATAAGCGCCAACTCCTATAGAAAAAAAGCTCTATTCTCAATCAATGGTAAAATTATGCTGCAAAAAAGGATTTCCATCCCAATCGATAGACTTGAGAGCAGAAATCTTTACTCTTCCAGGGTAACTGGTTAAAATCTTAGTAACAATGCAAACTCTGCATGTGGCAGTTTGTTTTCAATTGATATCGATGGGAATATAACATATATTATGCTTAAATATTTCCTTCTAAAGAGCCTACTGAATGATAGACAGCGCTTTAATACTGTTCATCAATACTTCTGACGAAAACTTCTAATGGTAATTAAAACTGTCATCATAAAGAGTTTCTTATTGTAAATAACGTCAAACCATGTCGGTAAATTTCCAAATCTGACGCAACCGAATGAATCTGTGGTATTGAATTCCTAATTTACTTTCAATAGTTCCTCTACAACTTATTTAGAATGTTTTGAAACATGACAGATGCGTTATTGAACTTTAATTCACCTCCCTTGTAAATCTGGCTTTAACGTATCTTTGATGGTTAGATCCTAGACTACTTTGTTTTACTTCTTTGATCGTAAAAGTGACATTTTTTAAAACTTTAAATATCACTGTTTAATGTATTTCAAGACCTGGGTGTATTAGATCTAAATATACGGTCTCTGTGATAGTTGGGAGTAATTGAAGTAAACTAGTGATTTATTTGGAGAAAAGGATTTTTCCAATATCAATCATTTCACTCAATCAGTATTATGTCGTGAGGGTACTCCTAGATATAATTATTTAAAAAGCACAATATGATAAAAAGGGATAATCTTATCATTTGCATGACTATATTCGAAGGACAATAAATCTAAATTTTGGCCAAAACGTACCGGGTAAAAAAAAAAAACAAGGTATCAGAAATGTGGATCTTTCTTGACATTTCTTTCGATAGAACTCACCCCAAAACTGTTCCCTTTTTTCAAGACAGCTGCTGTTCGAACAACCTGATCCCCCGTCTCGGGGTCTGTCTGCAGGATAGTGACAACAGCTAAAATTCAAAAATGTTTTAAGTTTGACTTAAGTATAAATGTTGATAATATATGTTAATGTGGTCATATAAGTAAAAATAAGTAAGACAAAAAATTGTCGCTTCATATAAACTTATACCCAGACTCGTGATCTTTCAAAGTGTATAAAATAAGATGCATCGTTACTGTAAAGGGCGGTACACATTCTTGGACTTGTATCATGTTACAAGTATTATAAAACTTGTAGTACTCTCCTGTACACACTTTAATACATATCTTATGAGATTGTAACTAAACATAAATTTTTAATGTGCTTTTTCCGCCATATTTTTCTCAAAATAATATCAAAAATGGCTGAATACACTTCTTATCTTTCTAATTTTTTCAGTGGTATACAATTATAACAGCGAAGACTAGGTGTTTTTGCATTTAACTAAGTTTCTAGTACAGAAGGAAGAAGTGAATGATAGGTAATGATATATGAAATACTTTTGTGATTCTGAAAATCTGTATGCATGTCAACTTTTAAAATGAAATTAATAATACCTACACAACTTTTTGTTACTAGTAATTTTAAATTTAAAAATAAGATGGTAATGCACGACCCTGCTTTATAAATGATCAGCTAAGATTTGTATTAAGAAATAGAGCAATGCTCTATTCTTTATACAGTTTTAAGGCCGGTACACACGGTAAGATTTGTATGATAATACTTGTATTTTAATACAGAATCTTACCGTGTATACACTCTTAATACAAGGTATCATAAGATTTTTCATATCTTATAAAATTGTATCAAGAATAGAGCTATGTTCTGGAGTAACGTTCTATTTCTTGATACAAATCTTAGTGACCTTTTATCCCAACCAATCAGATGGTTCTGTATGTCTAGCAGGGTGTATTAAGCTTCCTATTTTTATTTATATTGCCTGTAAATTGCTTTGACTCAAAAAATTCTAATTAAACAGTTTACATAAAACAGATTTCCATGATTACAAAAAATATCACGATAATGCCTTGAACTTCTCCTCTTATTTAAGCGACTCAGATAATGCAAAAATGCTAAATGTTTGTGCTGTTATGGTAGAGAGTTAAAAAATAAAATAAAAGCATTATAGCAAAGAGTAGTTCAAACACTACTGAAAATGTTTTGAGGGAAATATTGATGGAAAACAGCACGTGATTTTATCTACGTTAATTTACAATCTTATAAAATTTGTATTAGCATGTGTACTGAAAAGTATAATACTGCAAAGTATTATAATACTTGCATTATAATACAATATCTTACTGTGTGTACCGGCCTTAGCTCAAAACCCCAAAAACAACATACAGGGTGCTACAATATGAGTTATAGACTCATGTGATTGAGACGACCTAATATAAAGTATAAATTTGAGTCTTATTCGTATAGACTTTGCAAGTGCCGATGACGTGTTTTTCAAGGTAAAACACAACATGACAGTGAAAAGGTAGGAATTTTAATTAACGGTCATTTCACTGTATCCATAATCTAACGGTCAGCCGAATCTTACAGTCAAATAACGGTATTAAACCCCCTTTACACATAGGTGGCGACAATTGAGTGTTGCAAAATTGATCAGATTTCTCAACGATCTTTCAACAGTAGCCAAGCCCTCGCCATAATCTCTCAGCGATCTCCGAAAGGTCTCCAGTCTGCATGGTCTACTCAAAATTTTGATTCTACCCAAAGCCGTCTCTCAACCAATTGAAGAGTAAGCAATTTCTTAAAGAACGCCCAATGGTCACAGAGCACAGATAGTTTTCTTGTATCCCCTAATGACCATTCAGATGTCTTTCAAAGAATGCTTAGTATGTTAAGCGTCTTCTAGTAGGGATGCCTAAGATCTGATCTTACTGGAAACTGTATCAGAGATCTATGGGCGATCAGCATCTGCTTGAGAGATTATTGAGAGATCTTGGAGATTGGTGTGAGATCAGTGGGAGAATGCCGCAGTTTGGAAGCAGTATCTTTAATGTCTCGTCGCACTACTCATTATAATCTCCCTATAAACGTTTATACAAAACGGACTTATCGAGGCTTTCAGATGTATGAAAAACCGGACAAGTTTACATCGAGTGTCTCGACGATCTCCATGTGTGTAAAGAGGCCCTAACTTACAAACTTTGTCGAGTAAAATTATGTTTTTGTAAAAAAGTATGAGTTCAGATTACATCTATCATATTTGGAATAGAAGGAGGAGCAATGGAGATAAAGTCCAATTTGTAAAACCAAATATTTGCATTACCTGTTCCGGACAAAATGAAGTAGAAATTGTCAGCCATGTGACCTTGTCTTATTATTACCCGTTTGTCTTCAAAGCTACAAGAAAAGTAGAGTCTTCAAGTTAAAGCAACAAAGATATTCTTTGCATTATGCTGGGTTTTGGATTGTTTTGGGCGATGTAAAAATCAATCCTCGTCACAATAGTGTCGAAGAATTGCTATTCAAATCGCAGAGAATAATTGAAATGTTTTATTGACTTTCAGATAGAAAGAGAATATATATCAAAATATCAAAATTAATATGAGCGTTTCAGTTTAAATAATCTTATGATGAATTCTTCACATCAATCGCAGTACACAAAGCGTTCTTCACCAATTAACAAAAAGTTTTAAATAGATGAGAGTTTCTCACCATGTATGATAGAAAAATGATAGAGGTGAATCGTTTACTCACTGTTCATACCAGCCGACTCGTACCAAAGATTTCTGCATGGTTATCGGAAACTCACTGAATGCTTCTACTGCCTGATTCAGCGCCAGCAGCGCCACCTTCATCTGTTCTTCCGTCCTACGCTCTGGCTCCATGGACAAGATGGCTTTGGCCTCATTACTAAGAATAGTCTGAAATAATGAATAATATCCACGCTACAATTTCTCGCAAATATATATATATATATATATATATATATATATATATATATATATATATATATATATATATATATATATATATATATATATATATATATTTGATTCATTTTTTGAATAATCAAAAACAAACTTGAAGAATTGAGCAAAGTCAAATAATTGTACAAGCTATGAATGAATCATAAGATATTGATTACTGAGATTAATTTTCATACAAATAATGCGATCTATTTCGCTTTAGTGAAGTACTACATAAAGCAGGTATTCTATATACTACAGCTTGAATGAAAATTATCTCACCTCTTTCTTTGCTCTAAAGTCTCCGGGATCGAAAGAAAGACCAAACATTTCATATTCCCTCTTGGAGGAACTGATGTCCTCGTGGGCCCAAGACAGCAGATCATGGCGCTGTCCCTGAGAATTAGTGAGTGTCGCCTTCAGGAGCACTTGTATGGTTTTCACTGCACGTCGGAATCTGACCAAAGGCTGAAATTTAAACAAAATACGCGTTAAATCTTCAAAGACTGCTGGCATATACAAAATATTCTTCTGAAAAAAAGTAATAGTGACATGTAGAATATCATCTCTTTCCTATATATATATATATATATATATATATATATATATATATATATATATATATATATATATATATATATATATATATATATATATATATATATTGCTATTCCTTCACCGTCCTTTCCTACCTCCACAACGTTTCTTGGAATTTGTTCTGTTTTTGGAATTTCTATAACCTCTATAACGACCTTTTCCAGAAGTTTTTCTTTTTTCCTTGCAAATCGACGCTTTCGTAATGCATCCTTTACAAGCTGTTTTTCTTTCGCCCTTTCATAAAGCCACAGTAAATTGATGGGAATATGAAATAACCGTATCGGTGTAAGTCTTGGCTTTTGGAGAATTGGAGAAGTAATATAATCCTTTTTTCTGTATCGTCTTTTGACAGCAGAGTGGTTTTCTTCCGATTCCTTAAGAATTCTGGGATCCATTGGCCCTCCTGGATCTTGTAAAATGTATGTTTTGTAGTAGTTGGTGAATTTTTCTTTTATTTTGAGGGGAGGGAATGGATAATCCCCGGGGGATGATAACATGCGCTCCATAAAACTAATAATTAATCCTGTTTTTCAACATTTAAGCATTACGACGTGCAAAAGTCTCTCTTGAGGAACTCACGTACGTAGAGAAACCAGATGCTCTTAAGCCCTTTGTCCTTGCACACAAAACACTGAGATACGGCCCGAGTTCATTATTAAACTCTCTTTTTGTGTCAGAAATGGTAAACTGACAGAAGGGGTATCGACAATTTGTTTGTACGTGAGGAAAATTTAATTTTAATTTTCTGCTGATTTCTTGTCGATCCCTGCTAGAGTCGTGAATGCGCATCATTAATCAAAGCGACCAGAGTAAGTTCCAATAAATATTCCAATATCAAATCGTCAGTTCCACGTCTTTTTACAAAATTAGATAAATAAAATATTTTCGTTCCATTTTTGTATTCAACAAATGTTTTAAAAGCTATTTACCTTTAATTTCTATGTGTGTAATTACTAGAGGAGAATTTCTATGTTGTACATTGACAAGGTTTTTATCATCAATGCTCTACTCGCTATAGGAGACTCGGTAAAGATAACTAATTATAGTTCAATTCTCAGATGAATCAAGTTATTATAGGACTGCCACTGTCACTATTTTACTTAATCGGGGGCAAAAGGATGGTGTTTTTTTTTAAAAGGGACCAAGGCTTGCAACTTGGTAAATATTTGTATGGAATAATATGCCTCAGGTTGGTCAAATTTTGTATAATTTACAACTTCAAAGCCATGTGGTCTCTAGCCTTGTAGAACCTATTGGAAATTTTAAATAAGGACACTTGTTAACATTGACAGGTCACAGTTTTTCAGGTTTGATTAAAGAAAAACAACGCAAGTTAATATGCAGATGTTGTTTATTTTAAATTTTGTCAGTCACACTGAATTCAAATAGGATACGTGCACTGATATTTATAAAGAGCATTATTTTTAGAATTACCAAAGCTTGTTTACAGAAAAAAAAACATTCTAAAGAAATTTTCAGTTGGAACATAAAGACTTTAATAAGAAAAATGTATACCATGCTATTTACCTTGCTGTTAAACACAACAAAGCTGCCCAAGAAGATAATAATACCATTAAAGGTCATATTAATCTCTTTAACTTAGCGAAGAATATTTCTGGATCAATTTCAAATTATAAATTTGACAGCAAATTTAACGCCATTCAATCCAATTATGAAGACATTTTCCAACAAATAAAATTCTTTCACTTGCGCTCGAAAGGTGCGTTATAGTTCATTCATATACAACAAAAATGAAAATTGTGAAGAATTCATTGTGCATAATGCCATCGTCTCAAGCCGCGTTCCGGGGTCCGTTCATAGCTCTCTCCTGGGAGAGGATCGTACATTTTAGCCGTGGTTTGTGACGATGGCATAATGCAGGCATATGGATTTATTATTTACTATTTACAACATATAATGTTTGCTTTTAATCTGTCATTTTACAGTTGATTTATCGTTATTTGTCCATTTGCAGACAAATGAATAAGAGAACTTCTGCTTAGAATTTCCCGTGGTTTGTTTTAAATAAGATTTTTTTTCTTTTCTTTTAATTCAATTTTTTTAGCATGACCAAACCAATTGTATATATGGACTTTGACAATTTAAAATGTGTTAAACACTAGTTCAATCATTAACACCTTATTTTGCCTTGTAATATCGTACATTTTTCTTCATGTCATAAATACATTTAAATGTATTCATACAAATAAAAACAAAAAAAAAATCCTTAAAACTCCATCCACTCTTTCAAGTCATTAAATACAAATTACTAATTTGTCACAACGAGCTATTTTATCCAGCAATAAAACCGCTCACTTACCGTCAAGTGTAGCACACAGCAGGGCATGGTGGCTGGGTGAGGGGAATGGGGAGCTATGGAGGGAGTCATTTGTCTTGTTTCTGTTTAGACTGATCACATCATAGCACTGTTATCAGCTGGGGTCAGTCCAAACAAAGGCTTTCTATCAGATCAACACCTTTCAATTTCGACATTGTTCCAGATGACAACGCTATTGTGATTGGAAGCGCAAATATGATAAATTTCAATGTGGAAGCCACATGACAAGACGAAATCTTACTGACAAAATTAAAATAGATAACAGCAAATCATGTACAGGTAATCCTTGCTGGCAATGGATCAGAATAATGCTTTGAAGCCGGAGGGAGACGACTTCCTTTATCTTATCTTAGGTTCTTTTCACTTTCCGTGGGATGTGGAAAGAAGCAATAAATTTACCTTTCCCAAAAAGGTCATTCACACGCTAAGTAACAGCAAACAAAGATGCATATCTCAAGATTTTCGGAATCTTTGTTGTTTGTGAGAAAAGATTTGCAAAATCATAAGAAAGATTTGAGAAATGACTCACGCTAACGGTAAATTTGGAAAGCTTCTCCTCGACCCTGACTGGACTCTTCAGATTGGCGGATAGAAACACGTTACAAATCAGAACACGACCACAGATTCTCTCCCATCGTCTCCCTCTGGATCTGGTGCTTCGCAAGCTCCGTCTTGGTTTAGAAGCAACATCGACAGAAGTGGAATTTTCAAGTTGTTTTTCTTCAGTTTTTCTCCTAGAACGACATCCTCCAGACTTTTCTTTCCGTACAGAAATCTTTGGTAACTCCATATCCACCTCTGTGAGTCTTCATTAATTTGAATGTTATGACAACCTTTTCTTCTTTTTACGGAGTTTCTCCATAAAGGCTTCTTTGTCACTGATTCATTGCCATTGAACTTTTTTTATTGGAAGTTGGTTGGAGAATCTGGTCCTTGAATCTCGATAGTGTATTTAACACTAAATTATCAGCAGGCTTTAATTGTGATCTTCAGTAGTGGCAATAAATTTGTTTCTGTGTTCCGTGCATAACACTCTCATGCTATGTAAACATACCCGTCCTCCAGTCTCATAATAAAGGCAGAAATATCCCCATTAAACCATTTAACTTTCCTCATTAGGGTGCTGTAAATCTTCAAAGACAGACTCTACAAGAGAGCTTAATATAATGGGTTGTCATTTTCTAATAAAACACAATAAGGTACGGTTATATTTTCTTTTGCCAGCAAATTTGTTTGAAATTGCAAAAATGGGAAAGGTCTATATTTATGTCGTATAAATTGATCACATCATATAGTATCCGATCGAGATTTATTAAATTGCTTACAGAAATAATGTTCTATAAAATTTACTTTGTTTTATCGACGTCATAAACATAACTAAAGTACAAGTACCTTATGTAAAAGTACAGCGAGATTTACAACACCAGAAACAGGTATAATTTTACAAAGGTAATATTTTGTTTCATATAGATAGCTGCTGTAAAAGTGTATAAAAACTGACAAAATTAGTCTTTACGTTGAAACATGATATAGATTGATAATGTTAAATAAAATCAAGATAAACTACTCTTAGAAAGTTTTATAGAAGCAAGAGAAAATACCATGCAAAACAGCTATCCAGTCTTTGGGGATTTCCATAATTTCCACATTTTATTTAAAAAGATTTACAGTGATTATACATTATTTTCTATTCAAATAAATTTGTATTATTAAGGCCACTTGCTTCAAACAAACCTTTTTTTCAAAATAATGAAAATTATAAAAAGTATAAGTAAAATAATGGACACACTTGCATTGCTGTTTTGTTTACAATTTTGAATTTCTAAATATTTTTTTATTTTATCTTTATTTATTTTTTAAATTCAGTTCAATGACTTGACTTATCAAGAAAATTTTCTAACATTGCGCACATCAATAACCACAAACTGACAACACTGGGTTGTTCTTTTTGCTTTCTTACATTCCTTTTTTTACTTTTCTTGATTATAGTTTTTACAATGAAACTTGTCTAATCCGGATGTTGTATAATCCAAAATCTTGCCCTATACGATGTTATCTTTCAGTCCTTTTCAGTAAATTCATTTGTTTAAAATGTTGTCTTATCCGAAATATTGTCTAATGCGGTCAATTTCTTTGGAACCAGTGGTGTCCGAATAAGACAAGTTTTACTTCAGTTCCTGAAAGAGCACTGAAGGATGTATAACAATCAAACACCTAAAATTCTCATCTTTTTTTTTTAATTTTCAGATAAAAGTTGCTGAAGAGTATTTATAATATATCGGCCTGAAACGCACTTGCAATATGTAAGTCATGAAATTCTACCGAAAATTTTGAAGATTATAAACTTCAAATCTGTGTTCATGCCCCTTTTAGCCACCCAATTTTTTTAAGTCAAGACTTCTCGTTATTTTTTCAATACTGTAATTAAAAAAATATTGTATGGATTTATAAGGGGAAAAGCAGAGAGGGAGAATTTTGAGCTTCATCGAAGGTCTACAATTCCTGAATATCTTTTAATTTTATATTTGCAAAATTCATAAGCAAAACAAGTCCAAAAATACTAACCAGACTTTTTTTGGTTTGTAGCAAGTGTCCTTAAAAAGTAAAATGAATTAAAAATAACAAAGAAATGCAAAATAGCCTAGGTTGTCTATTTCAATTTCAGTTGTGATCTGTGGTGGCTGTCTCTCTAGAATAATTAACCAATATTCTTACTAGACCTTTGAAAATAATTGTATGAGAGCAACGATGAAACATGCCTATCTATATAAAAAAATAATAATATAAGAGTGAAGAAAATATGCCACTTGATCCAACCTCTGATGTTTTTGGAGGTCCGTGTTTGCTCTGCTCCCAATTTGTATTGTTTTAATGGACTTTGAGCTTGAATACAGTTCGTTATCTCTATAGTTCATTCTTTGCAAAATGTTTGTATATTTAGCACGCGCATTGTAAAACCAGTGTGTATGTAAACAAAGCTACTGTGTCTATCATATAAAACATCATCATAACAATTACTTCTGATTTGTCATCCATGTTTAGTTGTATCAACGGATGCTTTTTGCAATATAATACAATAAAACGATGCATTTTTTATTTGGACAGTCCTCTGAAGAAAAGATACTACGCAACAATTTAGGGCAAACACATGTATTTCATTTATATTCCAAAGTTTCTATACTACTATAGTTATATCTATATCTCAGGTACGTGTAATGCAACCGCACGAAATACTAGTAAATACTTTAAATAATAAGATATAAGCAAATTGTCATAGTAACACCACTAAGAGACTCACCAAGATTCTGTTCTTGAAAGGGGGTGGAATGACATTATTTTCTGATCTGACCCGCCTTAGGAATTTTCCGGTTGGCCGCTGTGTTTTTCGTGAATTTTTCGATAACTTTGAGGAATTCAATGGTGGTAGACCAATATTATTTGTTGATCTAGTCTTCATCAGTTTAGTCTTTGACAAGTACAGTCCATCGACACTTTCTAAAATTTTCCTTTCGGTTATTGGATAAACCTTACTCTTTGTAAATCCTGATGTCTCCATGACGTCATCTCGACTAAATCGTCTGCTTTGGTAAAAAACGTCAATGCTGCTACTCCTAGACTTTTGATGACCTTGATCCGATTTTACGCTTAGTCTCCGTGGAAACTCCGAAAGAGAATCTTTCCTCAATTTAGAACTTGACGATGTATAAGGGATGTTACTATCACTAAACTTCCTCCCGAATTGTGAATCTGACCGACGCCTGAAGACTCTGTCCTCGCCTTTCGTAGCTTCAATTAATTTTCTTGTGGGAATCATCTTCCAGCGATACTGGTATTTGATGATTAGAAAACGCTTAATTATGTTTGAACAATGACAAACTGCAACAATTAGTTGTAATTGCACTTAATGGTAAACAGAATATCAGATGACTTATCTTCTACAATTGGCTGAGCAAACTTTCCAATTGATTCTGTGTGGTATTGGTAAATACTGAAAATTCCTGTATGCTAGAGAGACTTGATTAAAAACTGTTATCTTCATATTCCTTCAATAATCCTCGAAAGAAAAAGTCGTTTACTGAGAAGATATGTATTTATTGTCATCCAAAACACATCGGCAACGTGGGATTATTACTGCGGAATTTGGTCCAAATTTCTAGAAGTGTAGTCCCAACAAAAGTAATGATTACACCTCCGGACTTGTATATAGTGGTTGTTCTCACATCAACGTAAGTTAGGCTGTACATCTTGTAAATTAATTCAGAATCCTCCTGTTGAATGGAATCATGTCACGATAAATTCAACAGTTACAATTTATATTGTCTGTAACTCGGAAACATGCGATTGTAAATATGTAGGGTGTTCAACATCCATACTTCTGGCGCGTTTTGGGTGATTATTGATATTTGTGAAATTTATTAGGAAATCTAAATCAATTCGGGTGACAAGATATGTCTGGACGACATTGAAATAATCGCACAGTGCTACAAGATTTATTACAGATTTTGTCAACCATTGACCGTACATGGTTCGGAGGCCTGACTTAATCGCCTACTATAGCTAAAACCAACACAATTATCTATAGATTTTCTTATATTAATGTTACATTCATCCTTTAGCGTAATTCATTCCAAAGTCATCAAGTTCTCTAGATATTTTGTTCAATGTGCAGTTTATCCCTATAAATCCCGAGTGTTAAACATCATGTAGGAGGTAATACAGTTATGTAAAGAAGATCAATCCCTATCACACTCCACGGTAACACCGGCAAAGTATTGTCCTCAATTCTATATTTGGTTAAATTTCACTCATACCCCACAGGGACAGGTATGAGTAACTTTTTATATCTTGATTTTATTTTCCTGCAACATGATTGTGTTGCTAAATTGGATATCTCTTGAATTGCTTGCAAAAACAATGCATTGTAATCAGAAACCTTAATTTAAGTACATGTAAAAGAGGGAAATCATATTTCCTGGTTATGTGTTGCTGCTTTCAAGGTTTTTGGCTATCGTACCTGTTGTATAGTAGATGAGATGCACGTGGTGGACGAAATATTAGGAACTCCTTATTCTGACAGGAGATTAACATTTCAGGTTGTTGTCAATAGTGCTGCAATAGTGTTCAAGTGTTTCTTACGGTCGATTCACAAAAACATTTCTATTTATGCCAATCTTTTATAGTGATTGTTATTGACAAAGGCATAAAATTTGTCTGGTATTTAACGGAAGCAATAGTACATGTTTCAGTTCGTTTAAACAGATGCAGCAAGTGTCAAACTCCGAGAGAGGACTTGCATAGACGATATTTCTGCTATCTAATCATATGCTCTTTGCAAATGATATCATTTAAAAGTTTTATATAATTGTACATAAGGCTTTGAAACAATGTCTCACTTGTCACCATTGATTTAAGTATGAAAAGGCAGGAAAGTAAGAAATACAAATTTGTATGGCTTGTAATTAAATTATGAAATAGCAGTTCATACAATAATAGTAAATAAATTCTAAGGTAAGGCTGACAAACATGTATATTGATATATCTATGTATAGCATATGGACTCTGGATTTATACTTCACTGAAGTTATGTGATTTACAATTGAAATGTGGATGGATCCCTTGAGGCACTCAAGCACGTATTATAATTGCAAACATAGCACTGTGAATTCTACGATAACGTCAAGGGCAAATCTGTGTGACAGAAGTTACTAATGTATCTGTAGCATACAGTATTTATGTTGTGGTGGCAGGGGATAGTTTCGTACTAAAGACCCGGTCAAATTTCTTAAAAAACTGAGATATCCCCTGTTTGATGTGATATTTTATGTAGAAAAATGATTAGAATAATTATGGGACACATTTGCAGTGTAGCAGAGTGTTTGCTGAAAAAAATGATGTGCAACATGTAGGTGTCACTATGACGCTTATCATATACAGAGTTGTAAATGCGAAACTAAGACACGTGGTCAGTTGCAGAGGAAATTCAGCTGAAAAGCAGTAGGCCTTAGAAGAAGGTGTGTATCTCAGAGGGAAGGTGAATGACCCCATATCAATTGGTGAATTTTCATTAGGGCATGCATTGATTTACAGACTACTGGGTGTTTTATCCTGCTCGCTCGGGCCTGGGGGTGGGTTGTATGGGTGCGACTGAGGCCCAAATCTTGGAAAAACAAGCCAAAATTTGGGGAGTCCCCAGGTGCATTTTTGGTACATGTGCACTCTAATAGGCAGATTACATGTAATTTGTTGACATAATTTGTGAGCCATGGACATATGAAGTGTAATTAATTAGCCCCTGGAAAACTGTCCCCATGTACATGTTTTTATGGATCACATGTATATGTGTACCCCCTCGGCACATGTTTGGCATTAAAAAAAACTATCCTCTGCCACCTGTAGCAGAGGTAACCAAATACTATACTATGCATTTAGAAACAGAAATCTGTCGAAATGACAAAAATATCATATGCCAACGTTGTGCAAAATTTGACTCCTTTTCATACGAAAAGAAGTGGGAACGAAGGAACGACACAAACACATTTATCGAACACTGGTTTATACTTTCTAAAAGATGTTCAAAGATTGGACTGGTTATTCGATTGAAGAGGCGTTTGGTAGATCAACAAAAATGAACAAACTGATAAGTCTAGTGCTGGACGTCATAGGTGGAAACCGTCGATAACTTTGCGAGCACTTAAATTTATGGTCAGGGTTGGGAAATTGTCTATTAAAGAAATTCCTTGATTTTTTTTAACTGTAGTATGTTTGAAATGGATAATTCGGTAACTAAAAGAAAATCATGTGCAGTATCGAATATATGCTTCGAACGAATTTTAAAAAGGCACGATTTTTTTAACAAATTCACAAACGTCGGAGTTGCGTCGATAGCTATTTTGAATGATTCATTTATTAGAGAAAATAATGTTATTTTTAGAGATATTTTATTGAAATTTCTGTGTATCACATAAAAAATGTTGATTATGGTGCTTGCCAATTTTTAACTTTATATTAGTGAAACAACAAATGTTGAAAATGTTTGCGTTTTTTTCTGGGACAACCTTCGTACAGTGTATATGTGCTCATGTGAGCAGACTAAATCGTACATAATAATCATAATAACGATCGTAAACAGTATTGAGAAGTTTGATATATCGTCACAAATATATTAATTATAGAACAGGTGAGAGGTAATCAAATGAACATCAAACACATTGAACTGTTTTTTATTTGGTTATTTGGTTAGTTTGGTTGTTTTGGCCTACAAAAAACAAGATAATTATTTACAGATTGGATTCCCTACAGGTTAAGTCGCCCGCGTGGCGCAGTTGTTGGAGCGTCTGCTCTACAGTCGCGGAGTAAGGAGCTGATCCGTACGTCGCAGGACGTGGAGACCGGTCCTTCGGATGAGACCGTATAAACCGAGGTCCCGTGTCGCAGTAGGTGTTGGCACGAAAAAGATCCCTCACTGCTCAATAGTCCTGAGTGCCGAGTATAGGTATAAATTTGCAGTCCTTCACCGGCAAGTGGTGGCGTCTCCATATGAGTGAAAAATTCTCGAGAGGGACGTTATACAACAAACAAACAAAATCTTACAGGTTAAAGCTGTCTTTGCAAAAACAAAAACAACAACAACAACAAAAACATTAAGAAAGCAAGGAGATCAGTTTTACCTCGAGCTTTCTCTTTTTCTCTGATTCATTATTATCCGCATTCAGTAAGGAAGTGGTGGGTAGAGATCTCCCATCGGCTTCTCTCCTCGCTCGCTGTTTTATCTCCTGACTATCTTGACGGTAGATTCGAACAGTATTAAGCAAATGAACAACATTAAGTGTTTGTCCTTTAAAGAATGGCGACGCTGGACAGGGCGATAAAGACGATTTCTCTCTATATATCTGTGTATTTTCTACGTCTGTTTTAGTTCTTTTTGCAATCAGTTTGTCCTTTTTGTCACTGGTAGCGAACGTGCGACTTCTCAAAAATTTCTTCTTCAAGGCTGTTTTTTTATTCATGGCATCTGCTGAATGACATACCATCACAGAAAATCTTCATAAAATTGGATATGATTCTTGTTTTTGTTCAAGTTAAATTTCCTTGAAATTTCCATACATGTGTTCGATCACAGAAAAAAAAAATCCTGATTGCGAAGGTGTTCTCTTTAGAAATCATTTGCATTTATATTGCACGGGGCTTCCAAAAATTCCAAAAGTACCCGGATTGTTGAAGTTGAGCATGCCTGTGACGAGTTGACAACAGACACGACTTAGGTGCCCGGTTTACATGGTCCTGTCAACTCTTGTCCTGAAGGGCTTCTTGTGTCAGTTCTCTTGCTGACAATTTGTGTAGGCCATTATTATAAGTTGACAAAGTTCTTACTGATAATGATGTAAAAATTCTATTAAACCACTGATAATTCCCTGTGTCGCCGATGGAGAATTACTTAAAACTTGATGTGTCAAATCAAACCAGCAGAGGGGGCGGCAAGAGGATAAAAGATTTAAGTCTAAGTTACTACAAAAAGCAATACGTTCCTCTTCTCAAAAGCGCTTTTCATCGCCCTTAATGTACTTGAGTGACTAAGGCACATAATTAAAAAACATACATATCTTATTGCAATTGTACATGTCAAAATGGGATCTGATCGGGATATATGTTTGATTTAATGAAATGAAATTTTATTCATGTTTAGAAAAAAAATTGATTTCATCCCACAATTTTAAGAGAAAATGGAATTAAAAAAAATGCCTTCAATTAAATTTGATAAGATTGTGGCGATCGATGTCAACTCATGCAGAGATGGGAAAGCCGGAATGCATTATGAACTGTAATAGAACAATTTTGTAATGTCACATTTAGACATTGATCAAGAAGATCTGAATCTATATCACGTCAAAGTATCAATCAATTAACATAGGAAATGTTTTTACGCTTCCGTTATATACCAGATCATATGAAAGCAATTCATTTTGCAGAATCCTTTTTATTTTGTCGATAAACAGAATGAATAGTGTTTGATTTGTTCTGATCGTACCTTATAAAATCTTTGTAAAATAATAAAAATTTAAATCGAAACTTCCAAGGATTGTGTATAACGTTATGTTTATTATTACCCGCGAGTAATTGAGGGAACAACTAATTCATAGTTATAATTGACATGTGATATATCACAACCTTATAAGAATATTTAACTCTAGGAACATGTACTAGTACTTACTCTATGACAAAAATGGCTGCGTCTTTTCAACGTGGGAGCTCTGGTGGTCTCCGAAGTATCTCTGTAATGTAGTCTGCCATTAATTTCTGTCTGATCTCCAGAAATATGACCTTTGAATCCCAAACTCTCGTTCTTGATGATCCATACTGAATCTGCGGTCTCACACCTGACAGAGAGATCAAAGTTAATTAAGAATCTTCAAATGAAAAATGAAAAACGAATAGATGAGTATCTAAATTTACTTAGTTTTAATCTCTTTGCTATTCATCTGTTAGCCAGCAATGTAGAAGTTTCTGTGACACCAGCCTTCAGCTACCCGTCTAAGTGCTTTCTGGCTTTATAAACATCCGCCATTCGCCAGCCTCTTACCACAGCTGGCTGGGCATAGAGTATAAAAG